TGTGGCTCGAGATCGTGACCGCAACACGGGGGTGTGGAACTGTTGCTGATGATGATTGCAAAGTTGGAGGCATGGCGGGCCGGGAAATGGGCAAACGTGCCGCTCTGAATGCACGACGAAAGCGCTGGGGCCAAGATCCAGGACAATGAAAGCTACCTACAAGTGGCCCATCTCTGCAGGACATCAATTGGATGAAGGCGGCGCACTGCTGCACAAGACATTCAACAGGCAACCGTCTGGACCATGTGGCAATCGGAAAGCGAAACCGAGGATGTGGCAGGATGTGGCTGGATGTGGCATCGTAGCCCAGTGCCGCAGCTGTTCGTGCAGTGTTCGCCTCGGTCGCCGGCCTCTCTTGCCCCCGCCCCCCCCCCCCCCCCCCCCCCCGGCCCCCTTGGCCTTTTGGGCGTGAAGGCCAGGCGAACGGAAAGCAGAGTATTGTTCACAAAGAGAGCAGGGCGTGGGTTCCATACGTGGCCAATGACCTAGTGCGCCACTCACATGGCACCTTGGGTGCCCCTTGGACCAACTCGCTTTTTGATTTTCTGAGCGCACTACACATCTTCAAGCATGTTGGCGTTTCTTCTTGTCTTTCCCAGCCCGTGTCGCGTTCAAAGGGCTTCATGACTTGTAAGTAAAGATCCCGATCGGACACAACCTCAACTACAACGCTTCAATAATCGCCGAAGGTTCACATACTAGACTGTTTAGCACTGGCTCTGCCGATGTCGATCGTAATCACTGGTAGTTGTAGCCAAGCCATCTCCACACCCTTTTGAAGATCATGGTAGTCTCCTAGTTGTCGACTGGTGTGGGGGGCGGGTTGTGCAAGCGCCACGAAACGCCTCCGGCGCTGCGCTAGGCCGCAAGGCATCGGCATCCGCAAGCGGGATCACGGCATTTGCGCCTCTATGATTGGATGGTAAGTGAGGTGGGCGGTGGCCGGGGCAAGGCGGGAACGGCAGGAGCACAATGCCCAACTTCGAGTTGACGGAAGTCACGAAAGCCACGGAGCCAGGGAGCAGGGGGCGAGGCCCTGGTGCGTCTTGGCGCCATCCGATCATGGGAGTGTGTTCAACGTTGTCCAAGGCATCCTCTCTAAGTCAAGTCATGTCAAGTCCTGGCCTTCCAGTTCTTGGGGCGCACGGCGCTGCATTCGCGCGTTGCCAGCTGCTGTGGATAGAAGGACAGCGGCGCCAGGCTTCGTTGAGCCCCATGCGTGGGCCGTGTGGGTACTGGGGCCCTTGGCTGACCGCCTTGCAAAGGGCGGTCGACCTCTTCATCCCTGTGCCCTGCCGAAGTGTGTGCTGCTTCGCTGGCGAGCTCTGCGCATCACCACATCTTGAGGATTGACCACATGAGCAAGAGGGGAAGAAACAGAACCATGATTCCGGTGCTATCGGGGTGCATGTGCACGGCTGCTTGAACATATCGAACCTCTTCGGCCCACACGCCTGTAAACATCAGAGAGAGGAGGACTTGCCCAGGGCCGTGGATTCCGTAGATGCCGCTCGACGCGGTGAAGACTGCCACAGGCCCCATGGGTCAAGAAGAGGTCAAGAAGAGGTCAAGAACAGTCAAGACTGGGAGCTGAGGTGAGGTCAAGAAGGACACGGCCGACACGGCCAGCACGGCCGACACGGCGAGGCCGACCCGGCCTTGCTCAGCTCGCCCGAGGCGTTTGCTGCCGCAAGGCCACTCGAGTGGAAGCCACCGTCACCGTGTCAACTTTGGAGGTGAGTTTAGGATGATCAGGCGACCTGCGCACCTTCCTGGGATCCGAGGGGTCCTAGACAAGGCGTCCTAGGCAAAGCAGACCAGCCCGTGGCCTGCAGGTGTGTGGAGCAGACGCACGCGGGCGCCGTGGCCGCACAACATCGCGCAGCGCTGTCGGGAAGAGAACCTGATGCAATGGCACTGCATGCATGGGCGGAAGTTCAGGGGAAGCCCACATAAGCCCCCCAGATGCCTGTGAAAGCTTGGGAACAAGCTGCAGAGTTGAGGAAGGAAGCGCTCTCCTGCCAGGCCGAAGGGGCAACAGCTTAGCGTGGTCTGTGCCGTGCAGGTGCCACACGCTGCACGCGCTGCACGGGCAGCCCGAAATCGCTTTCTTGGTTTAGTGGGTGCGCCGGGCTCAGGCCAAAAGCCTACGTCATACTTCTGTCACATCCACGTCACATGTATCGCATAGCCTAGATCCGCACTTGCCTCACTCCGAAGGCAGGGCCAAGCACCTCACTCAAAGTTCCGGTTCTCACGAATGCTCTTTTCCTGGCTGGCACGAGCGGCAGGAGCGGCAGAAGCGGCAAAAGCACGAGCACATTGGGCCACAGTCCAAGGGTGCAGCCGTGTGGTGGACGCGGGCGACGTGGCCGCACGGCTCGAATCTCGAAGCGATCATGGCATCCCTAAACCCTGATGCCGACGTCTGGAGGCTAGCCAGGGACAACGGCAAGCACCTGACTGGCCAGTCGATACCCTTGGCTCCAACGACCTAAAGCCCCTAAAGTACCTGAGCCCCCTGGAAGCCTAAACTCTTCCTGATGCTTCCTAACCGAGCTCAGCAAAGTTAGGTTGCTCCATTCGGGCCTCATTGTGGTCCCCACAAGCATACTTCCAAAGATGAACGCGCTTCTCCTCATGCGAAATAGAAATCACACCAAGAAGCTCAGAGGCACAACCCTGGCTGGGTTTTTGCTTTAACCGATTCTTCTCACCTTGTCGTGCCATGGTTGTTGAAACCAAAGAGCCCTTTTTAGTATCCTGACTCTTGGCTTTTTTTGTGTCTTGCAAGAAAATTCAAAGATGATAGGCTCCGCCTGGTTACCGCCTTTCTGCTGTCTCTGCTGCCACTACCATGTGACGCTTGACAGTACTCGCGGCAAGTGCGAAAGCAACTTTTCATGTTGTTCTTCGGCGTGACGCTGCACGTGGCGCACACGTCCTGTGGACGGAAGCTGCCGACATGTATCAACTGAAAGCGATTGACGCCTAACAGTCTGAAACACTCCGGAACTCTGAAACTGAGTCCAGGATGAAGCAAATCTATGTCCGGTCAGACACAACGTTAATGATGCCCTTCCTTCGATGTAGGGATCTCATCTCTGCGTGCCTGTATGTATAAGATCTGGAGTCCAACTGATGCCTGATAAGTGACTGATAAGCACAGCATATTCGTGGCAGCTTTGTGGTTGATTTGCTTCGCGATGAACCAAAAAGTGAAAGCAAAGAACGCATCGTGCTGGAGGGCCATCGAGACCCCGAAGGTTCGCCCACCGCGTCGTGGGACTCATGTCCGATCGGAAAACTTCCAAGAGCTCCAGGGCAGCCTCTCTAGGCCAAGTCGCGGCATTCCAGCTCTTGGCGCGCGGCACTGCATCCCCACGCTGGCAGCCGCGGCGCTGTGAATAAAAGACACGGGCGCCAGCCTTCGATGAGCCCCACGCATGGCCCGCGTGGCCCGAGCGACTTTTGACTAATCGCCTTGCAAAGGGCGGTCGAACTCTTCATCCCCGTGCCCGCCGAAGTGTGTGCTGCTTCGCTGGCGAGCTCTGCGCATCACGACATCTTGAGGAATGACCCAAGGTCCCATGAGAAGAGCGGAAGAAACAGAACCATAATTCCGGTGTCACTTTGCCGCTTCTCCGCAAGGGAGTGCAGAAGGACTGGCGGAACCGTGGCTCACGCCTGTGCAACATGCCCTGGGTGTGCTGCGTATGAGCTTGCAGGAACAAGGGCGGAGCTTCCCTTGTGAACTCCCTAAGTCTTCGCGAGCGACCTCATCTTTACACATTGACTCACGTTGCGTCGCAGAAGGGCACTCGAGGTCACCCACAAGGCTGCTGTTGAAGTCGGATCTTCAGTTTATGGCCTTTTTGAGGCGTTGCATGGGGGCTTTCCCTCAACAAAAGAGAGAATGAAGGCGCGACCGACGGCCTGAAGTGCTCCAAGGTTTTGGGACGTCAGCGATACTTCTGAAAGGCCAACCGCGCCGCAGCAGCTTTGTTTAGCCATCTCCGTTCTGGTTGACAGGCCTGGAAGGCCAACACAGGAAGGTGTCGACCCGAGGAATCGAAGCTCGTGGGGCCGCCTAGAAAACTGGTCCGGGATGGAGGGGTAACATGGGTAACGGAAGAACAATGGAGAGAACAACGGAGACAACACGGAGGACTCCTTATTTCTGGGCTCTCCTCTGATGCGAAGCCGGGCGTCTCACTTGTGTCGACAACAACTCACCAAAGGAATTTGAGGCTATCAGGCGACAGCCGCCTACGAGGGCGGGCCAACACCTTTCCTATCAAGCTTTCAATTGTCAGACTTGCCACTCACCACTTACATCGCCTTAAACCCACACCTGAGACAAACTGGAGATCGCTCCCCTGGAGAAGGACTCTCCGGGACACGAACTCTTACAATGGACTCCACAAACACTTTGAAGCCTTTGCGGCTTCGCATGCATGCAGTCGTAGAAACGCGGCTTGGGGGAGTCACGGCGCATGTTCGATGCTCTTCAGGCTAACAGCTCGAGGACTACCCTGACTATGGCAGTACCACCTTCGAAGTCGTCCTGCATCCTCTGCTTCTTGGGGTGTCTTGCCACAACTCCACACGTGGTCATGCTGTGAAAGGTGTGTAGTAGTCCACACGTGTAGGCTGCTGCAAAGTCAAGACACTACCCAACCTGCGGGTATGCTGGCAACTGCGAAATGAGCGAGAGGAGCACAGCAGAAGCTTTAAGTGGCGCTGGCAAAGCCCGAAGACGCACCAAGGACTCCCAAAAGACTACAGTCCAGCCATCTTCACGCTCCCTTGAACATCATGATAGTCTCTTAGTTGTCGACTAGTGTGGAGCGAGTTGTGCAAGCGCCACGAAACGCCTCGGGCGCTGCGCTGGGCCGCCAGGCATCGACATTCGCAAGCGGGATCACGGCACCTGCGCCTCTATTAGAGGATGGTAAGTGAGGCGGTGGCCGGGGCAAGGCGGGAACGGCAGGAGCACAATGCCCAACTTCGAGTTGACGGAAGTCACGAAAGCCACGGAGCAAGGGGAGCGGTGGGCGAGGCCGTGGTGCGTCTTGGCGCCATCCGATCATGGGAGTGTGCTCAACGTTGTCCAAGGCATCCTCTCTAAGTCAAGTCATGTCAAGTCCTGGCCTTCCAGTTCTTGGGGCGCACGGCGCTGCGTTCGCGCGTTGCCAGCTGCTGTGGATAGGCCAGCGGCGCCGGCCTTCGTTGAGCCCCACGCGTGGGCCACGCGGGTACTGGGGCCCTTGGCTGACCACCTCACAGAGGGCGGTCGACCTCTTCATCCCTGTGCCCTGCCGAAGTGTGTGCTGCTTCGCTGGCGAGCTCTGCGCATCACCACATCTTGAGGAATGACCACACGAGCAAGAGGGGAAGAAACAGAACCATGATTCCGGTGCTATCGGGGTGCATGTGCACGGCTGCTTGAACATATCGAACCTCTTCGGCCCACACGCCTGTAAACATCAGAGAGAGGAGGACTTGCCCAGGGCCGTGGATTCCGTAGATGCCGCTCGACGCGGTGAAGACTGCCACCGGCGCCATGGGTCAAGAAGAGGTCAAGAAGAGGTCACGAACAGTCAAGACTGGGAGCTGAGGTGAGGTCAAGAAGGACACGGCCCGACACGGCCAGCACGGCCGACACGGCGAGGCCGACCCGGCTTTGCTCAGCTCGCCCGAGGCGTTTGCCGCCGCAAGGCCACTCGAGTGGAAGCCACCGTCACCATGTCAACTTTGGAGGTGAGTTTAGGATGATCAGGTGACCTGTGCACCTTCCTGGGATCCGAGGGGTCCTAGACAAGGCGTCCTAGGCAAGGCAGACCAGCGCGGGGCCTGCCGGAGGTGTGTGGAGCAGACGCACACGGATCGCGCAACGTTGCTGGGAAGAGAACCTGATGCAATGGCACTGCATGCACGGGCGGAAGTTCAGGGGAAGCCCACATAAGCCCACCAGCTGCCTGTGAAAGCTTGGGAACAAGCTGCAGAGTTGAGGAAGGAAGCACTCTCCTGCCAGGCCGAAGGGGCAACATAGGGGCCGAACAAAATGGACCCCCAAAAAAGGCGTACCCCCAGCCGACCTTGAACGAGCCTTGTAAGCCCAAAACCTCCAAAACGAACCTCGGCGAAGTCAGGCGACTTCGACGACGGAAAGATAAGGGTTTACGAAGCCGCGCTTGCCGAGCCTGATGCTCTGCACTTCGCACCTCTCAACTTGCCCCCCGCGGGGGCGACGAACGCTGACCCCAAACAAGCCTCGACGAAGAGGGGGAAGGTTCGACGAAGGCGCCAGGGTTCCACGAAGGCCGGCGGGTTTAAACGAACTTTGTCTAAGGAAAGTTCGCATGCCGGTTGCTATTTGGGCGGGTCCCTTGGGCCAGACAACAGCTTAGCGTGGTCTGTGCCGTGCGGGAACAGAGCAAGGTCCGAGGACCTCCACAAAGATCCACAAAGCTGGGCCACGCCTACTTCTGAGGGTGGTGCGAGAATAAAAATGCCGATCTACAAACAACAGTTACTCTGGGCTCTGAGCTCCTACTTCTGAGGGCAAGTAGGTGCGGTGTGGTGCGGTGCGGGTCGGTGCGGGTGTGCGGATGGCTGCACATGCTGCACATACTGCAGGGGCAGCCCGAGATCGTTTTCTCGGTTTCGTGGGTGTGCGGGACTCACATTGTGGGCCATGGACCAAGGGCGCAGGCATGAGGTGGACGCCGGCGACGCGGCTGCAAGACTAGAATGTCAAGCGATCACGGCATCCCGAAACAATGATGCCGACGTCTGGGCTAGCCAGGGACAATGGCAAGCACCTGCCTGGCCAGCCGAAACGCTAAGCCGCTAAGCCAAACTGTCCGACTTGTAGATGGATGACACCGACAACTCCGGCATGGACTTATGTGGAGTCTGAGCACCGCACCCGCCATTTCTTCTGGCAGCGTGAGTGCGTCAAGCAACTCACAGTCAAAGCTCGGAGACTCGTTCACGTCTCCCTGTTCGAGCCACCAACAAATCGCATGAGCGCGGCTGACTACATGGAGTTGTGACAGACCCAGAAGTACTGCCCCCTCGGTTGACCTTTCGTGAACTGCACCTTTGCAAGGGGGCCTACCGAGGAATTGCGCGCTGCTATTCAGGACTTCTTTGAAGATGAAAGAACAGCCTGATCGAGATGAACGGTGAAAAGTCGGGGGTCAACTCGTGTCGCCACCTCCTGCAACAAGGTTGCTGTGAAGGCAGGGGGCCTGATAGGTTGGCACTGGGCATCTGTTGTGGACCCAAAGAGAGGAATACAGCGACCTGATAACCCAGTAACCAAAATACTTTCAACAACTCTGAGGAGTTTCTTTGACCCGAGGCCTGCGAGGGGCAGCTGCATGGGCACCACCTCCCAGTATCCCCTCTTAAGACCGGCCTGACAGAGCTGTCTAAAAAGTTGGCCTCGGCTTTAGTTCCCCGCAGCCAATGGCCGGCCAAACGTAGCTTGCAGATGTTCACAAGCACCTGCTTTGGGTCGCCCATGCGTGACATAATTTTTGGAGCCGAGATGCAGTCATCAGAGTAACTGCACGAGTTCTTCGGCTCCGAATGTCAATGACACCTTACATTCCTCGCAGCGCAAGCCCTGGCTTCGGTTCCGAGAATTCTCCGGGCACCAATTCTTAAAGCCCACATGAAACCCTGAAACTTGAGATGAAGTTTCCGCGTCCACAGCCCACGAGAATTCTTATTCCAGCAGACTGGTTGCTCGGCCGTCAAAGGGTTCAATAATTCAGCAGAAAGTTGAAAACGAAACACATGAACCATCTGACGTTAAGCTTTCATTTCCTCGCAGCTACCCTGCAGCCCCAACAGCCTTTTAAGGTGGAGATCGCAAGTGGCGTTCGGCAAGGATGAAGGGCATCCTGGTAGGGAACTTGGGTGGAACTGCATGAACCTAACATCCCAGCTGCTTCCTCAACAACGCAAAACGAGGCTTGGTCAAAAGGCCTGGGTCGTGCGCCGTTTACGTGTCACCAGCAGTTAGCTCCCGGGTCCTTCCCAACCGCAGGCAACAGCTGAGTATCGACGAAACCTTCGATTGCTAAATTGCTGCGGGGTGAGGTGTAAGATTTCGGGTTTAGGAGCTTAAGGGTTAAAAAGAAGGCATTCACAATTGTCGGCCCAGACCGCAGAGCTTGGGCAGCTGGGTGCTGGGGGCCAAGGCCGTCTAACTCAGTCGCTGATTGGATCGGGGAAGAAATTGTCTGGTGTGCAGCCCGGGCCTGTGAACCGAAGTCAAGAACTCGCAAAAACGAGTCTTGAGCCACGGCTGCCGCATGCACCCCTGAACTCTTGAGTGGCTTTGGGCGGCTACACCGTTCGGGCCCTGAAATCCAGAACCCTCCATAAAATCACCCTTGCCGGCTCGAGACCACAGGCCAGAACTGAGCGCTGCCAGAGCCATGATCTGAAGGAACATTGAGGACGAAACCGGCTGTGCGCCAGAAGTAGGGGTACGTCGATTATGCCGCGGCTGTCGCTGCATCCACCCCCCTCCCTGCTCATTTTCGCGTGCCCTTGTTGCCTACGCATGTCTTGGAGACCTCCTTCGGCTTGTTGCTGACACAACGCGAACGACTTCGCTACGAACCCTATGTCGCACAAAGGCCCCCCGGGCCTGCGACACACCCTGAACTTCTGGCTCGCAGCCAGGGCCCCGGTTCGCTGGGACTTGGGGACATGCCATGCAATCGGAATGCGGCAGGTGAGCGACCAAGAAAGAAAGCCATGCACAAACCGCCAGTTTGAAGCCTTCTCCAAGGCTGAGAACTGCAGGGGAGTACCTCAGTTGTCCTGCTTCTGACCACTGCCATTGCCAAGACCAGCAACGCATCCCGACGGTGAAGGAAAAGCAGAGCTTGGGCAGCTAGGGCTAGGTGCTGAGGGCCAAGGCCGTCTAACTCAGTCGCTGGTTGGCCTGGGGCTAGGTGCTGGGGGCCAGGGCCGTCTACCTCAGTCGCTGATTGGCCTGGCCTCTGTGTGAGGCAAGCACACATTTCTGGCTTGGCGCTGTGCAGGTCGCACGCGCAGGCAGCCTTGCATGCGCGGCTGCACTGCAGAACTGTTGGGGATGAAGAAGTGGGGGAGGGCGAGGGGCGAGCTATAGGATCTGGAAAGAAAGTGTCTGGTGTATTCTGCTGTGCAGCCCAGTCAAGAACTCGCAAAAACGAGTCTTGAGCCACGGCTGCCGCAAAAACCCCTGAACTCTTGAGTGGCTTTGGGCGGCTACACACTTCGGGCCCTGAAATCCGGAACCCTGAATAACATCACCCTTTACGGCTCGAGACCACAGGCCAGAACTGAACTCTGCCAGAGCCATGATCTGAAGGAACATTGAGGACGAAACTGGCTGTGCGCCAGAAGTAGTGGTACGTCGATTATGCCGCGGCTGTCGCCGCATCCACCCCCCTCCCTCTGGAGAGGGGCTGACACAACGCGAACGACTTCGCTACGAACCCTATGTCGCAGAAAGGCCCCCCCGGGCCTGTGACACACCCTGAAATTCTGGCTCGCAGCCAGGGCCCCGGTTCGTTGGGGACTTGGGGACACGCCATGCAATCGGAATGTGGAATGTGCGCCCGTAGCACCAACGACATCAAGCTGACCCTTGCAGTTCAATACTTGCTTGCTATTGACGTTGCTACACCCCGAACTCACGAGGTTGGCAGCGTCTCCAAGAACAGGCTGCAAAACGATGAGGGCGTGATCCACAACTCACTCCTCCTGCGGCCGTCACCTAAAGCACTCCCACACTGCCATCCCAAGAAACTCACTGAGATGCACGTTCTGTTGCGGCCTTTGCGTGGACCACACCAACGCGCACCAACTGAGACTGCAGAGACCACACAGGTGCATGTTCTTATGCTTTTGCATAGGGGTCTAGACACCTTTAAACACTTTATACACACTTGGTGCGACTTCGGTACAAGTCGAGATGGCTTCCGAGCCAAAACAAAGGGTCACCAGGCTTCGGTCACCATGCTTCTTCGTCTTGTGTCAACGTCAGCACGTGCATCTTCTTAGCGGCGGCCACTCTGGTGAGATTTGACATTTGTTAAAATTTTGGTTCTTTCTTGACAATTCAAGCTTTCTTGCTACAGCATACTCTTCTCGATCCCGAGAGAGCGGGTGTTTTCAGCCCGTTGAGAGGTCGGAGCATGTCGGAGCCGATCCGGACGAGGGTTCAAAAGAAACAAAATTCAAGAAAAACCGTTTTGTAAACCACTTGTAACAACCCTTTTCTCTTCAAGCCCCGGTCCCATGGCTGCACATGATCAGGCAACCAACGGAGACTCGGGTGCGGTCTCAGATGCGATTCGGTTCAACCAGAGCTCAGTGTGCAATGCATGGTCTTGCGCGTTGCTCGTCGGCTGAGCCTGCTTTGAACACCGGGCCGCTGCGTTTGAAGAGCACATGTTCCGGAAACCGTGGCTTTCCCCATGTCACAGTGCCTATCCCACCCCACCAGAGAAGGTGCTAAGGAGCAATGGGGCTGCAGAATGAAGCTGCCAGTGCCTGACGTTCCTGAAAACTGTCACCCGTCACTCCTGAGAAGACAATGCCCTGACAGCTTGGGCATTGCCAGGACGCGCAGGGGAAGAAAGGAAAGTGGATGTTCATGCGTTGAGATTCCTGCTGCCTGAAGGCTTGCCATCCAAACTAACCCATAAATGGAGAGGAATACTTGCACAGCAGGACCCGAGACCTATGCACAAAGCTGGGGTGTGTGCCAACATGGGACCCCCTGTTTCTGTAGTGGTGACTACTATGCATACCTGGCAAACCTATGCGTAGATGACTCAAGAGGTCATCTCAAGCTGTCTCTTGTGAGACTCTGAGCGCCTTAAGGCTTGAAGGGTGGCACGAATTGCTGCCTACGTGGGGACCCCCCTTTGAACACCCTGGGACGTGGGACCGAGGCGACCAAGGCGGCCAAGGCGACCAAGGCTCGCTGGCCGTCTCTGCCATGGCTCAGGGCCAAAACCTAAAACGCAACAGGCAGGGGAAAGGGAGTGCAACGGTGTGCATGAAGGCTGCGGCCAAACCTCGAGCAAGGCGACAAAAGGACGTGGACAGTGTTCACTCCAGGACTGGAACGAAAACTTGCCTAAGCGACCGCTGCTTGTGCATGTAAGCCTTCTGAGGCCAGCTGCACAAGCACCGTTTCGGTCAGGAAGGCCTCAGGAAGACTGATGATCCAATGGCATGCAGAAGCCTTCGGCTCAGAAAATGCCCGATCAGCACGGGCCCGGCTTGCTCGTACCTGCATCGCACGCGTAGCAGCAACGTGTGAAGCATACCCATCTGCTCGCACTAGACGGTCTTCCCAGCGTTGAAGTCATATATCTCTCCCTCTCCAGGACTCCATGGAAGGAGATTCACGACCCAGGCCTCACGGTTTGAAGAAGTTTCATTCTTTGCTATCACGACGACCGCCACTTGCCATAGCCGCGAAGGAAACCCCTCAGCACACTGAGGCTGACCTCTTGTCGGTTGCCTCCATGTTGCTTGTTTTTTTATGGTTTACATGGTTAGCATGGTTTCAGTGGTTTCAATGGTTTCCCTGGTTTCTGTGGCTTCTGTGGTTTCTATGGTTTCTATCGTGTGCTGTCGCTCATCTCTTCTGCCGTAGGGCGGTGTAGATTTTGTAAAAAGCGCTAAGTAATGAAGTCGGCCTGTGCTTCGTGGAGCGGAGTCTGATCCTCAAGGGACGGGTTTGAGGGTTTAGGGTTTTCGTGATTGGGGTTTAAGGGTACGCCCGGCAGCGGTATGGAGGTTGCGAGACTGCAGCATTCCTAAAAAGCGAAACAAATCGCTGGCCGCAAAAAGAACAGAACAACTGCAAAACGATGCATGTACCATAGTTCACCTCCGTTGGGGGTAACAATGATCCAGCGGTTTGGACCAGTTTCCGAAAGGCCGGGTGGTGTTCAAGAGGGGAGTGCCTTCCAGACCGTCTGCCCGACAAACAACACTTCGGAAAAACAGTCTGGGGAGCACATGCATAGACGCAAGAATCATGGTTCGAGTGTGAATGTCCATGCATCAGCAGGTTGCACAAAATCAACATGTTCTCTGAGCAAACACGAAAACCCTTTGTTTCGAGGTGCGCATGCACCTGTTCAGGCTGTTCATCAGATTTGTTTTCTTGTCCTCAACCTTCGACCAGCTTGCAAGAAGCATCGGCCATTTTTCCTCCGGCAGTGGACTGGGCTGACTGAACCTCACTCAACCTAAAAGGTGAGGCAAAGTCCGAGGTTCAGCTCCTGTCAGCATCAGATCTCGACATTGCAAACTTCGCCCTTGGACACTGGGATCAGCAACATTCCAGCCTTCCATTGCCGGAAAGGATTCGCAATGGAGCAGAGTTCGACATCTTCCTGCAAAGCAGCACATGCTGGCACACATGAATGCTAGCTGTGATCACTTCCTGACTCCTTTTCGGCCACCCCCACCCCAGAGAAGACTGAGGCCTTGCCAGCATTGGAGACCCGAAAGATGACGAACTTGCTCCCCTCCTCAGCAGGGCGGAGTTCTTTGCAGATCTCTTTTGCAGGCAGCATCTCTGAAGTCCCCAATCCATGCATGCGCCCTCTCCTTTTGCGCAAACGTCCATTCTCTGTAGCTCATCCTTAGGCGGCCACATGCACAGCAACCCCACGGAAAGACGACGCCACGTGCAGTAGCTGTCTCGCGCCAAGCTTCTCGAAAAGTTGCTTGTCCTCGCAGCACAGCACAGTGGGTGGAACACTATCGTAGGCAATCGAAGGCACTGACTGGAGGAGATACAGGATCTCTGCTTAAAGTGCAGGAATAGAGGTTTCCTAAGGCCGATTTATTCATGTACAAAGTGCGATGTCGACCACAGAATGCGCGAAGGACCGAGAACGCGATTTCGACCACAGCATGTGCGGGAACTGGGCGAGAGTGCGATTTCCACCCCAGAATGCGTGCGGGACCCTGGCGTGAGCACAAGCTCGATTAGGTAATACTTTTCCCTGTCGTTACCTTTACCATGTCCTCTCGCTGTTTCTTCTATAGAAGAATAGTTCATAGAAATCGCGCCTACTCCCTTCCACAGCTGGCCTTTCTGTTGCCCTTTTTTATGTCACAAGAAGAACTCCTTCTAGTTTCCCCTGATTGCAAGCCTCCAGCGAATACCAAGCGGGAGTTGTCGACCAGCTTTGCCCTACGCACGCCTTGTGTGGTTGACAGCAGGCTGTCGCCGCCTTCCCCCTTGGAATTTTGGAGCTTCACGCCAGAACATGGCCTGGAGCAGCTTCTATCTCATCTGTTTGTCAACAGGAGAGATCCACTACTTCCCCATATTGTCTTGGGAAACCTGTGTTTCCTCCCCATTAAGAAAACTTGCCTTTTTCTCTAGTTTGATCGGAAAGCTCTATCTCCTTCATATATTTTTGAAAGGCTCCATTTCCTATGTCAATCGCAAGGCCGGCCTGTTTCCAAACCAAGCTGTTGCCACCGGATGCCTCCCTCTCCCCTCAAAAAAAAGAAAACAGACACACAACACAAAAAAAAACATGAGAAGCAGAGCGCATAGGGAGAAGCGCAATGCACAACCAACAAAAAACACAAACAGCTGAAAATAAACGGCGTAGCAAAAAAAAACAAAACAAAACACAAAACGAACACAAAAGGGCATAGAACGACCTAAAGCAAAATAATAACAGAAACACAACCGAAGCAAAAGCAGGAAGCAAAAGCAAGAAGCATAAAAGCGAAAGGCAAAGGGTAGAACAAAGCAAAAAGCAAACTACGGAAAGCAAAAAGTCACAAACCAAAATCAAAACACATATAAACCCACACCTGAAGCAAAGAAAAACACGTCAAAACAGCAGGCAAAAGCTCAGAACAATGCAAAAGACCAAAAATGCACACACCCACACAAAAGAACAAAAAACAAGATAACCCAATAAAAACAAATGCCGGAAAGCATGAAACCAGAACACACGCGTGCGGGAACAGGCGGAAGGGACCGACAGCCAAAACACAACCCCCCAACACAGATCACTAAAAATCAAAACACAATCAGGATTCCAATCACTTGCTTCTGATCGGCTCTGAGAGAGAAAAGCACGACATCGTACGAATTGGCTATGGGTTGTCTATGCGACTGCGAGACCTGCAGCAGCTGAAGCTTGCTTCACAGCTTAAACTTACTTCCAGACAGGAGGAGAACAAGAGGAGGAGAAGAAGAGAAAAGGAGGAAGAGCAGAAGAGGACAAAGAGGACAGAGAGGAAGAGAGAAGAAGAGAAAGAGGAGAAGCGAGGAAGAGAGGACAACAAGACGAGGGAAAACGATGAACAAAGGAAAAGAGGAGGATAGGAGAAGAAGAGAAGCAAGGGAAAAGAGAAAAATAATAGAAGCGACGCAAGAGGAGAAGACTGCCAGCCCGCCGCTGTCCATTACTCCGGGCCGGGAAAGGGCGGAGGGAGGGACTGGTGGGACACCAGAAGGTTGCAGTCCTTGGCACGCGATGTCTTGACCTCGACATAGGCCTCCACATCCCCACTGGTACTGTCCTGGTGGACCAATTTCGCGCTGCGGGGGTTGCAGGGTCCATCGTGCCATGGCTTGCCTCAATCCGCAAATCGTACTGGAAGCCCGTCTCCTTCAACTGTTAAGATTCTTCAATGCCAGCCCATAAAATAGACGACTTGAGCTCTGTCGTCCCTGTCCTCGACTTCATTGACCCAAATCACACGCCTAGCGAAAAGGCTGAGAAGACCGCCCCGAAGCAGCTGGCAGTGCAGAATCAATCGAGGCGTGCACTTCTGACTGTCCTGAAATGCAGAAAACTGCAACTAGGCAAAGGGGGCCATTCACACACCTCTTGTCTCGAAAACAAACTCGTATGCGGCAGATGAAATTTCTCAAGCTCGTAATTCGCCTCGGCTTCCTGCCGAGAAGACCCCCCCCCCCCCGGACCCCCTGAAACCCCCCCGAAACCCATGGGACCTTTTCTGGGACCTGCCTGAACCCTCCTGCCACCTTGCTGAGACCCCGCCACGGGTACCAGCTCTTTCCTCCTTTCCTGTCCGTGGGCCGGCCCGGCTGCCGAGGTGGCGCGCGCAAGCGTTTACAATTAGATTTGGAATGGTCTGGTGGGTAGGTTTGGGGCAGGTCTTCAACGATTGTGTGCGATACCATGTAGAAGCCTGACGAGACCTGTGCTTCCTCAACGGACGGTGTTAAGTTGGTGGTGTCAGGGAAGAAATCCACAGTTGGTGGCAGGCTGCGACACCTTGTGGCTCTGACAAGGACCCTCTGGGTCAAGGGTCGGGATACAGAGCGCGTAATTAGTGCGTAGAGCACGTAGTGCTTAGTGCACGCAGTGCGTAGAGCGCAACGGTGTAACATTCAGACGTTCCCTGAAAAGCTCCAGCGGTCCTCATGCTCAAGCTTTTTTCGCAGGTATTCGTACACGAACCTTGTCAGCTGCGGAAGTCGCAAAAGTATTCCGGATACTTTGTGAAACCAAGCGGCTGCTCGCCCCAGCGTCCAACCTTCTCACGCTCCTTGCAGCCCATCAAGTCAGACGAAGTCAGACTCACACGTGCAGACTAAGGCGAGCCTCCTGCGGCAGGTCATTCCGGTGTGGCAGTGGACCAAGATGCATTTTCTTCGACTGGGCCTCGATGACCGAAGAATTGTTCGAGAGTGGAGTCTAAAGGAGCCAGGGTACACTTAGATTCTGTCGACGTGCTCAGCTCTTGGCGCGTAAGTCATCCAGATCGTAGACACGTGTCTTGAATGACCTCTCCTTCTTCGCCTGCGGTCACACGTGCAGGGTGAGCGATGCCCGATGCCCTTCCCTCGTATCATCCGAGATTGGTCAGGCCCACCTCTGCAGACTCGTCCTCTGGAGCAGCAGCGGTTCCTCGGGTCCCAAGGCACACGCTGGACGATGGCACCATGCATCAAGATCTCCAACCTAAGCCGCATGCCTGGCAGGCGATCAAGGATGCGTCCAAGCTCCGTCGCGCCGCGCTCCTGGCGAAGCAGAGTTTTGGGGCACGGAGGGCCAATCCAGGCACCCCAAGTGCTCACTTCGCGATGTCCTTGTCGCTCTGCTTGCCAGGACCTTTGCCCTTGCCACCCTTGTCGCCCTTGCCCTTGCCTTTGCCTTTGCCTCCTGGCAACCACGAGCCAGCTGCTACAGTGGTGCAAGAAAGCAAAACACAAAGCTTCCGGAGCTCGGCGCCTTCTCCATCCTCTGAGCCCTGGTCGATCACGCTGACGTTCTGAACACGACAGGTGACTCGAAAAACGATGAGACATGGCCATGCGCCAACATGCACATACCTGTGCATGGTGGAACATCATGTGAGCATGCAGCACCAGAGTGACACAGCTGAGCCTTCAGCAAGGCGTCTGCATCTTTCATCTCAGCTGCGCTCGCCTCTGGTGGCATGGGAGCAGCTCTCCTCATCCCTTGACCAAGAAGACAAGACATCTGCAAGGGCAAGCAGGCATGAAGATGGATGGTACTGGGAAAGGACAAGCAAGTGGAAGAGTTTTCTGCCAGGTCAAGTAATAAAAGAGGTGTCTGCGATGCTTCCGCGTGCAGGCCGCACCAGTTACCCTGGTTTTGGAAATCTTTTGAGCAGGCCCCAGCAATCAAATCTGCTATTGAAATCTAGCAGATGCTCTACAGGTTGACGTTCTCACTGCGCCACGCAGCTTGAGCAGTGTTCCTTTGAAGTCCAATGGGTGGGCGGCGCGTTCATGTTCAACCCATGTACGTGCGCGTGTGCGAGAGCGTGAGCGTGAGCGTGTGGGTGTGCGTGCGCGCGTGCGTGTGCGTGTGCGTGCGTGCATGCAGTGTAATCCATGAGATGAGGTGGGGATGAACTTGAAGTCATGAATAGGGCAATCGCCTCTTCCATCTCTGCAGTTGTGCCAGCATCGTTCTGGCAGCCATCCACCTGACAACACTCAGGCCCTTGCATTGCTTCGTGTTCACGGCCCTAGTGCAACGATCAAGACATCCCAAATAATCCTGCCTCCCCGTCGTCCCCAAGAGCACATGGGTCCATCTGTGGCTCCTACGCCATGTGGCACAGACTTGGATTGCCCCCTTTCGCTAGGGCGTTGCTGTAGGATCAGGATGGGTGAATTGTGTCCGCCGTTCCCGGACGTGTTGGGTTGCCACTGGTGACTCTCTGTCTGGCTCGCTCGCTATCTTTGGGTTAGAGGGCCCATGTATCTCTTCGGCATCTCATCCGCATCTCTTTCTCCTCCATGTTGAAGCTCTCCGCCTCCATCTCGGCCAAGCGATCCTCCACCAGCAGGCAACTGTAAGACAAAAACCTATGTCTTGGCTCTTTTGGTTCAACAGCGTGGTTCTGTTATCTCAACAGCGGGCTGTGCGTGGCCCATGGGGTGGCAGGACAAGTTTCGGCGTCATGGCTTTTCTCTAGGCTCCAGGCTCTACAGCTCTACGATTCCCAACCAGCCCTGGGAAATTCTGTCTTCTGAACATCACCTCTGCCTCCTACGGCCCATTGGTACAAGTAAGTGATGTTAGAGAACACAAGTGGCCTTGGCGGCACCTTCCAAGATGGCTGCCTCCGCAAGGATCGGTGCCTGAAACAGAAGAAGAGAGACAGAGCATCTAGGAATCCACGAAGGCATGAACCAACTAACGTGAGGAGAGGCCGCATGGCCCAAGGACTAAAGCCAAGTTGCATCCTACTGTGTCCGTATGTCCATGCGACACGGGAGATCAAGAGCTGGGTCATGGACTAATATGGGAAATGCGAGCCAGAGATGGAACTGAATTGATTGCATGCCGACTTGACTTACATCGGCGCTTGCTTAACGTAAAACTCAACCCCAGAGCTGAATCATAACCCCCCCCCCCCCACCGCCCCACCCCCACCCCACAACTGAGCGCAAGACACAAAAGGACGCAGGACCCAGTACAGGTCACTCACACGGCCTCAGGCCCCTCCATTCGCGCTCTCTTGCTCGGAGGCTCTGCAGGCGACTCCTGCACAAACTGCCCGGGACGTGATGTGTGACATTTGGGCTCGAGGGTTTAGGGTTTACCCTGCAGGGATACCTCCTCGTTGCTTGGGGGCACAAGCTTCTCCGGCTCCGTCTCCTGCAAAGTGCGCACAGCTCGTGCTCATGGCGTATATTTTGTGTAGCGAGGCTTCTGCATGCTTTACTTTAACTCTTCAGCCCAGGTCTATCAAAGGGGTCAGAGTCAGAGTCCAGACACGGGTCAAATGGGATCTCCATTCCAAGACGACATGCTCTCAGCTCTTCTGCACTAAATAGTGGCCTTCTCCGCTTCAAGAAGCCGACGCTCCAACTCCAGCTGCTCTGCAACCTGCGCCGTTTCAAGAAGACTGGAGACTGCCTTTAGTGCCCTCCTGGTGGGCAACGCTTGGCTGGCTTGGGCTCAAGAAAAGCTCCCAAGAGGTTTGCAAGACACTGCGATGCTCTGCGTCTGGAGCTTCTACACTGAAGAACTGCGGAGAAACCAGCCCCCTGTCGATTCTGCCTCTTTCGGCATCGGCCAGGGTGGCGTGTAGTCAGGGGAGTCCTGACAAATGAGACTTCTCTGGGCAGCTAGCTGGCAGATGAAAACAATGCCGGGGCCAGCCTCGCTTGGAAGCTCCGCGATCTGCAGCGCCTCGACAAAGCATGGCTCACGTATGCTCACGTTACACAGTTCAACTTCTTGTGTCATGTCCGGCATCGGAGCCCCGTCAAGCGCTGCTGCTACCTCTGCTCGAACCTGGACTTGTCCTTAAGGGCACGATTCGATGCTCTTACGGGACTCGCAACGCCACGCTTGCACTTCGGTTTCAGGATGTCAGGGCACGGTACCCTCACGTTGCAAGTAGTCAGGAAGGAACACGCCCCCAAAACTAGCCGAGCTTTTTATCCGCTTCTTCCCGAAGGTTCTTCGCCTGTCCCCGCAGTTCCAAAGATGTCCCACCGATCTCCCGAAATTTCCGTCACTTTGGCTTACTTTCTAGTTGTCCTCAGGGTTATCCTAAGAGTTGTGCCTCGCAAAGGGATGCAGCGCCCGATGCTCCGGCCAACGCGGCCGAAGCAAGGAAGGTGGCCAGGGCCTGCTGGCGCACTTGAGAATAAGCCTGGAATACACATCAAGCGGTTGCTACAAAACCTACAAGCCTTGTCCATAAAGAATGGCAGAGACATGGGGGGGTCTGCAAAAACACGGGACCGCTTATTTCCCCCAAATAAAGGGATTCTCTTATTGGGGACCCCAGTAAGGTACCTCTAACTTCGGAAACCCCCCAACAAAGGCAGATGCCGGGGGCGCCTCGCGGGTCTGCCGGACCGTCGTCACCTCGTCCTGGACATTCGAGCCGTGACACGTGATAGCAAGGGCATCTTAGATAATGAGGGGGTTTAGGGTTAAAAAGGGTTTAGGGTTTGGGGCTTCAGTTTAAGGATTTATGGTGGTACATCAACTTGTGTTGCAAGCACGGTTCACCGTATTGAAAAAAGTTTTCCGGAGCTTTGCGAAGTTCAACTTCTTGCCTGTACATGACATTCATCAGTAAGTGGCGGGAATGAGCGATCACAAGATACTTAATGGTTTTCAAGCGCAAGCTCATTGAACTACCCTTCTGTGGAGGGATGTTCTGCTCGTTGAATTGAATCACACCCAGTGAAGAGATGAATGGCACTTACTATCAACAGGATCTGCCCGTGAAGCTATTAAGAATCCACCCTGTGATCACAACTCCAGAGATCTAACCCTGACCCTTGGATCCGGATGCAACCTAGGCTGGGACGGGCGCTTCAGTCCTGCTTCCAGGCTGGTGGCAGCAGAAGACGCGCCAACTCGACACAAAGGGCAGGAAGCGTGGCCCCAGGAAGCATTCGCAGTCGAAGCTTCTCCTTGGCATAGCTATGCATAGCTTGTGCTTTCCATTTCTGAATCTTCTGATTCTCCAGTTATCAGTCATATGATCTTGCATGAGTAAACAAAGAATGCGTATGAGTCAAGAAACGCATGGTGGGCTGCCATGTTAACATGCCCAGTCATTGGGAACGACAGAATTCGTGGTGGCCACTTATGTCACGTCGTGCTCACATTGTGGCTGGTGCTGCTGGCAATGATACGCTGCCAGCGATGTGGAGGAATGAACCATTGATTCCTTGAGTCCTTGCACACTGCTGGAGTGGCAACAGGAGGTGGGCTTTTTCAGCTTTTTGGTTGGCAAGCTCAGCCTGGCCGCCTGCAGTCTACGCTTGAGGGCATCACTGTTTGAGCTCATTTTCCCTATTCTTGGATCTAGGTTCAGTGGAACTTCTTTCAGTTTTTCTCTATGTGACGGTCCATGGAACGTGACCGCCACGATAAAGTTTCCGGGCTGCGGTCGTGGAGTCCTGATGGACGGTCTAACCAACAAAGTGCATATGCTGCTGCCGTGGTTCACAGGACCCATCTTCCAGGTGACCACCTCAGCGCGATAAACTCACAAACGACATGAAAGTACCTTGTGCTCGTCTTAGTCTTGCTTGCGAAGGCGCTGTTGATCTCCATGTAGCAGTCGCTCTCGATTTCGACCTGCAAGACACGTCAGCTAATGGCAAATTCTACCGGCTAGCACGAACCCCGGACAAGCTCAGCCTGGATCGGATCTTGACCGGGCACGGCGGAGAAGCTGCACCGAAGCTTCAAGGGCGGATCCACTTCCTTAGAGACGCAAAGTGCGCCAAAGAAGCTGACGGACCCCTTCATGCTGTACCCCAAAATGCCCATCAAGTCGCTCGCACACTCAGCTGCTCCAGCTTTGTTGTCAAGCTTGCTGCCTGCATGCAGCGCATGCACTTTCAAACCACACAAACGATGTGAAGGTGCATCCAAGGCACATTGACAGCATCGTACACAGCTCGGTGCTTGTGGATGAGGAACCGTTGTGCCAAGGGCAGCAGCGAAGCCACCGCCTTTGCAATGACCTAGCCGCATGCAGTGAATGACCACCGAATGTGCTTGGCCTGGCGTAACCTGCCAACTTGCATGCCGAGTCGACCTGTGCAGCCTGTACCATAAGCGGCGCTGACAGCACACTTTGTGGACTGAGATTTGGGCAACAGCGGGTTTCTCCTCACCGCTGAATGTGGCGGTAATGCAGCACACCTGCAATTGCTACGTGAGGCAGGATCTTTCCGATTGGTATCCCATCAAACACCCTGTCTCTCTATACAAAGAAAAACAAACACTCTATGATGAACCCGAGAGACTCGATAAGACATAAAGAAAGCACCTCACATGAAAATAAATGATGCTGCAAACGATCATGTTTTGTACGCTCGAGGCTCTTCAGTTTCATTGTGTTCCTTCACGGCTCGTTTTCAGAAACTCACTTCTCAGGCTCCGGCCGACGCGAGGCTTTTCAGCCCGAGCGCGTTGGCAAGGCCTGGCCAGTGCCTCCAGCTCAGAAGCCGAAGCCAAAAAGCCCCAAAGTTGCTGCGCATGCTGTGCTGGGACCCGGGCTCTGCATCCTTCCCTGTCGGCACAGCTGCGAGGGGTGCCTCGGCCCGGAGTGTGGCGAGGGCTGCCTCGGGAATCCCGGCGTAGTCCCCCTCGAGAACGACACCTGCGCACTGAAGCAGAAACAAACCGAGACAAACACCTGTGGAGTCTGGTGCACCTTCCTTTGGGGCGCCAAGGCCGCCCAACTGCAGTGGCACGCAGCGCCGGGCAGCCAGCGCTGCCGGCATCGCAGCCCAAGCTGCGCAGGATTGCACATTAGGGGGGGGGGGGGGGTTCAGGGAGGACGCGCCGACCCAAGATGATCAACGACCCGTGCTTGCATACGCCCAATCTGCCAGAAGCCTTCTGCATCAGCAGAAGAGGTGTCGGATATCTCCTCTCAAGGTGTAACTCTCCCCGGTTGCATCTACCTAAGACCTTCAAGCAAGGTGCGGATTCGTGGGCCAACGTGATGCTCACAAAAACTGGCAGTCCTTGGCCACGCGAAGGAGGAGCCTGGCCATGCACCCAGCATATCCCAGCATGCACCACAGGCCAAGGCCAGCCACCCTTTTGCCCTTTTGGGGCTGCTTGATGCGAACCCACAGGGTGCCCAAAAAGAATCAAATAGAGACCCCGTTTCAAAATGTTTTAACGTTAACCATGCAACCATCTCCCAAAACCTTGCCGGGTACTCATTTTGTACTCGTGAGACCCAGGGGCAAGGACCTGTTGAAATTAAGTTCTCTAAGCCTTTAAGCTCTCCTACTTCTGCCAAGGCACGGCCACAGTGCAGCGCTGGGTGCTGTGCTGGCGCTCAGTTGGTCTAAGCGCCGAAGCACCTGCCAACATTGTGGGAGCGGCCGGCGGCCGGAACTTGCAGTAGCGTGTGAGTCCATGTAGAAATTTGTCTTCTGTGCTGAGACCATAGCAATGGGAAGCAAACTGTCCCATGAACGGCCTGCTCCGGTGTCGGCCGTTCCGGCACACCCAGGCCGATGACGAAGAACCGACGCCACCGTACCTCAGCACAGCTTGGAATACGCCACTCAAAACACGTCGAGGACCGATCTCCCTTGAGGCGGTAGCGCTGTAGAGCTGCTGCAAGGCCGGAAGATCGCAGTTTGCATCCTTGCTGTAGGCAGTCTGCATCGGCGATAGATCTGTCATGTTATGATTCTCTCTTGGGGTCTCCTCCCACACCACGTCAGCAGGAACGCGTGCTGCAGCTCCAGCGGCGACCACCACGGACCTAACAAGTCTGCGGGGTTTTTTAAGCCATATCAAGCCATCGGCACGCGAGCCACCGAGTTGGAGGCGGCATCCTTCGCAACTCGGCCAAGTCAGCGCCTGCTGACTGCGACTGAAAAAATTCGCAAAAACGGGAAGAATGCTTCAACGCTTCCGTGCGAGTGCAAGGAGCTGACAGCCCAGCCAAAACAGCCAAAACAACTCAGAAAAAATCCTGAGGAGAAACGCGTTGAAGGGCCACCTTCCCGCTCCAGGTAGCCGTAGATGGCTGTCGCGCTGTCGGGTCCCACTGGGCTTTCTGACACAAAGCCCTTCAAGACCTGGCACAGGGCACACGCCAAGCTCAGCAGGGGTCACTCTTCACTCTTCCTGACTTTGGCATGAGCACAGGTGGAAGCATCCTCCCTTCTTGGCCTCAACACCATGATGCATGATGCGCCTTCATCACCAGCTCAATGCTGGGCTCGGTGACGACACCCAAAGCCTCTGCAAAGGCACCTGGCATGCAAAACAGGAACTACAACAGGAAAGACTCGGTTTCTCCGCTGCGGGGACAAAACGGGGGGGGGGGGGGGGGAAGAAAACATCGCGGAGAGCTCTCTCTGAGCCCGCGGCCAGTGACGGCCGAGCACAGGCGGCCCTTGAGCAGCCCAGCATCCTGGACGTTCATGCTCTCCACCCCATCTTTCCGCTCTCTTCCCCCTCAGCAAACCCTGTACAAGCCCTAGACTCCGAGCATCTCTGACTCCGAAAGTGCCCAAATGTTCTTTCCGGTTCCCCGGAGTCCGGCAATGCCGCCCGGACCGCCGCGGTGCCAGCCACCAGTTCGCCAGGGCAGCGCAGCGGCGAGGCCTGCACAAAATACAGGAGCACTAAAGCATGTGAACCCCACGAACCCCAGCAATTGCATGTAACATGCTCACCCATGTGGACGTTGCATTACTCCAGCTGTTGCCCTTGTGCTCGTTGCAACGCAGGCCCCTTCATGGGGCTGTCTTGCTGAATGCCTGTGGTAAGCACGAACATTCCTCTAAGCGACTGCACTCAAGACGATTCTGGCCGGCCTCAACACCATCCTCTGCTTCGTCCCCGAAGTCGTCCGGAGGAAGCCACGCGGATGACTGCAGAGCGAGCAGGAATGTAGAAGCCTCGGCAACCAGCAGGTCGACACGAGTATGATCTCTTGCATTATCTTGCACATTGAGGGGCACCATGGGGCCAAATGGCGCAACAACGCGGTGCAATCTCTATGCAGGCTATGAACTTCCTGCACTAGTTTTGTCTCTCCTTTTTTCGCAGGTTCGTTTGGCCGGTTGCAACACCGCACAGTCCTGGCATTGCTGAGATGGGCTTGCAATTGCAGCCATGTGCTACCCTGTTTGCCTATCAAAGGGCGTGGCTAGCCTACCCGAGTAACAACCTATGAGGTGGGCTTCTGAGGGCAGTGGCAGCATCTGGAAACGTAGTTTTACGACAATCGAGGCTGGTCGTACAAGGAGGTCCCGGATGCTAAAGCGAAGACCCTGATCGACAAACGCGGGGCGACCTCGCAAACAAACCCTCAACCCAGTAAACCCTACACCCTCAACCTCCCAACCACACAAAATATAAAAGCCTGCTGAGCCCGCCTGTTTTGGGATCAGGGGCCCCGTTGTTTTGCGATCTGGGGCTTTCATGGAAACTGCTCCGCTGGACCAGCGAACCCACGTGAAACTCCCACGTGCAACTCCAATCTCACCAGCAGTCGCCCTCCTCTGTGGACTCCCCGGCATCACTTTGTAAGCCGTCGGGATTCACATCCAGATTGATGTGGCTGAGGTTAGTCTTATATCGCACGAATCGCTTCATGCCAGACTGCCGAACTTGCAACGCCCTCTTGACGTGCATGTTGTAGGCCTCCTGGGCTTGCGATGCATGTGCAGCCAACAGGACTGTGGCATCAAACACCCTTCATGCTGACCGGCTTCGATGTGGGAAATGTCCGACGGCTTCGCAGGCACAACGAGCTTGACGGCGAACTGCACAAGCAGAACCACATGCTCGGCGACCACGAAGATGGCAAACTTTTCACCTTCAGGCCCGAGTGCTGCGATTTCCCTAGACTTTCTAAGTGCAACTGAGACACCTGCAGGACGGCAGCTACGTAGCCGTGCATGATGCAAACTCTGCAAGACAAGATAATACACGGTTTGACAAAACGAAGACAGACTGTTCAAGCTGAAGCCAGGTGGCTAGCTGACTTCATTCGCATGGGATAGAAAAAAACAGCGGCCAGGCCCACATTGATCACGACGGCCAGGGTGTTTATCCTCATACATGATTCAGAGGTTCTGAGCCCCCCAGGGGGTCAGCTCTACATGGCTCTACCATGCCCTAGTGTAGGAGAGCGGAAGAGTTCGCCGCATGAAGCTCTGACAAGGATCCCGGAGAAAACGTTCTCCCAAACTCCCAAGCCAGCACTGGCACGTGGCAGGGGCCTCCAAGGTAACACAAAGACTACCGCGACACATGGGGCTGCCTCGTGAGACGCGAAGTCCTATAGAATCACGCACAGATCTTCAAGTCGAGAGCCTGCGAGTCACGTAGATCATCCTCACCGGGAGCTTGGTCCACAGTTGCACTTAATTAAGACTGAGGGTCGCGATGTCCGGCAAAATTGCAATTCTTCGCAGCGTTAGAAGGTCTTCCTAAAGCAGTCCTATAGCAGCGCAGGCGAAGCGAGATCCTCGGCAGGACCGCGGCCAAGCTTTTCAAGCACACTTGCCATCATGAGAGGGGCGACAGCATACGGCTTTATTGCGCGTTCTTGCACTCTTTGGCACGTTTTGGCATTCAACTGGAGACGAAATCTATCCAGCCCCGAGCTGAGACTTCCGGAGATCAGTGCAGTTCTGTTGGTTCCTATGCAAATTCATAACCCTCCTGTCAATCCGACTGAACTCGCACGGCCCAGGTTCAGGAGCGAAACGAGGGCAACGGTGGCCATGACCGGCGAGATGATTCCGAAGCAAACGACCACAGCATAAGAGATCCTTGGAACATCTCTCTTTCAATGCGACACGTGTCGAAGAGCCACCACAAAATGGCACGATCTACCGGGCATGTGTGCACACAGAACACTACGCACGAAGGATGAACTGCTGATTTGAACGCTCTGCTGTTCCAGCTGATTCCAGCTACCCAAAGGAGCCAATGGCAGTCTGAGCCTCGCGAGGTCCAGGTAATCGTTGGTCTTGTCACCACCCCAGGAGTTCCACTCGTACTTGAACTTCTTGGCTTCCCACTGCAGTAATGAATAGACAAACTCGGTGCCGTCCCTCTCCTTCTTGCGGCGTTCCTTCCGAATCTCGAAGTACGAGATGGCGATGGGAATGATCAGAAAGACCATCTCCAGGGCGACGTTGAAGAGGAAGTACCTGGTAAGGCACAGGGCGGTGCCTGTTTAAATGCCCGATGACCGATGTTTGCCAGTGTCTGCCAGGTCACAGCATCCGTCATGCGGATTTCACAAAGATCTGAATCACTGCCAAACGCCAACAAAGCAGAAACAGCAGCTTTATCCATCTTTGTCCGAAGCACGTCTGAAGATTTAAAGACACGCTCTTGTCGCAGGTCGTCTCCGACCATTCCTAGGTCAGAACCCGATGCGACAGTTGCTACAGGCAAGATGGTAAGCAAAGTATGCGGCTCATGACAATGACCTGCGAGGCGTTCTACACATTCCGAAAGGCAGGGAGCTGCTGCGAATGCGAGACTTGCTGGGTGACAGCCATGAAAACAAACACGGCCATCTTTCTCGAAGCTATACAGCTTGATAGCCTGCAAGAAGAGTGCCAAGTCGTCAGAGCTTTTTGAATGAAACCTCAAGAGTCCTATTCTTGATGCACAGTCGTTAGCACCTTTTTGGAGAACTCCCCCCTTGGGCCCTCTCAGCCTCGAGGGACTCCGCCGAAAGGGATGCTGTGGCCAGGTTCTCTGGCCATGTTGCTGCCACAGCCTCCTCAAAGTTGTCTCCACAGGTGGACCTTAGGGGATGGCCATGCCAGGGTTTGCAAAAAAAATTGGCTCACTTCGAGGGCTGCGGCTTCGAGATCTGACGCCATGTTGCTGGTAGAGGGTTGCAAGGAAGCACGAGGAGATGAAGGGGAAGAGGGCCACAAAGAGCCTCAGCGTTGGAACGAACAGTCACAAGAAACTTGTCTTTGTACCAGTTCTAGTTTTTTTGTGGTCAAGCCTTTTGGGGCTTTCCGCTCTTCGCATCATTCCTTGATGGAACTTTGGAGAAGACCGGCTGTGGACCATGCAGCACTTGCTTTGCGAGTTTGCTGCGGCTTGCAAGGTCACGTTAGCAAGACAAAGCAAGCACCCAAGGGGTTTTGGACCTTTCGTGCTAGCATCTGTGAACTGCGCTTTGAACCAGGTATGCTTGGAAATTGCTATGCGTGCCAGTCACTATGCATGCCCGTCCGGTGATGATGTTGAGACATGTTGCGCTTGTTGCCAAAATGTCAGGCACACCGCTCTTTGCAATTGAGTTTGTGGCATCGAGCTTCTACCCCCATCATCTGGTAGTTTGCCTTCACTTGTATGTGAATAAAGACATATATATATATATCCTATATTGACCGCGGGCGACTGTTTCAGCACTGCTTCTGCTCTGGCTGATTGCGCCCTGAGGTCATTCGGCTTCGGCTTCAGGCCGCGGGTGTGACGCCCCTTTTCCATGCCCACGGGGACAGCGCTGCACCCAATCGAGCAACAAAGCTCCGCCGCGAGATGTGGATATTTCCCACAAGGGGTACCCCTTTATACCCCAAATAGAACAGCATCCCCTTAAAGGGACCCCCAAACAAGGTACCCCGATTTTCGGAAACCCCCATATTGTGCACGGCACTGCTTTGCAGATTTCAGCAAGAAGGCACGGCTTCCGAAATTCGGAAAAGAGCTTTCCACGACCCCATGAAGAGATTCCCCCGGCTGTCAGGGGCTCTGCAAACAGCCTCTCGCAAACAAGCTTCCTGCACAGGTTTGTTACATGCTTCTTTGGACCAGTTGGCCTGCAGTTGAGCCGAGATTCTTCACCACAGCCAGGACAGAGGACAGTTTCTCGACTTTGTCGTCCTCGCGTCGATGGTTCCTGGGGTCAGCAATGCAGTCGACAAGAATCATATAGAACACGATGTTGTGTGCAAGATGCAATGCATCGGAGGCTCTCCAGACGCACGATGGCCGGGGCTATCCATGTCCACGACAAGCTGCCAAGCTTGATGATCGCCGTCAGGATCAGAGGTGCCAAAGTCGCCCAGCTCTGATTCTCATCGTCTTGCGTTGAGAACTGCCAGTTCAGAACAAGTGAGATGGCTCCGATGTAGACCGCCAAGTACATGCCAGTGAGAACCTGAGCTAGTGTTGGACATTTCTCGATACCCCCAGGACTTCGGGCATGAAAGGAGAACATCACAGGTTCAGCCTGTTCAGCCCAAGGACGTTCACAATCAACGGCCACCAGGCACTTGGCTGCTTGGGCTCCCAGTCGGGGTTGATTTGCTCATAGTCCACCTATCAGAGGCCGCCCCAGCTGTTAACTGAAAAAAGGCGTGTGGCTGAAACACACACGGCACATGAAATATGAAGGGATATGCGCTCCACAATGGCACGGGTGGTGGTAAGATACAGAAGCAGGGAGAGAGGTGTTGGATTCCGTTTTCAAGTTGTGGAGTTTCCTCATATCTTGGATCTTGGTCTCATTGTCCCCGTTCCTTGAGACTTCTGCGCAGGCTAAGCACATTCTTCAGTGGATCAGGAGGCAGCGCCAGCTTTGCATGGAGAACAGGGGTTGTTTGTGCAATGATGGGATGAGATGTGCTTTCAAGCCAGGACACTTGTCTGAAAACCTGGCTGCCTAGCAAAAGAGCCATGTGAAAGCCTCCGAAAGCATCAGACATGTTGCATGGGATAATTCCGGGTTTTTTCCGCGAATACCCGGCATAGACAGCCGTTCGATTTAAGCTGGCCAATTCTCTGCTTTGCCGACCTCTGATGTTGTGGGTAAGAGGGATAAGAAGTCTCGTGACAGGGCCGCCCTAGGGCTTTGAACTCTAGGGCGAGAAAGCGCGCTTATTCACTGACCAAGCCATGAACCTCGACTCAGAGCCCCAGGCCCTACAGCCCTAAGCCGTAAAAACCCTGATCCCTCATCATAGGCCCGCCAACCCCGCAAACCCTACAACCCGACAAGCCCCACAAAGACAAGTCCCTCAACCCTACAAGCCCCCAAAAAGCCTCAAACCGAAGAGCCCAAAGGCCCTAAACACTCAAAGCCCGAAGCACCCCAAAAGCCCTGAACCGTAGCAGCCCTGAACCACGCCGACCCCAGCTGCCCGAACAGCCGAAAAGCCCTAAACTCACAACACCCCCAAACCGCAAAAACCATAAAGCCCGCGAGCCGCCAAAGCCCTAAAATGCCAAACCCCCTAGGCCCGAAAGCCCCAATCCCGGTGAGTCCAAAAGAGCCCTAAACCTTATGAGCCCCAAAAAAGCCCTCTGAACTCAAAAAATCTCCATGAACCGCGGTTCCTTCAATACTAGTTTTGGAGAACTTCAATCTCATCTCGTTTGCTGCAAAAATGGCTTCTCCGCGTATGATTTGCACATTGCCACCAGACCCCAGGAAAATTGCATTTCACTTGCAAACGATGCCCTGAAGAAAATCAGTACACCAAGTCGTGTAGCCTGGGTTGTATGTGCACGTTCGGAAAATAACCTGAAACTCTGCTCGATGCACATGGCTGCTACGCTAGGCTTCAAACCAGTGTCCTGACTTAGAGAATATAAAGAGAGTATACAGCTACCACCTAGAAGCTTTGGCCCGAGCCAGATATCCATCACAGCAGTGTGTGACCAAGCTCGGGCCCCACGGTATGGCATGGAGCTGGTGGACGCACAAGAGCCAGCAAGAGAGCTAAGGGAGCCACGGAGGCAGCAAACTCGGGGCACGGGGCCCGAAGGAGGAACCAGCCACAGAAACCTGTTTTGGGGAACAACAGATATGGGTAAGGAGAGGGGCAGAGAGGGAGAGGGAGAGGGAGCGGGAGCGGGAGCGGGAGGGGGGGAGGGGGAGGGGGAGAGGGAGAGGGAGGGGGCGCGGAGAAAAAGAAAATCGAGGGCAACCTCAGACCGAGTGTCAAAACTTCTTCATTTTGGCAGTCTGTCGGTCAGCCTGCAAAATTAAGGGTCTCAATTCCTCAAGCGGATTCTTGAGGCTGTCATTCCAAGTGGTAGTTTGGGACCTTTGCCATTGCGGAGGTGCTTGTTCGGCATGTAAGCGAGCCGCCAGCATCGGAAAAATGTGTATACAGAAGTGGGAACTCAAGAGTACACTCATCTAAGTAGCGCTTTCACTCTAGCACGCCGGAGGTCGTCCAAATTTCGACCCTGAATGTATCCTTCCTTCCCCCCTGCCCTGCATGTCCGAGCGTCGATATCATCCAGGCCCCATCGCACGCGAATTCTCGCTGTGGTGATCGCCCAGAAGACAAGCAAGATGGCAGCCCACACCTTCTACGGATTCCACCACCCCCGCCGCCCCTTAAGTGCGGAATGTCCAGGCGGACTGACAGCTCTCTGTGAGGTCGGCGAGTTACAAGGCCTCTCCTATCCCAAAGCTGTTGGCGAACGAGATCTTTGCCAGCAACTGAAACTCCCAGGAAAACCAAGAGAAACACCGGGGAACACACTCAACATCCCACCCATCTTGATCCTCTCGATCGCAGACACTGGAACACAGGCACATGCAGGCAGGAGGCCGAGTACACGGCGGCGAGTCCAGTGCGCACACGTCCAAGCCACTGCTGCGGTATGAAGCTCTCACTACCTGAGGGTTGTTTTCGAGCACTGAACAGATCTTAAGAACAAATCTTAACCGACAGTGCATTTTGCGACCAAGGAGCGAATGCCAGGATGGCGGGCTATATATATCACAAGCCCCAGAAAGGCAAGCAGCGACAGAGCATGGCCTCCGCCAGGCGTTTGCTAAAGGTGCCTTTCGCATCTTTCTCATCTTATGGATGAACCCCGCGACCTCCCACCGAATGCAAGGAAAGCGGCACACATATCCCAAGAAGCGGAAGTAGAAGCCGATCTCTGCACCGAAGTAGTCACCTGAAGAGTTGCTTTGCCCGAACACTGCAAAAAAAAACCTGCTTTCCTTAGACACCAACGAGACCTGCTCAGCTTGCCGAAGGCTTTGATGAAGTTCCCTCCTACTGTTCTGCTATGACCCCTCACGTTGCAAGATTTTAGGCCGAGTCTAGGCGCTGAGCTCGTCTGCTTGGTCTCCCTGGAAGTGCACCCACTTGCACAGATTCAGGAAGTGGTTGTGCAAGTTTGCGAGCGCATCGGGTTCGGGGCATGGAAAGTAGCAAGTGATGATTCCTGCCGCAGATGCTGCTTCAACATGCAAGCAAGCAAGGAATATGCAGGTTAAAAATACATATGCACATGCCCCACCTTGTCTTTCCATCTCGTCCAAGCTGACCCACTCATCCAGCCAGAACTCCAATAATCGAATGGAATCCCTTTTGCTGAAGGGTTCGAAGCGGTTGGCTTCGTGTATGCTGAAACGATCCCAAGCCACCAGATGTCGACCCTGGGAATCGTGCATGGGCTCCCGGCCAGGGTAGGGGCCATGGGGTTTGATTATCTCGTAAACACTTGTCTTGAAAGGCATGGCATAGTCCAGGTGCTCGGCCATGTGCTCAATGATCGGCCCATCCAGCGGGAGATAGATTTTCAGGAAATCCTCGTCTCGATCCACGCTCGGAAAGCTATGCATATTTAGCCCAGACTCCGCCACAAGCTCAACGAAGAGAGCTCTGACCATCGTCTGGTATCTGTCCATCGAGATCGACGAGGTTTCAGGCCCAATCTTGACTCGCAGACGATCCAAGGTTTGGGAACTATGCGTGTTGGCCGTCGAAATAAAGATCTTCTCCAGCTTCGACCACGGATTTTCGACCACCTCATCTGGATTCACTGTGCCTCCAGCATCTTGCGGGGGGGAAGGTGAGTTCCCGTGGAAGGCAAAGGCTTGAGCACTTGAGGTTCGGAGTTTCGGGAGCCCTGCTGCGAAAGGACTTTGAGTTTGGAGCTTACGTGGGTAATGGGGATGATAGCGCGTTAGGGCTGGGACCTCCAGCATGCGTCACACGAGGGAAGATGAGGACCTTGGAAAGCGAGACATGCAGTATGCTTTGGGCAGGCAAACAACGAAACTCAAGAACTCAAGCAAGCTTTGAGCGTCTTTTGGCACTTTTTGATATTTTCAAGGGAGCGCTTCGTATGCTGAAAGAGTGGTCGAGATGGTGTTGGAAGAGAAGAAGCAGTGAAATTGCAAGAGTTAAGATGGGGACCAGCGTGCAATCCTGCGTGTCATCCTGCATGTTCAGGTTTCGCGGCAGGATGCCCGGCAGGCGGACTGTCTCCTCCTGTCAGGGTGTTGAAATCATGTTGTGCGTCTAACAAACTAACATCCTGGCAGGCCATGGCAAATCCTGAGTGCTAGACCTACAACCATCTACAACCCATGCACGCAACCATCAAGGGACCCCGACACCTCGGCGCGAAAGCCCACAACTGTTCACTTCCCGGCTGCGTGCCGGTCTCTGTCCTTGAACGACGACTCACCATTGCTGAGGGCCCCGGTTGGTGGTGTTAACGGTGAGCCGGGCGAAATCGGCTGGTACGTCGATTGTCTTGCCATGGCCACGTCTCGCGGCATGCGGAGCTCGGCACCATGAAATGTAAAGCTCGAACAACTTCGTGACTACAGTGTTGACTGCAGGCGGCATCTTTGCTTTGCTTTGCAGACACGCGAAGGGGCACTGAAGGGCATGATGTGGGGGCGCATGGTCAATGAATCTGGGATGGCTACACCAAGGATACATCAAGCAAGGCTCGTTCACATGCCACACGGTTCCACAAAGCTCCTCTCCAGAGCACCCTTGGATATTGCAGCAGTGGTAGGGTCACGGCCATGCCGTCACGACGCTGTGCATATCGCAGGTAGCTGCTTTGCCAGGCAGAATTGAGTGCCTTGCCAGCGATCCATGGGCACGGCAGTCCTTCCTACTTTCTTTACCCAAGCCCAACAGCCCCTCTGAACTCCCCAACTCTACGGAAAAGCGACCCACCGGGTCGGGGGGGGGGGGGGGGGCCGGGCAGTGGGCTCACACCTCGGCCAGCAAGCGCGCCCTCTCGAGCGTGCCTGGAGTCAAGATCTGCAACCACGCTGGTATCAGCGAATTGGGGGATTCGCAGTTATGCACCGTTGATGTACCATCTGCCTGTTTCAGATGCTTCCTTGGCGATCGCTGCTGACAGCCGCTCAAACTCAGGACCTCAGCGCGCAAGTTAAGTATGTGACATGGCGAGGTTTTGGCTACTCCTGTTTGACTCTGTCGAACCGCTCTCTTGGCCCTGGGGCACCGGCTGCGGAAGTCTCCGTCTGACGCTTCGACCAAGGGACCTCCCCGGCAACTTCTCGCTTTCTGGCCGTCAGACGGTCAGCTTCAGCTTCCTCCGCTTCCAAGGCCCCCCGAGCCTGGAAGAGCCAAGCCCAAAGTCTCCAAGGCCTGCCGACTTCAGGGAAAGAATCCTCAAGCGTGCGTTGAGATGCCGTTCTTCTCTTGCATGTCATATAGGCCATTTTCATAATCTCAGGGGGTGCAGTGGATGTGGAAATACACTCTGCCTCGCCCAGGGCGGTGGCTCCGAGCTTCGGTGGAGCCTCGGAATCGAACCTCTACAGGTCATCCGGCTCCCACTGTTGCGAAAAGAAAGACACTTCGCACATCGGCCATGTTGCCGCGCTGTTTGGGGGAGGGGGGGGGGGGGGGCCCCTAGGGTGGGCTGCTTCTTACCTGCGAAGTGCCTTTCAATGGGCCATCTCAATACGAGCAGCCGCCGGCAGCCGGAGCTCCAGGATGCCCTTAGCGGCCTCTGCAGTCTACTCAAGCGTAACAAGTGTGACTAACGAGGGCATTCCATGTCATGTTCTAAACACCCCGTAAGGCCATGTGTGGACTCATGTAGACTCTGAACTCTCCGACGCCTTGTGGAGCCCTCAACTCCTGAAAGCTTGTCGTTTGGGGGGAAAATATCGGCATCCTGTCCTCCACTCCTCAAGCCCTGAACCCAACAAAAAGAAACGATCTCCCTCTTTGCCTCCTGAAAGGCAGCCGCACGGGGCGAGTGCATTGGCGGCGCCGAAAAGCGGCGACCAACAGCCACCTCCAGAGAGGTGCTTAGGTTGGTGTAAGAGCGTTGCTTTTTGCACGACCTGAGGTAGGGCTACGCCGCAGGCTTCACTTAGTTCTGGCTCGATGTGAGCGTGGTGGAACAACTTGCTGTCATGCTACACTATCGTATGGAGTTCGTATGTTTGCCGCTCCTTGCTGGGGGAAACTGCAAAACCGCGAAGAGTACACGGTGCGAGGCGAACTGCTCTTGCACCCTGGTGCCGTCTAGGACTCAGGAAACAAAGGTACGATCGGAGTGGCTCGAGATAAAAATGAGTCCAGATCTGTCCCTGTGGCTTCCGGCCGAGCAGCGTCTGGAACAAGCAGACCGGGATCTGGCCTCCTTCCGCCCTTCCCCCCAAAATTTCAAAACATTTTCTGAGACCACCCTGGACCCCGCCCCTTTCCCCTCCCCACTCTCCCGCACCCCTCCCGCACGCCCCCGGCAGTCCCCCCCCCAGTCCCCCCCCCCCCCCCCCCGCACAAACCCTGATACTCAACACACCCTACATAACATGGTAAACGTTTTTTTCAGAGCTTTTGCTCCTGGCTGCCCCCTGGACGTTCCTCCTATACAGGACTGGCTCTCCGCGAGCTGCGCTTCGCGCTGGGCCCGGCTGCCGAAACGGGCGCACACGAGCGTGTACGACCAGAGTGGGTGGGGCACCCGGGCCCTGCCTTGTCCATGTCCTTGAGAGGCCAGCCGATCGAGCTTCCGCCCAATTCTTCCGCTAAGGTGGCATTCTTGGCCTTTGGCGCCAGTGCCATGGATTCGCACAACGATCTGTGCCCTGAACGCCCTGACTCCTCGTTTGCAGCAGAGGTGCCAAGAAGCCGCCCAACGCCAGCAACGCGGAGGGCTGGCGAGGCGCCTTGCCCAAGGAAAGGCACAAACGGGACTCAGCGAAAATCATCATTCATCCGCTGGTCCCCCGTGGATTGCCATGTGTTTGGACGGGCAGGCTTGTGCCTCCTCAGCCGGGACGAGACACGGCACGGAAGTGCCTCGGATTGGATGATTGGGCAGCAAGGGTATAGTGCGACCGCCACACGTAAACAACTTCCAAAATTTTGCGAGGTTTGAGCCAGGCACGCCTCCATGCAATTGCTCTGAGAGCCGAGCACTTTGAAAAGAGTGGCCCGATGATGTCCTTGACAACCTGGCAAGCACATTGGTCGCAAGATGTTGAAAAACATTTGAAGGGATCAATGGCTGCGACACCGAAATGCACCGGATGCTGTGGAGCAAACTCAGACTCTGGCTAATCTAGGTGTCAATGGAACGACACCCAATCGGCGCAGAAGCTTCCTGCCAAGAGTTCTCGCGCAAAAAAAAGCGTTCGCATGCAATTCGGGTGCTTCAGTATTTTCATGCTTCAACATCGAACTGTAAGGCTAATGACTACAGCAATGGTCTCTCCCATCTCTGCGCCGTCATGTTTCGGGACAGTTGCACTTCGGCTTTGCGCGTCCTGATTCGTGCGGCCGCCAAGGCATCCATCGCTCCTTTCATCTTCTTGATCGGGGAGCGGAAAAGTGCCACTGCCCCACTAAGCAGCTGCTTTCATTGCATGCTCTGGCTCAGCTACGCAGCTCTGCGACTATGACACATGTGTCGTGCACGGGCTGCTGTGAGAGTTTCGGCTGCCTTCATCTGAATCAGCTCCACCTGGGTTGCCCACAGCACTCAGATCCAAGAGGAAGGAAAATGAACCCGAGAACTCCGAGAACGCCTCATGAAAGTGCAAAGAAGCTCGGCCGCCAGCCTTCAGCAAACAACCTGCCATTGGAAAATGACAAGATGGGGGACAAGAAAGCAGTGACTTGTCACTTTGATACATCTTGGAAACAGATACGACACTGTCGTTTTTTCGCAATAAGAAGCGTCTGCTAATAAAATCTCTGGGTTCTTTGCCCAAAAGAAAAGTACTACTCCGTACCCTGAGCTACAGTCCTACCTCGGATCCACGGCACGCAGCTCCGCCAGCAGCTCCGGCGGAAAGCCTTCGACCTAAGAAGCACCGTGTGGCCACAGCGCGGGGATAGAAGTCAGGGATGCCTTTCAACTTCAGGGTCTCTAGCGCAATATTGCTTGGAGTGCAGGATCTTGAACGACACAGGCCTCTGGTTTCGCCGGCGGCAGTACCAGCTTGCTGGCTGCCGGCTGCAGCGAGCCATCACTTTGGAGCGGAAGCAACGGCAGCTGACGGGCCACCTGTGCATCTGTGCATCAACACACCGGGGCTTCGGGGGCTTTGGAGCCGTTTCTGCGTTGACTTAGTTGACTTCCTCTGTCCTCTCTGAATCTTCCGTGGCCTCCACCAGGCGGGCAGTGTCGTTGCGGGGCGCCGCATCCAAGAGCTGGTCCTGGACCGCGAGTCCGGCTGCAAGAGTCTTTTTGTCGGAGTCATGCGGCAGTATGAAAGAGTCCAGCAGAACCAGGATCTGCCGCCATGCGTCCAGTCCAGGAAAGGCCTTCTTGCAAAGCGGAATGCTCCGCGCTCACGATGAGCGAAGGGCAAGCAAACTAAGCGGCACGCACACACACACACACACACACACTCACACACACACACACACACACACACTTTCTACTTCGCCCCAGATGTGCTACAGACGCAAAAGGGTGCTCTACCGCTTAGGCGCATTGTTGTTCCTTGTACAGTGGTTAGCCGTTCCTTCGGCATGGAGACCATGAAGAAGAGCAGGTACATGCACGAAGCATCCCCGAATATGACTCGTTGTTGTCGAAATTTGCTGCTGATGCTACCATGACCAAGTGATTCCCAGTCAGCCGTTCACTCCTGCCGCCAGAACAAACAGATGGCGCAAAAGGCGATGTGGAACTCAACCCATTTGATTGGAAGACCACCTGTGAACCAAAAAAACCAGTGAGATTCGACCTTTTCTGCGGCTGCATAACAAGAATTCGCCTCGGCTTCCTGCCGAGAAGCGTTTGGAATAAGCAGACACGGGATCCGGTCTCCTTCCCCCTAACCCAACCCTTCCCCCAAGGATTACAATTACACGCGAAATTCGCCAATCACAGAGCTGAGCGAAGTTACAAAGAAGTCCAAAGGAGGTCCAGTCCGGCAAACTCTTCGTGGCCTCTGACTTAGGCAGCAGTCTGAGTAGAGTCGACGCGCCGAGGCGCTGGACCCCGAGGCCTGGATTTCTGGAGCTTGATGCTTGTGGCTCCGCGCTGCACAGTTCGACATGTACGGGGAGAATAGGTCTTTGATGTCTGTTGTTTGGGCTTTTTGTGCTTCTGTACTCGATCTTCACCTGTCGGGACCTTCGCACGCCTTCGGACACCATGGGGCTGCAATCTCTGCTATGGTTGCTTGTGAGTACGGAAGCACAGGCCCCGGCTGTCCAGCAGCCCAGCTGGTGCGAAGGCCTCAACCTCAGACACCGACACCGAAGTCCATAGACACGCACAACAGGCCCATCCGATGCTCCGAGCTTCGTGTCCTAAGGTCCCAAGGTCCTAAGGTCCTACGGTCCTACAGGCTGACTTAGCCCAGTGGGGATCCGAGGGGACTGGGCCTTCCGTGCAAAGAGTCACTGAAGCCGGCCTTCTCGTGCAGCAAGTGAAGACCTGCAGTTCTTTTCAGCTGAACACAGCTTCTATCGAAGCAAGCTTGCTAGCACTTGGCCATGGTTTTTCCCCCACGCCGCCACCTTGAGAACGCAAAGCATCACGAAGGGGCGAGCATCCGTCGAAAGCTCCACGCGCCTGGTGAACGGCCATGAAAGCTGGGCTGTTGAACGGGTCAGCGGATGCTCCAGTGGAATGTGGCTGTTGATGGTTGCGTGGTCCGCTGATCTCTCCCCCAAGTGCTTCTTCGGCACCCTGCCCTCCCGCCCCCTGCTACAGGGATCTATGGGACCAGGGAGAATCCGGGATTATTCTTCAGCGAATCTGAGTTCGAGCGCTCATGAGGCCACCGTGTTCTTCCCGCTCATAACAAGTGTGCGCTGGTGTTTAGTGACTATCAAGCCAGAGCGGAAATGACAACTTGCCTTCGGGACTCGGGACATGGCCTGAGGGACTTTTGTAGGCTTTCGCGTGCTCAGCACGCTCAACATAATACTCTTGAAGTGGTCACATTGAAACCTCATTTTTTGGGGCTCAGTTATTCAGAGCTTGTCCACGACGTCCACAAGCTCTACGCTGCTACTGTACACCCCAAACAACTCCCACCGCAGCTGTTGACCCGTCAGCACCCTTTCGGCAACAAGCGTCTCACAGTCTTGCATCCAGATTTTGGAACTGCAATCTGTGTCAAGATGTAGCTGAAATCAAGATGTAGCTGGAATCAAGATGTAGCTGAGTTCATGGTGTCTCTGTATCAATACAAGCAGATTGCTCATGCGAATGGTCTCCAGGCGAGGCTATGACAGCCTGTGTGCCAGGAACGGCATTAAAAATCCTCCTCAAACCAGTTTAGCTACTGACAGCTGCTAGCATGCCAATGGCACCGCCCAGAAGATCCAGTTTTGGAACAGGCGCTCAGTCTGACAGGGAGTGGGATATAAACCACGCAAGTACCCATCTCCAAGTAAAGCACTCAACATGCCCATCATGATGTTACAAACAATGCCCATGAACGTAGCTTGGTGGATGAACGGCAGCTCCCGTAAGCCGTGCAGCACCGGAGCGGGCACCACCTTCGCTGGCTGACCAAGCCTCCTTCGTAGTGCTCCCCATGAGCCGTCATCCTGACCAAGCGCAATCCTTGGGAGAAAACGAAGGCAAAACTGAGCGTCTCTTCAAGCACTACTCCATGATACGAGTACCATGGAAAGCAGAGCAGCCGCCCCCTTGATTGCTACCTGGAAGCTCCTTGCGCATCGATGTGCTATCACAAGCGACGGAGGCGAATCCTCCATCTTGTTGAAAATTCCCCTGCGGCCTCTGAGCATGCTGGGCACTTGGGGGTTCCTAAAAAAGCAACTTCGAAGCCTGTAGGTCCGTTGTAGGGTTGTAGGTGGTTTGGGGGTTAGGGGTGATTGGGATCGGCTGAGATGTCCTGATCCGCCACTCGTAGGTTGCCAAAAATCGTGGATGCATGTAAGACTCCGGCTCCCGCAACATTTCTGCAGTCACCGGGCTTTCAGGCAGTATCCGGAGGACTGTCCAGTCTTCGAGGATCTCCGTCGCAAAAAGACCCAACATGGCACAGCTGGCCGAAAAGCCAAACCCAGGAGTCTGGGGGTGATCGAAAGGTAGGAAGCCATACACAACGGCCCTTGCAATCACCAGCGCCAATACGACGATGAAACGGAAGTAGCCTGCATAGATCTTAACTTCATCGTGCAGCTTGACCCAGGTGCTGACTCCAAACAGACCTGCAGCCACTCCAAGGCCGCAGGTAGCGCGGACCGTGTGGAAAAGCAGGAAGCGAATCCAGCCCAGCCGTAGCAAGGTGTTCATCACATACGAGGCAATTGCAACTCCTGTCCACCCAAAGTCGTTGCTGCGTATCCTTGGGTTGACTTCAGCACTCCTTGTCTAAGGACTACCTGTTCAACAGGGGTGCTTCGACCAAAACTTCTTTAACGAGAAGCGTAGCATAGGCTTGCTCTTGGGGAGTCCGCCATTGGATTTTTGGTTAACCCCAACTCCCAGAGCAAGCTTTCAGTGCCTTTCAGTGCAACCCGGACATGAAGGACTACCTGACCCTCTGAGACTGCATCATGGCGACTCAGTTGTACTCAGAATACTTATAGCCTGTCCTTCCGGGAAGTTGATCAAGCGTGCCGGTAATGTGCCCCCAAGTATCGCCCCCGCCAGTACAGCTGCTAACCGCACGCACTCTGAGGAGGCGTGAGTGCTGGCGACTGCAAAGGTGACAGGGATATACAGCTGATCGCCAGGCACGCCGCCAGTCCCTCCCGTGCGATGGGGCCAAGCACATCTGCAGTAGACTTCACGCACCACAGCAATGAACACCAGTTCGCATGCAGCGGTTGCGGAAGGCAAGAACAAAGAGCTTCCAATCACATATCCGTGCGCAAGCAAGGAGATGTAGGCCATGCCATTCAACAAGACAACGCCCACAAACCCGTAGGTGCACAAGCTGTATGCCACAACCCACGCGACACTCGGGCCAAATTGCCGCTTTGGGTGAGAATTCCGAGTCCTCCAATACTGCAATATGGCTGTGATGAAAAGACATGAGCACGCAGAGGCCAGCTCTGCAAAAAACTGCGATGCTCCCACAAGGTAGAGTGGTGTTGTGGCAATCAAAACTGCAAAGGTACCGACAAGCTGAACAAACGCAGACACATGCTGGCCTGCAAAAGCAACTCCAATGATATCCACAAGGGCATACTGTGCTCCGACGATGCTCAAAAGACTTGAAAGAATCCTCCACCAGATGATTTCAATCTCACTGGCAGCTTCGAAATGCATGGACAAGGCCAGTCTGGTGGCGAACCCCAGCAACTGCAGGCACCCAGCCAATAACACAGAATTCGTGGAGAAAGTGCCGAAAGCCTTCATTTGGTCATCCTCCACCTCTACATGATGGTACCGAGCAGATGACCAGTCTGGGTTAAGTACCACATGTCCCGACATCTCCACACAGATTTTGCCGTCCTCATCGAGGATGCGAATATGTCTAAGCTGACCAGACGCAGACAGGATCTGAAGCTGATGACTCTCCGGCAAACTGATAGCATCAGGGCCCGTTTTCGTCCAAAAGTGACCAGCGTGCACACCAAGCCGTCGGCCCAAGTTGGATGTCACAAAGGATGCAGATGGCGGATGCCAAAACACGGAGCCTTCTTCCTAGCAAGGGCTCCAGTCAATCAGATGGCTGGATTTAGGCTTCGGCTTGGGGCCCCCGAGGATCCTTAAAGGTGTTATCGCTTCCTGCCTTCTGACTGAATCCAATCACCGAGACTCGCTTGTCACCTCATGGAAAGCATTGAGGGCCATGCTTGACAAGGTTCGGGGTGGTTCAGGAGAAGTACAAACAAAGATCACTCAGACAATTCTACACCGGTGCTGAAAAAGATTGGCCTACTTTTTTTCGCTCTGGTACAAAAATCCCACAATTACCATGCTGGCCAGGTCGCCAGGCCCTCGGGTCTGAATGTGACACAGCCGTCCTCCAGCTCGCAAGCGGCGTCGGGCCAGGAGTTCTTCGGCATCATCTCCCGAGCCACAGATGATCAAGCAAAGGTCCTGGGGATCACGAGCGGGAGCTGCATGAACTTCAGTCTTAAAAAACCGACAACAGCTTGCCTTCCATAGCGGCATTAATAGATGATTACAGGCACCATTCGCGGTTTTCATTGTTGATACACGTTGTAGGGTTGAGATTGTCGCAGCAAAACTGAAAAGCGCATTCAAGATAGGCCCAGGCTCTTTGTAAGATGCATCCATCCAAAGCCGGTTCAGTGGCTTTTTAACAATCACGGCGAAAAGGGAACGCCACACGTGGAGGGAATTGCTTCAACTGCAAGCCAAACTGCTGGAGCTGCATCGGCTGGTTACAAGATGTTACAAGCCATTCAAGGCAATCTCAAAAATCTTTTGCACATCGGCACACCTGTAGAGCCCAGCCTCCTCTGAGCATCTTATCGCCTCCGCTCTGTCACATGGTTTCGCATCCCGGAGAGGCTAGACAAGTAGCAAGTATTGCGTACTTCGTTTCGGCAACTGTGTCTCGTCGCTCTCACGTCGCATCGAATGCAGATCACAAAACCTTTTGCCTGCTGCGGCTGGCAGAATGTATCCTCATCGGTCAGCATGCATTCGCAGCCTGACTTTCAGGCAACAGCTCTCTTTGCTGTAGGTGGGATGAAGTTTAGAATCATGCCGTGATTAAGCTGGACGTTATGGACAAAGCCAGGCACCTCTGAGCCGTGCTTGGACCTGCGCCAAAACCGGCCTGTGTCGCAGAGGGCCCCGGGCACCCCCCAAAGGTCAAAGCAGCAGCGCGCTCCAGGGCTTTGCTAAGCCTGCGATCTGAGAACCCTAGCCTGAAGAAGGAGGATGCTGTCGAGGCCGGTGGGATCTTGGCTTGATTATCTTTCATCCATCAGAGAGCGCAAATCTCACTCCGCGTTCGCCGCGTTCTCCACTCAGGCCCAGTCTGCGCTGTAGTAGGTCCAGCGCAGGGCTGAGCTGGGAGGCTCGGCCCTCACGGCAGCCACCTCAGCGATCCATGAAAATCCATGCCCCATCCTGAGATTTGCGATGCCTCAGAGCCACTCCCCAACCCAAGCTCGTCGCCAGTTCCATCATCAGCTGCGGTATCTGTGCCTCAAGATGATTCAGCTAAGCCAACACCACGTAAACCCAAGCTCGGAGGTCTCTCACACAGTCGCTGAGTCCTTCAGGAACTCGTTCCAGGCGCAGCCCGCAAGCAACTCCTCTCTCGAGGAGGACACAGCCCAATCCTCAAGCCACAAGACACGCAACTGGACACAACTGAACCCCCCACACAACATTCAGCTTGCATCGGGAGGCCCCTGGAGCACCCAGAAATGTTCTGCCCCACAAGAAGTCTGGGCCACCGCACAGCTTGCAGGGCAAAGGGCAAGCCGTAGGATCGCACCGGCAGGAAGGCGAAGACCTGCTCTCGACTCGCAGGTGTCAGCTTCGGGATCCGGGCTCTCCACTCTCCAGATCACGCGGGTTCGTCGGTTGTGGCCCTTTCGGTGCTTTCGTGAGGTGACACGGCGGTCCGTTCCGGCGCCTGCTGCGGGCCACGGCTGCGGTCGAAGCCGCCTGGAAATCTGCGGAGGCGTATCTACGCGTCTCGTATTTGGTTGCCATGTTTCGTGCACTTAGGCCCAGGCCCTGGGAGTCTCGAGGCAGCGCCAGCTCCAGAAGTGTGGAGGGAGGCGAAGCCAGACCAGGCTTTGACAGTCCCTAAGCGAAAACCCACCAGCGATGTTTTTTGTGAACGGCGTGAACGGCACTTGGCTGAGGCGTGCACTTCCGGCACCTTCCGTTCAAAGGGCCAAAAAGACCCACACCGTCAAGCAGTCAAGCCTTCCCCCCCATCGCCATCACTTGTCGCCCCAGGCCATGCCTGGAACTGTCGGCGCAGAAGAAGCCAGTGGTCTTCTTCCCAACTCCGGCCTCCAGCTGAGCCAGATGCCGGTTGAAGTTGTGGGAGGATGTGGTCAGATTGTGGTCAACCGCCCGTGCTGATCCCATGGCCTCCATCTCGTGAGACCTCTCAGTTTCTGCAGCGGCTTGCTTGGGATTAGACACGGGGATTGTCTGGGGTGTCATGCCGGATCAAGCAATTCGAGACATTCCCTGAAGCTGCCTCGAGTTTGACAGGGCCTGTCATCTCTTCCCAGCGTTTTTCAACGGGCGCATCCTGGATTTTCAAGAACTTTCACTGCCATGTCAAGGCCCTACGGGTCCCTAAATCGGTGTGCCCAAGCGACAAAAGGCAAGCAAAGAGCGGCTCAGAGAAGCGGTGTGTGCTGCGTCCTGGGCGTAGCGCACGCGAAGAGCTGCGCAATCTGCTCCTGCAACCGAAAGCTTGCGAATGCTTGCAACCTCCCTCCATCTCTCTCCCAGAATTCTGCGGCTCGATCCTCCTTCCTCCTTTTGCCCGTCCGACAGCGTTCCCTGCAGCTCCACGGAGACCTCTCGCCGGCGTGACTGCATTCAAATCATTCCGCAAAAACTATATAAGCTCTCAGTAAGAGAGGAAGAAAGAAGAAAGAGAGAGAGAGAGAGAGAGAGTGAGAGTGAGAAAGAGAGAAAGAGAAAGTGAGAAAGTGAGAGAGTGAGAGAGTGAGAGAGTGAGAGAGAGAGAGAGAGAGAGAAACAAGAAAAAATAGGCAGACATCGGAGACTTTGTCCCAGACAAATGCTCCTTCAAGGGGGCGCGGGCGGGGCCTCCCGGAGGCGCTTCAAGAAGAGGAGCAGCGAGGGCGGCAGCGCCGCCAAGCGCCGGAAGAGCTCCTCTCGAACTGGGGAACTGTCATTCTGAGAGCTTCCCGACTTCGGGCTACGGCCAAAACTCTACCGGTTGCCGGTACCGGTAAGCAGTAGCTACTTCTGGTGTCAGGTGCTGTCACATCCGGGGCCTCTTTTCGAGCCCGCAGCTCCGATCGCAAGGGCATTCGAAGCACGGAACCCCATGAGGGCCTCGGGGATGCGGCTCTCGGAAGTTCCCGGAAGAAAGATCTGCCTCTTTCCCTGCTTTAAACAAGTAGCGGGCTTCCTAAACCGAACCAGGCCTGCACAGCTCCTCAGCTTCCGAGGCATCTTCGAGCCACCGGGGCAGCACCTCACGAGAAGCAGTGAGGACCAAGGGCCACCACCACCAGAGCGCCAGCCGGAAACAGGCCAGGTGCGCGTAGCCAATGCCGCTGGGATGCTGGGAGTCCTGAATGCTGGGCCTACACACCCTCTTAAAACTGCCCATGTTGCACATTCCGAACTTGCGATTTCACCGAGGCAGCGGCGAATTCCAAGCGGTAGGGTCCCGAGAGAAGCCGAGGTCGGTCCGTCAATGCAAAAACCGCCTCCGAACGGCACGTCTCCAGGCCGAGTCTCTCGGAGTCTCTCGCTTCGGTCGTTCCAGGTTCAGATTTGCAGGCTTGGAGATGCTGAGATTCAAAGGAAAGCTCACAGAATGCCACATGGTTGCACTTCCTAGGTGCGTAGTGACAGCATAGTGAGCACAGCTTTTTGCTCGAAGGGATCAGTGAGTGACTCCGATGTTCCGGAAAGACAGGCAGGGTGCAGGAGTGCACCTGCGTCCGTTTTGCCATTCTGCATATTCTCGCACGAAAGGGCAGCGTCGGCCAACGGGCGGTAGCGCGAGAGAGAAGTGACGGGGCTGGGGGACGGAGGAGGGCGCAGGCATGCTTTCGCAACGAAAGGGTACGCCTCATAACACTGGATAACTGAAAGGAAACGCCCAAACTCGATCAAACTCGCACATGAGAGGTGGGCTTTCGCACAACATTCCCAGGCCATCTGTTCTTGTTGCGCGACAGCTATGTCCAATATGAGAGGCATGCCACAGACTCTTCCAACTCCTGTCTGTCGTCTTGATTGTCCGACTCGTGCTTGATTCAGCTGGCCACGGCCAGAGTCTATATCGTTCAGCAGTTTCCAGTTTCCTCTGATCCGCCGTGAGAGTCGGTCGTACCAAGGAGAAATGCACGTTTCGTGTTGCAAGCACGAGCCAGTTGTGAATCAGCCAGCAAACTTCTGTGCTGCAGGTCGCTCACCATCTAATGTTTGCGCATCACACTAATCCCACCTGACCTTGAAGCCAAGACCCTTCTCGCCAGTGGCCACGACACCTCTCCAAGAGTCTGACAAAAGGCCACTCTGTTCGAGTCGCTGTTCTAGGGCCCGCACGACCGCCGGGCCCATATTTGGCAACTCCAACCTCGGTAAATCGTGAGAAAATTGCTGTTGCGAGCGGTTCGCCTCTCGGCCTGCCTTCGACGAGTTCCCAATATCACAGATCGCTCGGATGTCAGCCTGTCCGCATGCTGCTTTTCGGTGAGATCGGCAAAGACTCCAACAATTTGAGCGCGCGGCTTCGCGAAATCCCGTTTCGTTGCACCGGAAGATGACCTGCTTGTACCAGGTCCCTATCCTACAGCACAGAATGCTGGCTTGCTTCCATCAGCGAGGGGAGGGTACCCTTTTCGCACCTGTTGTTTGGCTACTTCCTGGGCTGCCTGGGGCTACCAATTTTGCAGTTCTGCGAACACTGTGGTGTTGTCAGTTTGCCTTTGTGCTCGGAATCATGCTCGGATGGTCGAGCGATGCAAGAAAGTGGCCTGAAAGCACCAGCCCTTCTGCCCGCAACTTTACATAATCGTAGGCTACGAGTGAACTCTACAGTGCTCCGCGCAAGAAACTCACTTCAACAGAGTCATGGTTCTGCCTCACCGCCTTCCGAAGTTCGTAGAAGGAACTCGGCAGTGGGCACGGCCCCCGCCTGAAAGACTAAAGGAGGTCTCAGCTACCTGTGCGGGCCACTTTCGGGGCTGGAAGGATGGGACTAAATATGAAATTGATACTTAGTGTCCGTTGTGGCGCTTCTGCTGTTGTTGCTCTCTGCTTCCCTTCCCTTGCCTTCTGCATTCCAATTTATGCGATTTGTTGCAGCTTTCGGCAGAACTCAGGCCTTCGAATACAAGTGTGCAGAGGTAGTACGGAACAGAAAGGGTCTGTGAGCCAGCCTGAAGGTCTGCGATCCCTTTCAAGATTACTCGTGTATAGACTTGCATTCATGCCGTTCTGGTCCCCGCACCGGAGCTCCGTGCCGAATGAAGAATTCATTTCCTCTATAGTACATCCTCTTACACCCGGTTTGCAGATGCCCGACAGCTTAGTGGCTTGGATTGCGAAAGCACACAAAAATTGGATGATCACAGGGGATGGCCTCGTAGGAGTTGTCGTCCGCATTCCTAAGAGCTTGCCGAGGCAAGTGCTGGGTGGCGTATGATGACTGTCGCTTGATGCAGACCAGAGGCTGCAGGAGCTCGAGCTGCCAGTGAACATCACTTCCATACCTGGCAGCCCCTCTGTTTGCACTTCTTCCATGGAGTACAAGATTCCGTGAGGCTCGAGCAACTCTCCGGCCAAGCGCTTCAGCGCCCTAGCCAGGCGTGCGTTCTGTTTGACCTGAAGCGAGCTGGTGGGAACTTGGGCGAGCTAGTTTGGCAAGTGGGATGTACCGTGGCATGTGCAAGCTAACTCTGAGTGCTCTGCCTGCAACTCACCTCCAACCACTTCGTCACCATTGAAGCCGAACTCCTGGGAAATGCTGTTGAATGGAGACAAAAATCCCAAAGGTTCAGCGGGGGGAACGACAGAGTACTGTGATTCTTTTTTGCACCTTGTTTTGCGGTCTCAGTCAGTGCCGTCTCCTCTCTTCTCCCGCCGAAACGAGGGCTGAGACTGGGAGAAGCGTTGTGAGACAGGCTTCTCGCTCCGATCACGCTCGAAGGGCAGCTTCTGGCACTCAGCTTGGGTGTAGTCTCCGTGGTGTTTGCCTCGCTCGCGGTCTGCCAAGTCTACCTCCACGATGGCCTCAAAGCGCCCGAGGAAGCACAAGCGCAACTGTAGAAGCACTGCTCTCTTGCCCTGAATGTCCTAAGAGTGTCCTAAGACACCTTTGACCTCCAAGCCAAAGACTGGTATCACTCTTCGTCTGCTCGTTCTTCCTCTCCTCCTTAGCCCCCTTCACTCCATAAGTCTGTGCACCCTCTCCATTCCTCTCTATTCCTCTCTTATCCTCTCTTCCTCTCCATTCTTTTTTTTTTTATTGTTTATCCTCTCTCTTCCTCGCTTTTCCTCTCTTATCCTCTCTTATCCTCTCTTTTCCTCTTTCCTCTCTTTCTCTCTTTCTCTCTGTCTTCCTTCCTTCCTTCTCTCTGTCTCTCTGTCTCTCTTTCTCCCTTTCTCCCTTTCTCCCTTTCTCTCTTTCTCTCTTTCTCTCTTTCTCTCTTCTCTCTTTCTCTTTCTCTTTTTCTTATTTTCGTAATCTCACTCTCTCTGCCTCTCTCTGCCTCTCTCTGCCTCTCTCTCTCTCTCTCTCTCTCTCTCTCTCTCTCTTTCAGCGTTGTCAAAACAAAGAACTCTGCGTGGCAAGCCGCTTCGAAGGGAAGGGTCTCCCAGCTCAGTGCCGCGAAGCGGAAGTATCCCAGGGCCAGTGCCGCCAGCGCGAGGCCCGCAACCAGGGGCGCCTCACGTGTGCTGCTCGCCTGGCTGATGAGTCCCACCTGAGCATGCTTTGAGCAGTGCATTGCTCAGTGCTCTCGTTTTCGTTGCTTTGTACTTTGCCGAAAGTGGAGTCTGAAAGACCCAAGTGGCCATGAGCAGCACGTAGATTGCCAGGCCAGCAAAGACATGGCGCAGGCTCTTTACCCAGAAAGATCCCCCCATGTCCGGCTTCTTCGTTTCTGCGTAGATCAGGAGGTAGCCATAAGTCAGACCTCCGATGCTGCAGTACAACCACGCAAAGACCAGGATGACTGGGCAGCAGCTCCCGAAAACACAGGCGACCACCAGGTGAAGCGTGATCTTTGCCATGCGAGCTCCCATCCCATCGCTGTCCTGATCCTGCGTGTATCGTTCCCCCCACTTTTCACCCCTGATTCACCCAGTCCCCCCCCCCCCCCTACATCTTTCACGCGACACACGGCAGAAGTTGCTCTGAAGTTTGAGACCGTCCTCTGGCTCGCTGACCCTCCGTGCATCAGAAGCGTCGCCTCCACGTGCCCGTGCAAAGAGGTACTTGGCCAAAGGGGCAACACGCAAGAGGTCAAAGACGTGCACGAGGCAGCCCAACATCAGGTAGTTGATGTAAAAGTTGGAGAAACCCGGCAGGGCATCTGCCAGCAAGTAGATGACCTCACCAGGGTGCGCAAGCACCTTTGCCAAGACATCCAGGATGGTCCCGATGATCGCCGTCACCAACAGGACGAAGACAACCTAGGGAATGCAGAGGAATGCATAAGAATGCGTACGAATGCATAGGAATGCAAGGACTGAAAATTTACTCCGACGGTTGACATCAGATTAAAAAGGAACAACTGGTTTGGGAGCTGCGCCTGGAATGAGAAGTACCAGTCCTGCAGACAACTCGCAGACACTGCGTCCAAGCGGGTTCTAAAGACCATACTGCGGTGACCACACGACATGCTAGCTACACCCGAAACTCGAGGCTGTCAAGAGATCACGAACCGCTGCGATGGCTCCTGTAGCTTCAGTTGTGCCCACGTCCCCGCTTTGAGAGTCAAGACGTTGCTGATGATGGCCATCAGCATCGTGGGCAGAAATGACATGAACATCTTCAAAGCTCCCGTGCTCAACACCTGAGTGCAGAATACACCCATACAAATCTTGTACCGACGAAGAGCCCCTAAGTTCCCCAATACTGCAGACGAATAAGGCCGGTCTTTCAAGATGTTCATGGTTCAGTTCCAAGGACCCCCTGGACCAGGTGCTGGATTCCTGGAGACTCCTTGAAGAAACTCAGCAGAACCGGCTCTACCTTGTCCATAAATGTGGCGATCAGCGGCGCCCAGACCACGAAAATCAAAAGCAGCAGCCCTGCCGCGGTGATGTTTCCGGAGGCCTGGGAATCTTTCAACGGTGGCATGTCCCTACGCTGCTTGGCGTTGCCACTACATGCTCTTGTTACATTGGTGCACATGTAACAAGAGTTGACATGAGCCGTCTTCTCAGCACTTGCTCAGCTCAGCCGCCTGCACCTTGGGATCCTTGGCAAGGTCTTGAAAGCGCACGTCCTGAGGATCCGGGGGCATGGTGACCGTGATCTGCCGGGAATCCGCGCGGTACTGGGGCGAACGGGCCAGCATGCACATCCTGCGGGAGGTGAAGGTCACAAAGCCCGCACAGCTGCAAACCTCTGGGTCCATGGCCATCACACCCTCCTCCACTGCCTTGCGTTCCTTGACCACAGCTTCCCGCAAAGCTTCCAACTCACGAGTGTAGAATCCGACGGCGTCCCGCCGGTGGCAGCACAAAGCACTCTGCAAGCTCTGACGGGCGGTCCCTGCTCCCGGAAGTGTGGACGGTGACTGTGACATCTGCGACTGTGTTCCTTGTGGTTGTGTGCCCCGCGAGCTCTGAGCGCAGTGGAGGTCATACGCTGCCCGCTCCATTTCCACAAAGACGCGGCGCAGGCGGTCCGTGCGCCGCACGATGTAGGCCCTCGAGATGGCATCCGCGGAGAAGAGCCGTGCGAAATACTGGTGGAGCGCAAAGTCTGACCGGCACTCTTGAGGCAGGTTCTCCACCAGAAGCGTTGTGGCTCTGGGCTCGGGAATTTGCTTCAACCATTCGAAACGACGCTCCAGGAAGCGGCATTGCGCGTTGTAAACTTCATGTGAAGCTGCCAAGACAACGAACCAGACTGTGGCAGTGTGCATCCAGATCAGCAGAAGGTAATGTTGGTGCCCCAAGCGATCAACCGCTAAGCCGTTCATGCTTGTTATGCTAAGAAGGCTGCCTCCGCTGGAGATGTGCAGGTGAAGGTAATAGTGGAGTGGACATAGCAGGCAGATGATCATGGTGCTCCACAATATTGCCAGTCTGCCCCCTAGACGCAGAAGTTCCAGCATCTGCAGGCCATCAAGACCGCATCTGGCAATGATCTCCTCATCCTGCATAGCCCTCACAATCGACATCCAACCAAAGAGGGCTGTGGCAACATCACCCGCGCTCCGCACGCGGTAGCTGGGCGGCTCCAGTGCAAGTTGGGGTGAGCCATCGCTTTCGGCTGCAACCTCCTCTGCATCCTTGCTGTACACGGCTGGGAACAGGAAACGAAGCGCCGAGAACAAAGCAAAAGCCACCAACGAACATCCCAGGTTGAAGTAGAAGGCTGTCTTCATAGTCTCAAAATCCCCTTCTGCATTTTTGGAAACACCCACAAGTCCTGAAGTAGATTGATTTCCCATTGCATGGGACAGGAAGTTCTCAACCTCTTGCAGCGTGTCGTTTCCTACGGTACTGCCTTCCGTATTGCCTGCCTTGGTTGACAGTCCCGGCTGCAGTGTAGTGGACACGTGGCCTCCAGTTTGCAGCGCAGCTACCGTCGCGCTGCGGTTGTCAGGGCTGTCCACACGGACACCTGCCACCACTGGCAGCACCAGCAAGCCTATCAGCGCCCAAGACATTGCACTGCACCAGCCAGCGTTTCATCTGAATTTTACAAACTACAGGCCTCACACAAACCCATCTGAGAGCCGAAGAACATACATCTCATCGCATGAGATGCCCGGCTGTCCTTAACCAACAATCTCCCACACCTATTCCAGGGACGTATCTACATGCACGGGTCCTCACGACGGATGGCAGCCACCAGGGCCTGACATACAGGTTCCATGTTTGACGCAGGGAGCCACACGCAGTAACACCACCTCAGCCCCATCTGGTGCAGCGGACGCACTGCTGGCCTTGCAAAGAGGCGGAGTGCAAACTTCTGCTTATAGCTTCACACCAAGTCCGCACGGACTTTGAGGACTGGACCACAGGTGCCGTCGCTAGGCTTCTGCTGTCCTGAGGCTCGGCAGACTGCGCTTCGGAGAATTGCCGATCTGCCATGTGAGTCAAGGCTGAAAGCAAGAACGCGCTTCCTTCGAGGGGCGTGTGCTGGTCTCCAGCCTCCATGCGTTACAGAGACTGTCACTGATCCTTATCGATGGCCCGTTGTGTTCAGTGTAGAGCAATGCGCTGAGGCAGCAGTATTCATTGAATTCATGATCAAGCAGGCGCGCTGTGTTTTACGGTAGCTTCACTTGCTGGACTGGGGCAGTAGTGAACTGCTGAGGCTGCTTGCCCCTGCAGGACACAGCTTTTGAAGCCATCCATGGTACAGCCCGAGGCCAAGCAGAATCAGCCCAAGACCAGCTGTGAACCACCTGAAGCATGGTAGACACTGCGTTTCCGCCAGCAAGAGAGGGCGAGGGATCAAGGCATTCTGAATGTATCGGCCTGTCAAGCGGCTCACCTTTTCCGAGCAACGGAACGTCGCCTTGGCTTGTTTTTTTTACAAGTGGGCCATCAGCAACACCTTGCATGCCCAAGCGGCATGTGGCGAAAACCAGCGCAGTTGCCGGCACAGCAGCTGCCACTGACAAAGACACCTCCCGTAAAGCACAAAGAGCAGTTCTCAGCCTCTTGTACTGCGCCAGCACAATAAAGAGACTACAGAGACCAGCTCGAATTGTCTCCCTCCCGGCTTAATAAGAGACCAAGTGTGTCTCTACAGCAGCGGAACACAGTTCAGCTTGGAGACCGTGACCGCCGAAGTCGTGCGCAGAAGAACAAGAAGCGTCACGTTGAAGCCCAAGTTGAGGCAAAGGTATAAGCATGGCCAGAACGGCTGTGACCTGAGCATCCAAAGCGCATGCGGCAGGCCTTGGGACATCCTATGCAGCCTCCATATAAAAAAGCTTACAATGTCATAAGTTTAGACAAGTTGATGATGGACTTCCTGATGCTTCCTCTCTATCTTTTGTACTTCAGTTGTCTACTCGCGGCCAAGCTGAGGAGCGCAAATGCGTGGGCGCCCGCGGCAAGGTACGCCGCCATGGCCGAGGGCGTGGCGCCCAGGCCCTGCAGCGAGGCCAACCTCGGGGGACACAGTCTTTGCTTCGCTGCATGGGCAGCCACCCAAGCCTTAAACCAAATAACACCACTCCTCAACCAAAGAGCACCACCAGACGAGCATCATGAGCGTCAGCTGCTAAAGCCCTCAGCCAGAGAACACCGCCAGACGAGCATCATGAGCGTCAGCTGCCACGGATCTTGGTTGAGATCACCACCAGACATAGGCATCGGCTGCTAAGGCCCTTAGCCAGTCTGAGAACACTGAAAGACGAGCATCATGAGCATCCGCTGCTAACCCTCAACCATTGAGCACCACCAGACGAGCATCATGAGCATCCGAGGCCCTCTAACGCCACCTGTCCTCAACCAGGGAGCACCACCAGACGAGCATCGTGAGGATCAGCCGCCCGAGGCCCGCAAACAGACAACACTGCAGACGAGCATCATGAGCATCAGCTGCTAAGGCCCTCAACCAGGGAGCACCACGAGACGAGCATCACAAGCACCACCTGCTGAGGCCCTTACCCGACCGTGGGCCACCAGCCCTCTTTTTTCCCTGCATCCGAGGAGCACTGGGAGCAGGAGGAACACACCCACTGCCTGCCAAAATGGAGAGACATCCGCTTGAGGGCCGTTTGGGGGCTGCCCCGAACCAGCGCGTTGGGCCGTTGAGCCCAGCAGTGCCCAGCTCTCTCAACAAGCCTGAAAAGATGAACCCAGCGTATTCACCACGAAGACGTTCAGCTCTTCGCCACAAATCTGCCGAGCATCTTTGAAGAGTCCCTCCTTCCAGCTGCAAAGAGGTGCACACAGAGAGTGCACACAGAGGTGCACACTTTGCTTCACATGATGCTGACCCTGACCGCCGGAACTCCCCTGCGCAGCACGCATGAGAGCACATCCTGGACATCTCACATCCCTCCGTGGCGTCCTTGAGCACAGACCCCAGCGCCGGCAAAGCCAAAGAAACCACGAAGAGCAGCGACGGGCGCCAGGGCAATGCGTGGAAGCTCTCGGAGCCCAGGCCCCCTTCAGCATTCAAAGCAGCTTTGCCAGACAGCACAAAACTTCTACAGTAGCAGGAGGGAGGAAGGTAGGGCCCCTGTGCACCGGAGCCTGCAGATGCAGTGATGACGCCAAGCACGCAGAAAGCGCATCCTCTGAAATGGGCAACGCGGCTGTAGACTCTTGCAGAAACTCTGGTGTTGGCAGGGCCTTTGTGGCACTGCATGGCACTGCATGGCACTGCATGGCACTGCATGGCACTGCATGGCACTGCATGGCACTGCATGGCACTGCATGGCACTGCATGGCACTGCATGGCGCTGCTGGATCAGGCCTGCCAGTTCGCGAGAGTTGTATTTACCTGGAGTCTGGAGCCAGAGGTTCTCGGACCATCGTCACTCCACAGAGCTGCGCACATGGACCAGCAATCAAGGCAAAGGAACGCCCAAGCAGCGTGGAAGAAAACGTCATCTGGAAGACCTTGGCTGCTTGGTGCTTGAGGAGCTCTTGGTGGCATGTTTTGGGGCCTGGCCAAGTAAAGCTGACCCAACACCGGCAGAATCGAACCTGCCGCCACATTCAGCATCGAAACCGTCAATGATTGACAGCAGACGCTTCATGAAAGGTGCTTTTTTTGCATTGGGCATGGCCTGGCAGGGCCTTGGCCCCCAGCATTCCCAGCAGGAAGGATCCGGCTTCCAGGCAGCCTGCCACAAGTAGGTGGGGAAAGCTCCCATTCGGCCTCTCCTGGAAGATTCTGGAGAGTGCTACGCCCTGTGTTTCTCGATAAGCTCTCGTCAACTGTGTACTCAGACAAGGCTCGTCCCGTTACCTCCTGTCATTGATCTACTTCTTTGGGGAATGGGAGAATGCAAGACTTGCATTCGGAAAGCGGGAGTATCCCTTCTCGAAACACCAAGGAAAAAGAAACACTTCCCTCGGCATATATATATATATACAGAGAGAGAATGAAGAACAAAGGCGGGAAATCCCTCAAAGCAGAAAGACTGTTGAGCAACCAAGGAAAGCTTCCCAACGGCACAATACCTTGGTTGTCATCCACAAGAAGAAACAGGCTGCCCGGTGTGCCTTTTCTGAGCCGACAATAGACAAGAATGAGAACGCTCCTAGTCGACCGGATGCCACCAACTGGCCTATTCGCGCAAAAGTCCGCCAGCGCCGTCGGGCAAAATCCACCTGCTCATCCGTGACATTGCCTCTCAGGCTTCAAAAGAAGCGTAAGGAAGCGGAAGGGGGTGAACGGGAAACGGATGGCAGGCAATGGCACACAGCGATGGCTCGGCTTCAGCTTGCGGCCCTGGTGCCCTGTGATCTGTGGAAGATCAAGGCGGCCCAGTACGCAAGGACATAGCCTCGTGCTTCCGATTTCCCTCCTGGCCCCTTCTCCACCTCTCCGCACCCCTTTCCTCACCCTTTCGGGTCCGCTCTTTACACCCTACACCCTGCAAAAGGACGAAAGAAGCCGAGAGGCCAAAGGTGGTGAACTGGGCCAAGAAGAAAACGAAGTCCCCAAGGGGCACCAGCGCTACCTTGTACATAACGCGGTTGGCCTGACGGCTGATGGCGGCTCGCCCCATTTTCACAGATGCAGGCTGTGAAGCTATGCGAAGCTGGGATCCGGACCGTCGCCAAGGCAACCGTGGCTAAAGAGAGCAGGGCAGCAAATCCCATCGGAAGCCTGGAGTTCAGAGAAGTTCAGAGAAGTTCAGAGGAGTGCAGTGTCTGTGCAGTGGCTGATCACCAACTGCCTTCTCCCCCCACAAAGCTTCCAAACTCAAGGTGCCTCAGAGCATCTTGCTCCTGTGGCTTTAGACCACCTGCGCTGTTCAATCGCTGCTCCCCGTTCTCAACGTGTTCAAGACCTCTCCTCTCATGTCACGCACGGCATCCCATCCTCGACATCTGCGCTGTGCAGCTGCAGCGACGAGCACCGCCCCGCAAGCTGCAAAGTCTGGGAGCCAAGGTCAGAATCACTCGGTTCTATGCTTAGACGCTTAGCAAACATGCAAGACACGATGCAACGCTTCGCACTGTGTAAAGACGAGGCGCAACGCCAGGAGGAGGCCGAGAGCTCGTCGCTCTCCTCGGAGATCGTCTTGACGGCCATGGCTCCAAAGAGTCGGAGCAGACTTTGGTTACGCTGTACCCCCCCTTTGAATCCCCCTGTGCACACCTTCTCTGAACAGAGGCTTTGAGAACACGCCTTCAGGATCGACCGCTCAGCTTTAAAGTGCTTGAGGCTGCTTGAATCACCGTTGCTTGAGAATCTGAAGCTGTCTCCAGAGAAGTCACATGGTCCTTGCGCTGGGAATACCAAAGCTATGCAGGAAAAAACCGACTCTGCTGCTCCGGTGCCTCTCCGAACCTGTAGAAGGAGTCGTGCGTGATGCTGCGCGGGCCGCCGGCTTCTGCTCTCGGGGGGCAGCAGAGGCCTCCGCCGACGCAGTCTGCTATAAATAACTGCAACAGATGGCGAGGGAGATCGAAAAACTCTGCAATGTTCCGCAAGGGATTCCGCGTGGTTCTCCGATTCTTCGGATTGGAATCCACGTAATCCACGAAGGGCTGAAGGGGAGCTTCCGAGGTAGAGGAAGGACTTTCAAAACTGAAACCATCAGACAAAAGACTCTTGCATGGCACCCAAGCAGGACGGTTTAGCTTCCACCGGAACGACGGCGCCTGCGTGGCCTTCGCCAGGCGGTCGGTGGCGCGGCGCAGAAGGAAACGCGCCTCGACAAGATGGGCCCCCCAGATGCTGCAATGCTCTCCCTAGGATTAGGAGAAGAGATCGCATGCCTTCACGGCACCAAGAATCGCCGCCCTGTCCGCCAACAGCGGCGCGGCCTCTCAGCATCAATCGAACTTTCAGAAGCCAACCATGCACATCACATAAGATCACCTCTCTGATAAGCAAAAAACACATCAAAGCACACACACACACACCATTGCTTGGGGGCTTTTCTAAGAGCCGGCCTCTGCAAAGCGTTGGAGGTCCGCTTCTGAAAGGGGCTCCAAGACTGCTCGCAGGACCTCTGACCACGGAAATGGTCTCAGAGTCTGCTCAGAGACCCCTCCTGTGTGGAGAAGCGATCTTCTCAGGGTATGTCTTAACAGTCATAGCACACTTCCCAGGGGCCGAAAAAGGATGTCGCTGAAGATGTGTGTCACGGGTATGTCTGCGGATACCACTCTTCACTCTCGGCAGCGCCTCGGGGCTTTCCCGAAAGGGCCTCAGCAACAAACAATGATGGAAGTCTTACTACGACGAACGAAAGGCAAAGCCCCTTGACATGTACATCATTACGTGGAGCCTGGGCAACTGCTTCAGGAGCTGCGCCATCAACTCTGGATAAGCCTGACATGATCGTATTTAGGCTTCAAGGTTCAAAGTTTATCGGCCTGCCTCGTGCAATGACTGCGATGCTTGATGGAGTGTTGGCTGTAGTGCCTGTCCAAGCAGAAACGGGTTCCAAGGAGAACCCATCCCTTCAACATCGCGAGCTTTGCATCTGTCCACTCGTCCCGAACCGAACCTGCAGTGGACCGGATCGCAGGCCGCCGCAGCTGTGAACCAGCGCCAGCATGGCCTGCACAAGCCCCCTTTTTGGGTGCGCCATTTTGGGGCACTCGTCTGAAAGGCGCCTCCGCTGCCCTCACGGCATCTTGCGCCGCCAAGGCGGAACCGAAGGCCTCAATTGCACTGCAACTGGATCAGAAATCCAGAGCTCTGCTGAAGCCCTCTTTCCCCAGCCAGGGCCAAGTGTTCTGCATGGCAATGAATGCTGCATATGGCATAGGGGCTTCTTCTGATTTGTTGAAACACTGTCACTTCAAACGTGCCAGGATGGTTCGTCACCGCATCCCCTTCCGCACCCCACTGCGCAAATGGCTTCTTAGGGATCAAAGATAACAACTTGCCTTTCAAAACTCAAGCTGCCAACGTGAATATGAGCTTTGTCTGCAAGGAAGCAGGCCTCCGCGGTTCCAGATGCTGCATCCAGTTTGATGAAGTCGCCCTCTACCTCGAAGGCGAAGATTCCCAATGCTGGCCTTCAAGTTGCAAGGAGGTTGAGACCGATCCCTTGCTTCGGGTTCTGAGCTGAGGCTCAAGCGCTTCCCGACGCAGGAAGGCGCGCAAGTCGCCCACCCTCACAATGTCGCGACACAGAATGCCAATATGACTGGCCGGTGTAACGCTTGGTCTGTGGCAGGGAAGCTCTTGCAGAGTCGGAATGGGGCCCCCGGCTCAGCAGCGAAGACCTCCTCCCAAGCAAGCCACTCGCCCAGAGCAGCCATTGGCGGCGCCGCCTCTGCGGGGAAAGGGATGGAAAGGGATGGCTCAGGGCTCGACGGGCTCGACACAGTGGACCATGCCTTGATCAAGCGCCCCGCCGCCTGCCCAAGAGCCAGGACAAGCCACTGAGGTCAGTTCAAGTCATTTATGGTCATTTCAAGTCTCTGTTCTTGACACCGCATTGCCTTGCCTTCTCCCAACCCTCCTCTGCAAGGACCACAAGTGCGGATGCGGCCTGCCCAGCGGCAAAGCCGAAGCCGGAAGCGTCCAAGAAGCCCCAAGACCATCCCCAACAGTCAGGCTTTTTGCTCTGGTCACCGAATGAGAATACGCACCAGTGCAAACGCAGCCATACATGCCACATGCATCGAGCAAGCGTGGCTAAGCAGCAGCCGGCCAGAGCACCTCCTTGCCCACGGGGCACTTCATGAAGGCCGCTGCGGCACAGCGGACAGCCTGATGGGGAGCTGGCGCCTGAGGCAAAGCAAAACAAAGGCCTGATGTTTTGACCGCTCAAGCGGTTGGACATTACAAGCAGCTCTGGCATTGTCTGCTGCCAAAGCATGTGCTGTACACGTCCACAAGTCCCCTCGAAGCCTCCTCTGATAGCTCGTCAATGGCTTTCGCGGAGACTCCTGCCCAGTCTGCCTCCTGCTGTCCAGTGCGCTCCGCTACCAATTTCCCGTGCAAAATCGGCTGTCAACGACGGTAAAGTTACAGCAGGTGCATGAACCTCACTCCCTACCGTGCCACCCGTGCCACCCGTGCACCTCGCCCACAGCTCCAAAGCGACGGAAGAGAAGCAACCGCAGGGTGTCCTGCACGCGCCATGCATTTCAAATCTGTCTCAGCAACGTGAAAGAGAAAGGTAGCCAATCAAAGTACAAAGTGCACTGGAGCCTTGCAAAACAGCTGACATGCAAACGAATCCTGTCCTCCATCTCTTGCCGTGGCCTGAATTGGAAGACGCTTGCGGGGCCCGCGGGAGATTCTTCTATGGAGCGGTCACAACGTGCGGTGCAATTACAATCGCTTGCACATCCTGCTTTTGTCTCACGTTCCGAAGTGTTGTAGCACACCAATCCCATGAAACCCCATGAATTGCCGCTACAGGGCAAACCATCTCGCCCGCCCAGCTCCTGTAGGAGCTCCGACGCCTGCACCAGCATACAACGGGCACAAACAGAAGGAGAACTTCTCACAACTTTCACAGCGCTTGGCACACTAACGCAGTTTCTCACAGACATAGACCTGACATGCTCTGTGGCACTGTGGCGCCTTCATGCACTTTCCCTCTGCAAACACAAGTGCGCGAAAGTCATGAGTACGATTCAATACAACTCAAGGGGCTTTCGCACATCACAAAAAGTGTTCACACAAGGTTGCTCGGTCCTCGCGCTCCACCATTGCGCCCAATGCGCCATCGGTGCCTGTGGTATACCATACTCATGTGTGCGCGTGTATTTATATGTAATACATGTATGTACGAGTATGTGGATACCATCCCTTGCTGCAGTGTGCTCAGCTGCTTCCTGGCCAGTCATGGCCTCCATCGCCGGAGCCGAAACGCAGGTCTTTCGGCGCCTGGATGACTGGACAAGTCTTACACTGTGTTCTTTGGCGCTGGCCGACCGCAAGTCGGCCCCAGCAGCACCACGTGGGTTTACCATTACCGCTAATCAACTCCACGACTGGAAGTCAACTCCGAGAAACCTGAATCGCACAGGGCTTGGGGTGGAGTTTTGGAAAGTGCCACCCAGTACACTTCTGCTGGCTTCAACCCACGGCCTCGCTCCAGTCTGAAATTAGCTCGGCCTCGGTCATCGAAAGGACCGACTAGAGTCAGGAACGAAAGAAGAGCCAGCGCTCTGAAAGCATGTCGGCACACTCTGCACTTCTGAGCTTCCCCGGCAAAGCTTCGGTAGCAATCCGTAGATCCGTCCTCTTTCTTGCGATTTGAAGCACAGCGCGACACAACCCCGTCCCTCTTTGTCAGCGCCTTCGGAATCTGCAGCTGCAAGAAGGAGTCAGCCTCGAATACTGTTCTGTTGGGCCACCGCAACTTGTCGCCCCTGCTGTCAGCTGCCATAGGTACTTAGTCAAGAAGCGCGACTCGCGACGAAGCTTCCCTCTGATCTGTGACAATCGGAACGACATAGTTCATGCCAAGCTTATGATCTGCGATTCATACCCCGGTGTACAGCGTTGGCTCTTCGCACAACTTTGGACATGCGTACACTATGGGTAACCGGAGAGTCGCGAAAATGTGTCCAAAAAAGGATGGACCGAATCCGAAAACCAAAACGGCCGAGTCAGAAAGCAAAACGATTCGAGTCAGAAAAAGGCGGGAAAACAGTAACCTTGAAGCCAGGGACCCTAAAAACCTTTCTACCTGTATGACCCCAAACTTCATGGGCCTGGAAATCCTTTGCGTCTAAAGCAGGCACGCATAGGTTCTAAAACCATGAACCTTTAAAGCACAAATCCCGAAACCCAACCCCGATATCACATTATAAAACCCTAAAGCCCTACAACCCTAAAACCCAAATTTCGGGTTTTCTCCGGGGGCCGTATGCCCTAAACCGTATGGACTTACCCTTGGACTTCCACAGCACTGCTGCAGCACTGATTTGCACTGCTAAGGCCCCGCACGCGAAAACGCCGCAGCAAGGTCTGCCTGAGAGAGAAGCCGACAACACAGTTTGAACAGTGCATTTAGCAGGCTTTCAAGCGTGTAGGCTTAAAAGTAACAGTAAAGTAACAATGAAAAACTTTAAAATATGTGTGTGCGGACAGAATCGAATGAGTGCTCTCGGCGCCCAGGCTCTATGCACCAGAGGCGTTCAGCTGCGCAGCTGCTCGCCTCTCCAGCCTCTTCGAAACGTCAGCCAAACCAAAAAAAAACAAACGAGGATTCTGAAAAGATGTGACCCCCAAAAGAAGGCCGTCTTTTTTGCCAATTGCCACTTGCCAGATCGCTGTCCGCGTCGACACCCGCAACAGAGATGCTCCCGTCTCCCGACTTTGGGCTGCCTCCAAAGCTGCAGCCACTGCAGCCAGGCGAACTTCGGCAAGAGTCCGGCTTGGCTGAGACTTGCCTGCAGCTTGCAAGCGGCTTTCAAGCAGCTTTCCCTCAGCTCACAAGCTTGGGGGTAACTTGCAGCGTGCACCTTCGCCCCCTTTGTCATCGGCAGCCTGCAACAAAACATTGTCCAAACATGCTTGCTCCGGGCTTGATTGCTCCGATTTGCTCCGACACCCCGTCAGAGCTCTGCGACCACCATGACGCAAGCCACAGCCCTTCCTCTAAACACGTACAACAGAGCACAAGGCACCCCCACGAGCAGATTTGATGCCGCGGACTACAACGCCTCGGCCGTGACCTGTGCCCAGAAGTGCCGGCACAGGGCTTCCCAGCGCTGGGAGAGCCTGTGAGGACATGGAACTGAGCTTGAAGTAGTGTTCTGGCTGTCGCAGACAGAACGATTCTAGGACATTACGCTGACCGTTCGAGAGTTCGAGCTCTCACTCCTCAGTCCCTTTGAGCCTCTCTGACTCCTCAATGCGGCCCTGTGCCAGTGCCAGGAGTAGCGGCGCCTGAATTGGAGGAGAATTTTTTGAAAGCCGAATCGTCAATCAGGACGTTGAATCCTGAAAGAAAGTGCATTAAGCTAGGCTAAACAAGCAAACGCCAAGGGCGCCACCAGCTCCGATGGTTTCATGCGAAGCTTCCCGAGAAGGTTTTTTAACCGGTCCTCCAGGGAACGGTGGGCCTCTGCTTAAGTGCCCACTTCATGCCGTCAGTCCACACACACACACACACTGCTTCACTTCAACAAAACTCATCTGTGATGCTCCTGTGCAGCCACACCCAGCTCGGGGTTGGTAGAGGCTGCAGCGTCTGGCACAAACAAGCGGGCCGGAACGAGTCCAGCAGCTGCATGAAAGCTAAAAGACGGCATTTTGGGAGGTGATGGAGGTGCTAGCATGCAGAGCTGAACTCTTCGGCTCGGCTGCAAGCCATGCAAAGTCGCAGCTTTGTTCTGCGGCTATGGGAACAATGTCCCGTGTGATTCTTCCAGTTCGCGGAGCGGTTGAAGAGAACTTGTGGTGCCAAGGTTGTCGTCGAGAAAACCTAGGCTGTGCTTGGCGTCGTTGTCATTGCCCTTGTTTGTTCCACCGTCGTCTTCGCCGTCGCCACCGCCGTCGCCACCGCCGTCGTCGGCGAGACGATCTCAAACACTTTCTCATCTCCCTCGGCCAAAGATGGTCCAACAATGGGCACTACGTGCACAGATTGTGGCCTTTCAAGATCACCCTCCCCATCCCAAGACCCGTAGCTGATACATCGCTTCTGCCAAGCCTTGGCAGCCTTGCTTCACACCTTTCTGCGCTTCGTGCCCGTGATTTCTCATATTCCACGAGTGCTCGCTGCCAAGTTTGCAGAGCAGAGAAAATAGCGCTTGCAAGCCCCCGCAATGTCACTGCAACAAGGCCAAAGTTCAGATCCCACTCACACTCAACATTACCGCTGGATCTGCTTCTCCCAGTGTCTGTGGGGAACTGGTCGGCTCTCTGAGGAGGGTGTGACTCTCAAAGATGTGTGCATCTCGGTCTTTCGGGATCTTTCGGGTTCCGGCGCCTCCCAAGCTTCGCTCCACGGCATCGGCCCAATAGACGCCCAGCTTCGGCAAGCGGCCTTTGCAAACCCAGCATTAAAGCCTTTTTTCTGCTCTCTGAACCTTCCTTCATGCCCGGAAAACCCACTCACCCAGACTGGGTCATCGATGGAAAGTGCTCAGAGGTGGCTGGCCTTGCCGCAACCACTCCACTCTCACCTGTGAGGTAGTGCGACTGTCCGAGACTGTAAGTGCGGCAATATTCAGAGACAGTGCAGGCCAACATGCTGTTCGATGAAAGTGGGCCCCATACCCACATCCCAACCGCAGCATCAATTGCTGCGTCTGCCACATCCTCTCAACATCTCTCAGCCTAGCAACAACGAGTTCTCTGCGGAAAGGAAGGTAGCTCCTCGAGAGGCAAATGCCGCAGCAGCGCAGCCTGCCACACTCAGTGACACTCAACCGCCCGTGACCTGACCCAAGACGACTACAGTACGCCATTTGGGCACCTCCTGTCACCTCCTGCATACTTTCGTGCTTAAGAGCTTAACATCCTTTAACATGTTGTTCCCAGGGCTGGTCTCTCCCACAATCTCGCTGTCTCTCCCTCGATCTTTCTTTCTTTCTAGGGGCTTGGGGTCTGCGCCCTCGATCTCTCTCTCTCTCCGCACGCTTAGCCCCCCCCGAAGCCCCAAGGGCACGCAAGTCCTCAAGTTAGTCGGTTGTACGGGCTGTGGTGTTCACAGCCCCATGTCATGTTGGAGATTGCCTTTCCCGATGATAACATGCCCCCCCCCCTCGATTTATCGTGTAGGTTGTCAGAACCCCTTTTTTTGGCCTCAAATGGGTACCCCCCCTAGGAAACCGGGGTCCGCAAGTATGGGTCAAAGCGCCTTTCGGGTCCGCCCGACCGTGAACGGGTGCGCGTTTCAGGTCCGCCGTGCGTGGCCGCGGAGGTGCGTTTCAGGCTCTGCCGGACTGCGTTTCGTACAGGCCAAGGTGCGTTTCAGGTCCGGCACCACCAGAAAGCCACAAGTCCGAAGCCCCTGAAGCCACCCGCTACAAGCCATGTCAGGCCGCGTTCAGGTTTATAGGGTTTATTGTATTTATAGGGTCCAGGACTTTTAGGGTTTAGGATTTAGGGGTTTAGGCTTGAGTGTGCTCACGAACGAAGGTGAGGCATCAAGGCGACACTGAAAGCTCTCCAAACACCCCTAGCCGGCGCTGAGTTGACACTTTGTGCCGCCCTAAACTAAAACCTAAAACCTAAAACCTAAACCCTAAACCCTAAGCCCTGAACCCTAAACCCTAGACCCTCAACCGAAAACCCTAAACCGTAAACCCTAAACCCTAAACTCAAAACCCTAAACCCTAAACCCGAAACCCTAAACCCTAAAACCTAAACCCCAAACCCTAAAGCCTAAACCCTAAACCCCCTAAACCTTACAACCTAAACCCTAAACCCTAAGCCCTAAACCCTAAACCGTAAACCCTAAGCCCTAAACCCTAAGCCCTAAACCCTAAACCGTGAACCCTAAACCCTAAACCCTAAACCCTAAACCCTAAACCCGAAACCCTAAACCCGAAACCCTAAACCCTAAAACCTAAACCCCAAACCCTAAAGCCTAAACCATAAACCCCCTAAACCTTACAACCTAAACCCTAAACCCTAAACCCTAAACCGTAAACCCTAAGCCCTAAACCCTAAACCGTAAACCCTAAACCGTAAACCCTAAACCCTAAACCCTAAACCCCAAACCCGAAACCCTAAACCCGAAACCCTACACCCTAAAACCTAATCCCCAAACCCTAAACCCTAAACCATAAGTAGTGCGCCTGAAATGCACCATGTGTGCGTCTGAAGTGCCCCCTGTGTGGTTCTGAATTGTCTCCCGTCTGGTTCCTGAGCACCGGACCTGAAATTGGTACCTGAAGCGACCCTAGGTGCGTCAGAACCGTACAACACTCCCGCAAGCGGACGGTTCGCCAGGACCAGGGGCGTTCAAGCCCCCTCCCAGCAGGGCCGGCCCCCCCCCCTTTTCCCCCCTACCCCCCCCCTCCCCCCCCCCCCCACCCCCCCCCTACCCCCCCCCTACCCCCCCCTTAAACCTTAAAGCCCGAAGCACACCCTAAACCCTAAACCCAACCCTTATTGCTTGGGGTCCAGCGACTTGGCCGCTGCGGAATAACCATGCTCACGCGGATGCGCTGGGCCGGGCCAAGGCGGGTCGCGTAGCGTTAAAATTACGAAACTGCCAAGTCAATGATGAAGGCTCTCTCCTCTATGCTCCCAGGGAGTCAAACAAGCAAAGCGGCTCTCCATGCTGCCGTTATGTAGGTCGTTTTGGACTTCGGCTTCCCCCGGGTTGGAGCTCACTCTCCCTCGATCTCTATCTCTCTCTCTCTCTCTCTCTCTCGCTCTCTCTCTCGCTCTCTCTCTCGCAGAAAATGGAGATAAGACACTTTTTGCTGTCTGCCCAACCTTCAGCCGCCGCCGACAGCTCTCGAAGCCGCCCCTCTCACAGCACAGCTCAGCAGCACGGCTCCCCCGGCTCCCCTTTCTCTGCTATGCAATTACTCTCCCTGCTTAAGCTACTCTCCCTTTTGTTGCATCCTTTTCTCTCCCCCTCCCCCTCTCTTTTCTCTTCACTCTCAGCTGCTGCTCTCGACTTGGCCTCGGGGCGCGGCTGCCGCCCCAGCTCCTCTTCGGGCCCTCTTCGCTGCCGGCCGCGGCCCCCAAGTCCTCTCTCTCTCTGCATCCCGTAGAAGAGGAAGGGGAGAGTGAGCCCACAACATGTGCACTCAAAACAGGCTTAGACAACACTCTGTCTACAAAGAACTGCAAGAGACGCTGAAAGAATTCCACCGGCCCCCGGCCTGCCGCAAGGCCCACAACAAGGCAGCACGGTGCCGGTACCTCCCGAGAGCCCCAATCGGGTCGCCGAAACCGTCCCATCCGTCCCACAAGCATCCCTCATTGTCGTCCAAGCTGCTGAGGAAGTGCCACACAGGCAGCATAGAGGTGTGAGCAGCAGCTTAGGCCTCAGAAGACTCTGATCTCCGACTTGTATGGGCCAAAATGGGACAACTGCAGCATTTTGTAAGCGCCCGGACTGTTGGGGCAGTTGCACTCGAACATGGCCATGTCAACGCGCCGACCTTGACGAATCTTCGCATGTTCACCCGGGCTGTTCGCTTTTGCATCTCGACTAAGCGCCTGGCAATTGTCGCTGTAGGAGTGTGAGAAGAAGACGTCCTGAGCTGAATTTGAGGATTTGTCTCGACGAAGACAGTGGCATCGAGCTGACGTATTTGGCAACAATCGCAACATACCTATGTCAGAGCCTACCACAGTCCAGGACCTTCACCGAAACCTTGAGTAAACCTGTTGAAACCTCTTCGCCACGGCACGCATTACATGGCTCAGGCTTTGCAGTGGAAGCAGAAAACAGAATCCCAGCTTGATGAGCCCTGTGAGCCCTGTGAGCCCTCAACCTGCTTCACGGACTTCTCAAAGATCTCACAAGACCCTGCAAGCCTTGCCGTCTTTCAGTGCCCTGTAAGCCGCCCCTTCCATCCGTTTAGCGCCTACGCATACGGGGAGCTCATACGGGGTCACAATATGAAGTTGCTTTGTGGCCTTCTGCGCGGGCTGACATGGGGATGCAGAAGGCGAATCTGAGGTGTTGCGTGAGGCACAGGCTGGCTCACCATCATCAGCTGGCCGCACGCCATCCTGTACTGGAATCAGCCCTAGCATACGCGCTGAAAGTCGTGCTAGACAGAGCCAGCAAGAAAGCTCACCAGGCAACACGCACCAATCGCCCAAGCATCGAACCTCCATCTGTCCGATCTCCCATCCCTGCAACATGGCATGCACGGACGCTGAATTGGCTCTTTTGTGATTCTACAGACATGTATTTGCACTCGAGGCCTTAACCTTGAGGCGCAATACACACCAGGATCGTCATGGATCATCAACAACGCCGGGCACAATGGCCTTGTTTCTCACGCCAGAGCCGACACTGAATCCCAGCTCCTGTCGGCAAAAAACGCTGATCACAAGAACAGACTGCTCTGGCATGCTCCCGCACACAGCTCCTCTGGCAGCCGTGCAGCTTTCTGCGCGGAGCGCGGGGTCTGCAACAAGAGCTGAAGATTGGACAACATCTGAGGTTTTGTAGGACAAGCACTTGCTCAAGCATGTCGCCCGACAGATCCTTTTTTCCGAGTCAGCGCTCTCCGGTGGATCCACTTCTTCTTGATCGCGTTTTCCTCCGTTGGGGCATGTTTGTCAAGCTCTGGACTGAGACCTTGCCAGGTCCTATAGGTCATAGAGAAAGAAGCCGCCAAGGTTCGCTTTTGCATCGGCCCGCAGAGCTTGTCCAGGCGCTCTCGCCTCTCTGCTGTATCCGACACGACCTGAGAGGCTTTGAGAATCCAACTCACGCGCTTGAACACATCGTGCTGCAGTGCACTTCGACACGTCGCGTAGAGATCCCCTGTGAAGCCGAGGTGCCTTTACGGCAATGTCGAGCCGACGGGCGGCAGTCTGAATATCCTTCAAATTTGAGGGAAAGCTTACCATGCAGGACTTTTAAACACTGATGTTCGTCCCCCTTTCCACCAATCTCTTGTCCTGCCTTGGAGTCCTGCGTCAGAAACTCTTTGCGTGTGACGATCCGCCGCACGCCAGCAGCAATCAGGGCCATGAAGCAGCGCTTACACGGGGGCATTGTAACCTCAGCCCAGAGATCTTCTGGACTCCGCGAGCCTCTGAGTTGAAATCTTCGAGACAAGGCGCGTAAACCGAAGAGCCTTCAGTGGCCCGCCTCAGTCTGATGACAAAACAGACCCGGAAACCTCAACATATCTCAACATCCTCAAAAATCACCCACTCCTCAAATAAATCGACAAACAAAACGAAACCCTTCTTGAGGCCGTCGCCCCAAACGTGCGCAGCGCCCAACGGCGTTGACCTCTGCGTGGAGGTCCGAGGCCGGTCGCCTCAAAAGCAAAGAGGAAGGAAGGAATGGGAGAAGGAGGAAATCGGCGAGGTCGGCAATCACATCATCCATGATTCATCTCAGGCACTTCGCATTCGGCTCCCACACTGGGCCATTCACATGGCCTGCCAGAGGACAGCTGCATGAAAGCGACAAGAGGTGCCTTATGGTGCCTTAGCCTATGGGATAGCCCCCAACACGGGCAGCAGTTTCCGGGTTTTGGGGTTGGTGGGTTTTCCCGCCTGCAATGATCCTGCCGGATTTATCAGCAATGGCGCACCCCATGCTTCCGGCTTTGCAGCTTGAGTTCCGGGCCAGCAAGAGCGCAAGGTCAATGCCTCGCACATCAAGTTTATCAAGACTTCAACGCTGAATCGTCAGGGCTGGTGATCGACAGGTCGTTGGGAAAGGCCACGAATAGGCTTCTCGAAAGATGGCGTCTGAGCAGCGTGTCTGTTGTGTCGCTCTGTAGCTGCACTGTTCCTGTATTTGCCACCCGTGTTGGTACTTTCTTGTGCTGCAACCCCTTAGGCCATTTTGGGGTACAGTCATGTACATTCTTGCATAAGAAGCCCTGAGTAAATAGCGGAAGCGATTTGAACAAGCGGCCATTGCTGTCACCACTTAGCTCTTCCAGCGGGGTCCACCCAAAGCTCTGGATATCCTCGGAGAACCGCAAGAAGTGACGTGACCCCAAGAGTGCTCTGAGCACTGCAGCAGAACTGCGAGTGCGGCCCCAGCGTCCTCTGGAAGTGCGTCTGGCTCAATGCCTAATACTGGCGGCACCGGTTCATCAGCCATGTCGAAATCTAAACATGAGTGACCTGTATTCCTTGCTTGAGAGGTGAATAAAGGAAGAAGCAGCATGACTACATACGGTGCGGCCGATGACACGCTTCTGACCACTACACAGACATGCTTCGTGATTCTCATTGAGCTCTGCTCGCGCTTGAGCCTTGATCTGCTGCAGCTCACTCAGACTTTGTGATTCAATTGACCTATCATGACCCGCAGCCTGCGACAAATGCCCATTCCAAATTCCCACCGCGTACACCAGTGTACCGCAACTCTGCAAGAGGATTGACAAGTGATTGGCCAGATTAGAAGGCCGCGGAAGCGGAACTCGCGGAACTCGCGGAACTCGCGGAACTCGCGAGTCCGAGGAATTCCAAGACCAAATCCCAAAATCTTTGGGGCGCCTGCACTTTCGCTGCAGGGATTGCAGCCTTTACCACCGGCTTCGGTCGATGGTCCGTGGAACCGGGGCGCTGCTTCCTTCAGTAGGGACGGGCTCTCAACAGACCCAGGTCATGCAACCCCAAGTCATGCAACACAGAAGCACAGAGGCACAGAGGCTCTAAAGCCCTGCTCTACAGCTCTGACCAGCAGAACTTCAAGACGCGCTTCGTTGACAGGATGGAAAGGCCGGGCGGGTCTCTTGACTTCTGGACAACCTACGGGCTTGTGCAAGCCATCCATACCCTCGGAAAACTGCTCAAATTTTTGGAAGCCTGCAAAACCCGCGCCCACCCTTGTCCTGCTGGATGCAGCAGCACTCCGGTGCTCCTGCCCAATGGTGCTTTTCTGGCCAAACAAGAGCGTGCATCAGATCAAATGCTACGCATGTCATGAAGCTGGACCACATTGTCTTCACATTTTTGCACAATTGGTGCAGTCTCCTGCCAGCTGCTGCTTTCCCAGTCACCATCCCAATCGTCATCTTCCCAGTCATGCTCCCCATCCTCTTCCTGTCAGAAGGATCAAGTTCTGGCACGAATGCTCTCCTTCCTTATGGCTCTCAGCCTGCCAATCGTCAGCTTCCTCCCAGTTCTCTTCATCCCACTCCTCGGGGCAAATATGCAAATTATGCGGCATGTCATTAGGATGTTTCATACTCTTGTTCTTGTTTGCCTTGGAGGAACCGGCAACCTCTGTCCTCCTCCTGCCAGCTCTGCGACTGTGACTTGAAGTTGGCCTCGGGTGCATCGAGGCTGAACGCACACCCCTCAAGGCAACCAAAAGATCACAAAAGATCACATAATGCCCGTCCTATTCGGGTTGCTGACATAGAGCAATCAAGAGCCTAAAACAACATGAAGAAGATTCAGGAAGGGCAGAAGGGCTGCTTCCGGGCCTTTTGTTCAACACGCTGCCGCTTCGCCGCCTCAAAGCACCGTTCTCACCGAATTGCATCTGCAGCACGCTGCAGCGTTTCGCCCCGCGGGTGCCTGTTTGGACCCGGTTTGCGGTGGCGGCCGCGGCGGCGGCCGCGGCGGCGGGCGAGGCGGGGGCCGAGGCGGGGGCCGAGGCGAGGGCTGCGGTGCCCGGACTTTGGGGTGCGCCCGCAGGGGCGGCGCAGAGCTCGGCCTGGCCGCAATTCACACTGGCAAGCCCCTTGAAAAGTACACCCTTGCAGCCCCCCTTGCACGTCGCCAACTGCCGAAGGTTGCCTTCATGGTCCTCATGTTGACTGTTAACACTCCATTTTTATCTGCTCACATTGCTCGCGTAGCAGCAAGCCGAAACCGAACCGAGTCGAGCTGAGCCCCGCAGTGCGCCGGCTTCGGACGCAGGGGGCGGGGCTTTTGAGGCCTCCAATGGCCTCCTGAACCTCATCTGAAATCATCTGAACATATCTGCAACCTCATGCGAGAATCGGAGCCCCCTGTGCCCCAGGTGCCCTGGTTGTCACGGGTGCTTCACGCGCCCGTGGCGCACCAAGCGCTGTGCGAAGGGCGTGCAGGGCAATGCCTCACACGCCGAAGTTGAAAGGAAGAAAACGACATAAGTAACCTCTGTTAAGAATGCCTGACTGTCCCTTTCATGCCCCTCTCTCGCAACCTGCAGCCACGCCGACATTCAACGAGTCCAGGCCATCTAGGTTCTGCCCCGCACGGGAGATGCCAACCAGCCTCAGGAATGGTCAAAGAAAACAGATCCGCGCGCCCTGCTCAGCTCTCAGAATTCACGCCCCGTCATAACATGTCACCGCCAAGGTCCGCGCCGGTCACAGCCTTGGCGCACCTGTGCTGTGGATGCTCCAGCCACTCTGACGATACTTTTTTTGGTCGGCACTTTGGGGGGCTCAGTGAGCGCAACCCCTTCGAGAGTAAGCATGAAAATGAACAAGCGACCCGACCTGGCTGCGGAGGCCGGGGCCTTCCGGGCCCAGCAGCAGCAGGATTCCCTGCTCCTCTTTGGAAGTGGGGAAACCAAACACAGACAGGGTGATGATAAAAAAAGCGCAGAAGGGCTCCAGCTGGCTGGGCGTCTGCAGCCAATCTTCCAAGGAGCTGTAGGGAGGTTCTTTCCTGGCAGTACTGGTCGCTTGTGGTAGCAGCTCAGCAGCTGCACCAAACGTGCACGGCACCGCTCGCCCTCCGCTGGCAAAGATGCCCCAACCACGAGCCAGCCCTGTCGCCGAGCCCTGACGTGACTCAGGATGACTCAGGGACTGGGCTAAGCACTTGGCCGCAGGCTGTGCCCGCACTTGCCATCACTTGCCATCACTTGCCATCACTTGCCATCATTTGCCAACACTTGCCATCACTTACCGTCAATTGCCGCTTGCCCCGTTCTGGCTGTGAAAACGTGCCTTGGAAGCAGCTTCTCCAGATCTCTTGAATGGAATATCTCCATCGTCTCACCCGCTCCGGCCTCGGGAAGCTCTATCGTCATGCCAGAAGCCGCCAGCTCTGCTCAAAGAATCCCGAGAGTCAGACGGATGCTTTGGCTGCCACAGGGGAATAGCGCGCGCATCCCCTCTCGCAGATGACACCTTCCAAGGGGGGTCACCACGGGGCGGGCACCAGCGCAAAGGCACAAGACGTCTGCCTTCCACACCGAAGAAAGCTGCCGACCGCAGAAGCGAACCGAGGTTCATGGGATCGGTCACACCCTGACATGCCGCGAATACATGCGAAACCCATTCCACAATCTTTTCCCCCTGTTCCCACAAACCTCCAAAAGCAAGAGCGATGCTTCTTGGGATACGGCCAACGAAAAGAACGACAGCCTCCAGGGCCAGCCAGAGAGCTCCCTTGGAGGGCCGCGGAAGCTCCTGACTATGGCAAAACAAGTGACAGTCTGACAGCCGTTGCGTCGGATCGCTCTGACTTTGAAATCGCTTTGAGGTGCTTGACGTCTGCGCAAGTCGACGTCCACGTTCCGTCTCCTCCACCGTCTTGATGGAGGGCTCCGTGCACTTCAGCACCAGCCCTTGGGTTTTTAGCCAGACAATGTGGAACCCAAGAGGAGACTCAGCCCTCAGAATCGAGGAGAAAAATTGATGATGATCTATGCTATTTCGCCAGCCTTGATGGGGACGACCTCCACTGTGCTCATCCAGCACATCCCTTTTGAAGCACCTGCACTATTCACCCGAGATCACATGGATAGGGCACCGCCACAGGGGAGAAATGGATTGCAAAACTGACCTTTGCGGGAGCAGTTAAAAGGACAAGCAGTGTCCGCAGGAAAGGTCACTCAGTTGCTTCCTTTATTGCAGATGTAAGATCCAACTCGGACATTGACTTGCAAACGAGGCGCCGGAACAACTTGACTCCCAGAGACTTGCTACGCTGCTCAATTTCCTCGCGTGCCTGCAGTGCGATGCAACATGATGAAGAAGAAGTTTGGTGCTGAAGTCATCCCAATTTGCAGCCACAACTGTCCAGGTCTCTGCCTGGTCATCCTTCCTGGGAATGCTACGAGATGCTCAGCGCACTGCACAGAAACCTTGAGATGCTTCTTGAGATGCCTAGCCCTGCTAGCCCTGCGAAGCGCGCGAATCAAGGCAGGAGGTTAAAGTGCAGCCGTAGGCGCTTCTCGACGGTGACTTTCCCCCGTCTCTGTTGGATCCAGAGAGACTTGAAGCTCCGCTTTCCCGCTCGCAGCGCCAGCAGTATCGGATAGACGCCAAACAAGTACTCATTCCTCAGGATTGGTGATGAGACAGACTTGAAAGACCCAGAGAGAAGTGACTTCAGATGAGCCTCACGTGTGTGATGTTTCTAGCACGTCAAGAAACCGCTGGTCCCAACCACGCCCAGGGGAGCGCCCGGGAGAGCGGCCAGAAGAGCGCCCGGGCAAGTTTCGGGGCCCGGGAGGGCCCCCGGGCCCGGGGATTTCAGGGCGGGCGCTCCTTCTTGGCGCCTGTGGGAGCTGCTCGCTCCGAGCGTCGGCTCCATCGCTCACCAGGGAGAAAGCCAACAGCATCAGCCACAACACCCTTGTAACACCCTTGCTTGTAGCACGCTTGTGGATAGGTGTGCCGGCTGTGAGTTGAAATTTCTCTGTCGAATTCCTGATCTTTCACGTGCTGCAGTGCAAGAATTTCAAAACAAAAGGTAACCAGCACAGCAACTGTGCCAAGGTGAACAAACGACCGCGGCTCCACCTGCTGCGACCACCAGCCGCAGAGCTGCGGTCTTGCCATGGCATAACTCGCAGTCTTAGCAGTCTTAGCAGTCTTAGCAGGCTGAGGTGTCCTAGCACTTGCACTCAGGGGTGGAAAGATCTTGATGACGCCGCATGGTTCACAGGTTTGAGAAGCGTCTCCAGTACATGGACAGTTGCTTCCTGACAAGGCTAAGATCTTCTCAGCCTTGAAGCCGAAGCACAACACCGCTTCATCCACCTTTGCCACTCCCTTGCATCCTGTCTTTTTCCGTGCTCTGAATGACCCTGCACGGCAATTCTTTCGGCGGCGCACTCTCTGGCTCAAGGACTTCATGCGCTGCTTCCATGGAAAACGCTCCTGTTCCAGGAGCAAGACTAGGCTCAGAGAAGGAAGCGCACTGCCAGATGGCATGCAAGTTGTACACAGATGACATTCTGCTGCTGGGCATTTGGTACAATGATTTGCCGGCATTGCTGCTGCAAAGCTGTGCTGGAACCGAATGGCTGTCAATTCTTCTTGGAAGAGCGACAGCGAAGATGTGGACAGCATTTTTCCTGCAGAAATCTGCAGAAATCTGCAATCCCAACTTCCACAATCATTGGAAGCCGCGCGCGACCAGAATCCTGCAGACACATCGCGGAGCTGCTCGACCCGGATACTGACCTGCGGAGACAGGCCAACCAGGTCCTGTGAGATCTTCAGATGTTCGATGTCAGCTGGCGAAGCAGGCTTCCTGCGAGCAGAGGTGAGAACGGTGAGAACAGATGTGTCGACCCCAGTGCTTGGGGTGGAGGGTGAAGGTCGAGCCTGGCACCGATGGAACAGCAATCCTGTCATCGCTCCTGGTGCAGGAAAAAACACCTATAGATACTGTGCGCAAGAAGACAAAGTCTGTCATCTAGTGTGCCCGGGATGCAACCTATGCAGGATCTCACATGGCATCTCCGCGTCGTCCATCCCTGGCATCAGACACAACGCATCGTACGCGGCTCATGTACATGCACATCAGCAATCAAGGCGCGGCGCACCATTCGGATTTCCTCGCTGCCTGAATGCCATGCAAAAGGTCAGCGAAATTCGCTACAGTCATATGTTTACCAGGGTTGCGACTTGTGCGGAAGCAAATGTGTCGTCCATCCATTCTGCCGCTTGGGAACGACCTTGGCCGGTTGAAAATGATCTGAGCAAGCGCGCACAGGCACAGCCTGCTCAGCTCGTGACACGCTTGCCACGCGGGGCAAGGAAGACTGAGAAGTACTCCTGGTGAACATGTAACACCCTTAGGTGCTGCATGGAGCTCCTACATGTTCTCTCAAATTGTGATTGGAAAGGCCTTGCTTTCAGTTGCCAACTGGTTTTGACCATTCTGGGCTACAAGGGAGAGGAGGGCTCGCACCTGATCTTGGCAATGGGGCATCCCCGCGTGGCCTTGTCCGACTCATGAAACTCTTCGTTCGCCGATCCGTGCAAGACATGATGGCGCTCGTCCCACAAAGCCTCCTCAGTCAATGTTGCTGCTTCATGCTCGTGAAGATGATTCAGGCTACCATGCCCCTCATGTCGAAGTGCTAGATACATACATAAGTATATCTATGTACATCCAGTCACAACTCCCTTGCATCTTGCATCGCATCCTCACACGTGTCGTTTGACTCTGGCATGGACAACACTGGAAGCTATGAATCAAGACCGCATGCAGCAATAATTGCATCTATTCGACCGTAACACAATAGTTGTGCAGAAATACACTCAATTGCACTGTCCTGTGGACTGTCGGAGCTTCCCTCCGCCGTGAGATCTACACTTGTGAAATTCACCGTATGACTCGCTTAACTTAAGCTGCCGTGACGTGTCCAAAGCCGATGGCCCCGTCAACTTTTAAATCGCAGCAATCCAGGACCATGCAACCCGCCTGCATGGCAAACTCGGGCTTTCCAGAACAGGACCTGCAAATCAGCTACTGACTTGAACTGAAACTCATGGTCTCGAATTAGAACACGGTGTTGCATGCCGTGCCAGGCTGTCCCATGCTTTCACCCCTGCTAGCTGTTAGCTTCCTTCATTACCTTGCCGCCTTGCTTCATCCACAACCCTTCGTGTCATCACTCTTCTGGCTGAACGGCCCTGAAAAACCGACGGCTCCGAGAGATTTATCGGCCTTCCCAGGAAGCCATTCGTCCTGGTCTTCCCGAACGTGTCACCTCAAGTTGGCAGACTCAGGACACTCTGGCAATCGCTTCGCGGCCCAAAAATGCCAGCATCATGAAAGCCGTCCAGGCAACCCGAGACAGATCCCCACGCTGCACAAAACCAAAGCAAAGAGGACTTCAGCTCAACAGAAGGACATTGACTTTTGGCGCCTGACTCTGACAAACTCACCCTGTGAAGTGTGTTACGGAAAAGGGTCTGCCCGATACCTTCATTCAACAAGCATGACATTGAGAGTTATTGCTGTGATGCATATGTTCAACGCTTGCTTTCCGAATAGCCCAGACTTTTGGTGTGAACAGCTCTCTGTGGGTGACTTAAGCAACACTTATGGCTGATAACACCTCAGAATGCTGGCTTTTCCGTTCTCTCTCCGAATGCCGTGGAATGTCTGAAATCTGTACAAGCAGGAGCAGCAAATTGCAAGTTTGTACCCTGCCGCTCCTGCAGAGATCCTACGCCACGAAGCAGCTTGGTGCCAGTGCCTCCTACTCATGGCAGGACTGCATACACCGGCCGGCCACTTCGAAGCGGACTCAAGACCAGTGTCCTGTCAACTGTTCCGAAGGTAGATAGGGCGAAATCGGAGCTGGCGAGCATGAATGGACTTTGCTATACTAGCTCCATCGAAACAGCCCCTGGCCGTCCTGAATCAAAATTGCAAGCTTCACCTTCGGTCGGCCATGGCTTTGGACAGCCAGTCCAAGCCTTCCCAGATGCCAGCGCCTCAAGAAATTGTGGGAACCAACGACCCGGGAGCCTCTCGATCCTGGTTGCATGTCTGCAAGCACTAGTCAGCTATTCTGCAAGCATGTTCACCTACAAAAGGTTCCCCGGCCTTTTGTGGCCGAAGTGGGTTGCAGAAACCACTGGCGGCCTCTGAGCTCAGTGAGGCCGAGCTTCTCGGCCACCTGCACAAAACTTTGAAAGCCTCCTTTGACAACCCTCGCATTCGGTTAATCAGTGGGTCGTGTCATAGAGCTAAACCCCCCGACCCCCCTTACACACAAGAATCCCACAACATACCGTAGCATACCCATCAGAAACCTAAGCAGACGACCTACCCCACTTCTAAAAGCTCATCATTCATTTGTAGCTGAGGAATGTGATTGACGATAGAGTGTCAAGACGGTCCCAGATTCGGGTTTCGAATCCGCTGGAACTGTTGCTTTTGGGAGGTGTCTGCCTTCATCTCTTCTTGTAAATCATGGTCTAGTTTGTCATATTCAATTCAATCTCCTAACCTTCAAACAACAAAACCATGCTGTTCCGAGTTCGGATGCAATGTAGACTGAAATTCAGCATATCATTTGTCGTGTCGTGTGTCCGCATTCTTCGCAATTCTGGCTTCCCTTTGCACGCGCTCGTCCTAGTCTTTTTCTGAACTTTCTTGTAAACATGGTCCCTTTGCTTCTCGCTGCCGACTAGCGGTCGTAAAGTCATCAAATTCTCCTGTCTTCTTTGACTCACTACACAACCTACACTGCCCTGCATTGATTGTCCAGCAGGAAGCACGCACTCTGTGCAGAAAGCAAGCCTCATCCGGATGCAGTGCATCAGGCAAGTCCTTTGCGTTCAGTGGCAGCATGCCCCCCAAATCGTCAAAAACTGTCCGGTCCTGCTTGTTGGCGAGGACCAGCAGCGCGGCCTTAAGGCAGCGAAGGTTCAGAAAAGAAAGAACATGTGAATCACTTGAAGTATTTGCCCGAGCTGGCCTGTCCAAGCTCTGGGTCCTTGATCATGTGCCAAAGCTCCTGGCGTGAAGCAGGCTTCTGAGAGATAGGAACCCTTTCAGCAAGCGGAAGTGTTTTTGCCTCGTGCTCAGTGCTCAGGGTCTAGTCACTAACCCCCACCAAGGCATAACCAGAGACACTCCCTTGCCAGCAACTCGGGCAAGGGGTTCCTCCCGTGCATCCTGGATGCGGTCACGGTCTGTGCCTCAGTTCTCCAGGTGCCCCGCTTGTGAACTCCAAGCACGACGCCTAGTCGAATGCGAACATCCCCCAATAGGAGCGTGCTTTCATAAACAGACACGAGAAGCCCCGTGTACAGAATGGCCGCATCTCCAGACAACCTCCTGCTTTGGAGTAGCGTGTTTCTATGTTGGGTGGCCCTATGCAAAGCACACATCCGAAGCAGAAAAGACACGATCACTGTGAGAACGCGTGGCAAGAAGTGCTACGCAAAAAATTCTTGCACGTAGTCAGCCCCACTAACCTGCTCCAGTCTTTGCGATTAACCGCCAGCCTTTGAAGCTGTAGAAAAGCATATGGGTGCCCAGGGGGTGAAGATAGGGCCTGCTACGTATAGGCCAGCCAGTGAAAAGCGAGGTTCGTGCATTGCTCAGCCCAGCGATTTCTTCTACGGCCTGGTCGGATTCCCGATTGAACACTGGGTTGTGTGTGTGGTGTGCAACACTTGACTGGCTAACCCACGTGGAGGCCTAAGCACACCGGAGAGTTGGAGCAAAGTCCGGGAAATTGGAAATTCATCATGTGCGACGTTGGGTTTGCTACACGTAGCAACTCACAACTGGCCAACCAGAAACCCTAAAGAATCGCACCAAACACGCAACACGGCATACCAAGCTGCTGTCTACAACGAAAATGGCCCCATGCGTGCCAAGGAAGTAATGTCGCCACAGCCGACGGATCTTGTCCTGGCCTTGGCAGACTGAGCAGACTTCAAGGGTGCTGAAAAACTTCCGCCTTGCCCCCTTTAAAGGCTTTTACGCTGACTTGTGGCGCTAACTGGCTTCCACTGGTCTCTTGCTCCGCGCGCCTCCAATATCCCACACAGTAAATCGGATGTTCCTGCTGAGCCACGAAGGCTGATAGCGGCTACATTGCTACACTGCTGCTACACGATGCAACAAGACGTCACACGCGCTCCTGAACTCCACTGTCTCGACGTTGAAGCCTGGCCCCCCAAGCAAGTCTCCATGTAAGTTCAGTAGCAGCTTCACACGGCTTGGCCTATCGTAGGAATGGTCATGAGCAGCTCGTTCAACTTCAGCTTGTAGAGCACCGTTGTCTTTCCAGCAGCATCCAGTCCAACCATCACGATTTTCCTGTCCTGCGTTGGTGCGTTGAACAGCTCCTACCGATAACTCGCTCTTTTTTTCCAGCATGTTTGGAATGCCTGGTTACTCCGGCAGCGCCGCAGAGCTGCTCATTTCAACATGGCGTCTTTGCACTCATGCCTGAACAAATGCCAGATGAATCCTCGACACGAAGGCCAACGCAGCATATACAAAGAGCAGGACCAAACCATGTTGTGCAGGGTGCTCCAAAAAAACGGCTATGGGGGCTGTGAATGGCTGTGAGGCGCAAGTGTTTCTGCGAAAGTTCTGCTGTGCGGCCGGCTGCGCTTCTTCAAGGATACCTCAAGTGGAAGGAACCACAGTCATGCCGGTTCTATGTCAACCGCCTTGCGAAAACTTCCACTGCTTCGAGTGCTTGCAGCGTCTGCTGTAGTGGGTTGGCTCTTCACCTACAGGCCTTTGAAGTCGGATTGCCTCGCTGTCACGACTTGGACGGGAAGGTGAACGTTCCGAAGCCGGCATGTCGCTTAGAATCTACTCCACTCGGATACTCCAACGAGCAGTAGGTCGGCTACTTGCAACTGGCAGGTCCCTGATTGGTCCTGCTTGCCGACGAGGCGAGTCCAAATCTTCGTGAAGGACAGCCCCATGTCTTTGCAGAGTAGCGATTCGAGCGCTTTGCGCGGCAGGACAGCACGCGGGCTTCAGAGGCAGCACTTGAGCCGCAGTCTCAAGGGTTGCTTCGATCATCTCGGAACATCCCTCGCTGAAACGCATCACAGTCTCCAGTCTCTTGTTCTGTGTGTTGGGAAACAGGCCTTAGACAACAAAAGCCCCATCTAGGAGGGACCCCTCTCTCCCCGACCCACATCCGACCACATCCTGGACTTGGGTCCCCCGCTCCAGTCTTTGGGCTCCGGCCCCAGCTTCCAGGAGACCTGGAGCCGCGCCTTTGTAGAAAAGCGAGTCTGAGAAAGAGAGAGAGAGAGAAGTGAGAAGGAAGGAGCCAAGACAAAGCAGTCGAACTGCGTTTAGACATCTGCTCTTCAACTACTTCAAGGTTGTTGCTCCAAAGATCTCCAAAGTTTCTTTACGGCTTCTTTGGAGCTTTCCCTTGCAGCTTCGCAGGGAACCTCCGTGGCCCCGGCACCCAACTGAAAGCCCCTGGAGTAGGAAGGCTCGGCTCTCGGACGATCGAAGTAGTCCCGGCCTGGAACATGACGCGGGATGACGTGCGATGACGCATGGATGCCATGGCTGGCAACATAGACAAGCGGTTCGCAAGGGGGGAACTGGGAATCTGGCAGTTCACCGTCAGTGCTGGATTCCGTCTGGAGTAGTGCATCCAATGGCTGCTATCCTTGGCCCGTAAGAAGTCGACATCCGCAGCCCGAAAGAGCTGCGAGAGTGCTGCGATGAGCTTTGCCAGAGGCGCGGGCCCAGCTCTGCTCGAGGCTGCGGAGTTCCTCGGAGTCCCGCTTCGATCTGGACCTCGCCCACTTGTGCAAGGTGGGATCAACTTTCTACCTTTCCGGCTTGGGGATGTCGGACGTGTCGCAATCAGTGGATTCGTTTGGGAGTATTTGGGGCCTTGGGGATTGCTGCCGAGACACGAGTTCAGGCTGGGCATGGAAGCCTGAGGATGCAAGGCCCCCATGTTAGCTCCTAGTGGTGCCAGGATGTTTTCATATCCAAAGTGTCAATTTGATTTTTATCTCAATCGCTAGTTATTTCCTTCATTGTGGTGTTGGCTTGAGTTCGACGTTGAGGCGCACCATGCAGCACGACTCCGTACAATGCACTACAAGGTTATCCATCCAAGAGCCGCACGGATAGATGAGAGCTTCCTGTCTGCGCGAGCGTTCGTGCCTGACTGGGAACCATAGAAACTCTGGGAGAAAACAATCTGAACGAACTGGGTTCATGAATACTGCTACTTGAGGGCATGGGCCATGAAAGCTACGGTGCGCTCCTTCTCTCAACTCCATTTACAGAGGGCTTGATTGACGAAACATACGCAGACATACTCCGTGATAGGCGCCATTGACCTGTCTGCCTGACACATAAGTGGCCAGGGGGACCTAACAAAGGGGGGTCTGCAAAGCAACTGATGCTGAAGAGCAGCCAAGCTAGCTGCTTTCGTGGTTACAGATGATTTTGTGAAAGCAGCAAAGCCCGGCATATCTATCTGAGTCGTTGGCCATGTCTGCAGGCTCTGCGCAGCTTGAACTTTCATGGAAAGGCCCAGCCGATCAACTACTTGAAGCACCCACGTGCTGTGACTGCGACTTAACACAACACCTCCCCCAAGTGCAGGGACAATATACGAAAACGTAGGTTCTGCGAATGTCTCTTGCTGTCCGGAAGCTGTAGCAAGCTCTGGAGCGCCAGCAAATTCGCAACATCATCTACTCTGGAAGCTAAGATAGATTTACAGAAACTACTTGCACTCTTCTTTGGCTCAGTAATCCCAATCAAGACACGGTCTGAAGATGTATTCTCGATTTGGACCCTTTGAATCCTGAAAAGCACTGTCACGGCCTTGCCCAAAGGAAGAGGTACTTGACTGAAGTACTCCAAAGTGGAGACAGGCAAAAGGCTAAACCGTCCCCCCCCCCTCCCCATGGAGCGTGGTGTACCGTAGCTCAGGACTCCGGTTTAAAGGACCATAGCAGTGGAAGCTCCAAGGAGTGCTCTAAGTCCATGGAAGCTGACCTCATGTGGTCGACAACAACCCGGCGTGGGGTCTTCTGCTGCAAGCTTTTTTAGTCACAGGGAGGCAACGCTGCGGCAACGCCACTGGCGAACCGTTTCTCGAAAGAGAGAAGGCCCTTGCCAATGGCTGCCGGCGTCCGGCGTCTTTCGGGCAGTTTGACGCCCGTTCAGTGCATTTACTTCTCGGAAAAGTAGTAGTGCTGGCCGACAGCAACCAGCACAATCACGACAGCAAGGATGATTCGGCCCCGTGGGCTGAACATTGCTGAAAACATCTTCTTGACATAGCCCCACAGTTTGAGGCCTTTCATCATGAAGGGCATTACCCTCGAGATCATTTTGGCCTGAGACTCACTGACCTCCATGCCAGCCGACTTGGCCATGCTCTGGAGCGCTTCCGGCGACATGTTCCTGGGCAGCATTCGAGTCTTGCGGCTCACACGGCCGAAAGCGCTTCACGACATGCAGCAACTGCACCCTAACTCAGGCTTGTCAGGAAAGGGTTCAGGGCCTTGAGTATCCTCGAGATGCTCCCCCACGTTCCCACGATGAGCCGGCTTGTCGCACAAACTGTGAACTGTGACACGCCAAGGCTCTTCATCATCTCCTCAGCAGCCTTCATCATGTCCGGATCATTCAGCATCTGTGATGGATCCGCGCCGTCGGCCCCTCCAGACTTCATCTTCCTTGCAGAAAGCGCACAGCTCTTGGTTGAAATCGGGAAATACAAGGTCCCAGAAAAGCCATGCTCCAAGCATCATGCTCATGTCCATCATCTTTTGCATCTGCTCTGGAGGAATGTTTTTCATCATGTTCGTCATGGCGTCCATCCTCGACTGACAGATGCGTCATGGGGCGCAGCATCGTGCGACCACAAAGCCAAAGGTGGCTTCGAAATGTTGTTTAACAAGTAAGCACAAGCATTGCGTGCAACAGGGCCAAAGGCAGAACACTATCTATAGCAGTGGCTGAGCGACATCTCTGGATTCTCCGTCATCTTCTTCATGAGATCTGCCTGTCCAGTGGAGCTGTCGTGTCAGCCCGCTTCTTCGAGCTCTGCTTTCTTGCGCCCTTCTCTGTGCAAGGCTCTACTCAAGGTCTGTTACGCTTCTTGCACCTTCAAGACCCGCTCCGTATACAGAACCACCGAACCTTCACAGACACCCACAAAAAGGGGGGCAAAAAAGAGGGGCACCTCAGGCCCCGAGCCATGGCCCATGGCACTGGCAGCGGCCATGGCAGACTTCATGGCTGCTGGGTCCTTCATCATGTCCTCACTCCGACTGGGATTCGCTAGGGCGAAGCGGCGAAAAGGTGTTGCAGGGGTTTGGGCACAAGTCAAGTGCAGGCAAGACTCGCCCATCTTGCTGAAGTCGGGAGCCTGGGATCGAAATCATCACGCTCGCACGGACAAGCACAATGTCTGCCATAACAGTACAATACCAGATCCGCCTTTGAGCCTTGTCAACAATAAAGCTATTCCCGGTGCCTGTCGAGAAAAGCTACGAAACGCTCGAGACTCTGCCAACTCTGCCAATCGACCGCTCCAGAGCCGGAAGCTGCAGAGAGCATGCGTTTCCGCTCCTGTCAGACAGGGGCAACTAGGGGCCAACGCATCCACAGAGCTTTCTGCTTCAATCATAGCAAGGACAAGTGACACTGCACCACTCTGCCTCTTCTGGCATGGACGACAGCGCGTCCATCGCCGTCTTCAGCATCTCTGGATTTTTTGAGACAGCCTCTGAAAGCCGTGATTTGCCATCACTGGAGCTGTGGTTCGCCATCCGCTTCTGAGATTCTGATCATGCACACGACCGCGTACTTACCATTTACTGGAATCCTGCACTCTTGGAAGCCCCCCGAAAGGCGAAAAAGCAGAACAGCAGCCTCCATTCTCTTTCGCGCGGTCTCCTTGTCGACCCCCGGCGGAAGAGGCGCGGAGGACATCATGCGCTCAATGTCCTTGGCTCCAGAAAAGAGCAAAGGTGGGAGAGTGGCATGAGCATACTGTAATACGGTGCCATATCAGTAGCCCAACTTGAAAGCATACCTTTGCTTTGGGCCCCGATTCCTCAGGTGACATGTTCTTCATCATCTCTGTAGCCTGGTTGACCATCTCGGGGTTTTTCGAGATCTGTTCCATGGCCTGGCGGAGTCTGAAAACAGAAAGCTGGAGTGAAAGAAATGCAACGAGATCAAATTGCATGAGCCACACCGTAGGCTACACCTGCTCCACATTCTGACCACCAGGTGCAGATGGCCAACTGGGCGAAGGTGAAGAGCTGCTGCCTCAGCGATAAAGATCATATTATGAGGGCGGCACAAAGATACAACACTGCATACAAGACGCATTTGACGCAACTGTGAGACGAAGATACAGACGAAGACGAAGACGAACAAGGAAACTCATAGAAGGACATTCACAAAGTATGTGCTCGGTCCCTGGCTTTTGCTAGCCGCTTCTTCAGCCTTCTGCTGGGCCGCATCAATGGCATCTGAAGACACACCTCAAACAGCTCTGTTTCATGCTGCTTCATGCTGTTTCATGCCGTTCTTTCTACGATTCACCCAGCTGAGGGGCCTTTGCCCAGGCAGTCCTTCTCTACGCGCTGCAACTCCGAGGCGATGGTCTTGTCCTAAAGCGATCTACAGCCTTTGTAAGACTAAGTGACTACCAGACTACCACAATTGGGGAATCATCTGTTCCCCATGTTCACTGGTGGAGAGCTAAGGTCCCATCGTCCGGCGACAGCTTCGCCGCAAACCTCAGCAACTTCGGGGGCCAGCCGGGAGCCCACGGTGACTCGTCACAGAACCCATCAATCAATATCAATGAATGGGCAAGGTGCTTCATGTCGGCCACACCCTCGGCCAGCTGGCCAAGGTCCACGCGGGCCAGCCCACGTCGGAACAGTGCCTGCAAGATTCTCACATGTCGGCGCAGGGTGCGGTCGCTGTGCATTTGCTGTTGCACTCGCTTTTGCATGCTGCGCATTCTTGGGCATTCTTGGGCATTCTTTGGCATTCTTGGGCATTCACTGCATGGAGATATGCGTTGCGCGTGGCTTGGTGTGGGTGCTCTGGCCTTGACGCTGTGGCTGTTGATCTGGAGCGCTTCCTCACAGACCTGGCTGAAAGGGCCGAGGGCCTATGAAACTCAGCATGGCGCATGAAAAACATTTCGCGCAATCAAAGACTCTCACACTCTCAAAGGCACCTCGACCGTCCTTGCTGGATCGTTTTCTTTCAAATGGCACATGGCTGAGTTCAGCAACAAGGAGAGGCGCAGCTGAGAAATGTCCTTAGAATCGCAAACAAAACTGCATGCCACTGTGATCCCCGCTTCCCCAACCTGCCTCCATGCCCCCCTCAACGGCATTCGCCTCTCCCCCCCCCCCTCTATCCAAACGCCCTACGCAACCCTAAACCCAAAGGGAGGAAAACCCGAAAGCCCCCACCACCACCACCACCGCCACCACCACTACCATCAGGGGGGGTTGGCGGGACCCCAAGCCCTAAAACCCTAAACCTAACCCCGCCACTTCGTCACAGGTGGTTTTTTTGGGGGGAGAGGGGTGGGTGGGGGAGGGGACGGATAAGGGAGGGGGTTCCAACCCTGGACAGTATGCGTATACATGTATATCCCTCGAAAAGCCCACGTATGCAGAATGCTAGGCATCAGCTTTGCATTCACAAAAGGCCCAAGTCAGTTGTCGTGTGGAGTGAGGTTTGCGTGATTGTTGCTTGAGCCTACTTGTGGAGAAAGTTTCGAGCTTGCAATACTCCCACATGCCCAGCACTAGACTGAAAAGTGGGCTCTGACTTGGGATTGTGGGCTTGAGGGGACATGGGAAATGCAGCCCGTGATTCTGTAGAACTGAGGAAAACGTGAATCATGGAAACGCAGGGCATACATGCAGCGTGCGTGTATCAACCGCGTCGCATCTCCAGCAAAAGGCTTCAGATTCTCCAGAGCTTTGCTGTACGCTCTCAAAGCATCGGAGTATTTCTGAGCCTGGCAAAATTCTGGTGCAAAGAAATCAAAGAAGCAATGGACTGGGACTTCTCAAACTGTCGAGAGGTCTTGCCTTGATGTGGTCGTTACCCTCATTCTTCAGCTGCATGGAGGCGTTGTACCTTGCATCTTGCACTTGGCACCAAACGCGAAAACATGACAACCATCAGATATGACACCAATTGGAAAGACAAAGTCAAAAGTGCATGTGCGAAAAACAAGATCCAAAGTGCATGTACTGCTTCTGCCCACCCATCTGCTGCTGCGCTTGGCTCATGCTCCTCAGATATCTGGCTGTCAACATGTCAACTCATGTCAACTCATGTCAACTCATGTCAACTCATGTCAACATGACACTCCTTGAGTCGAAACGTCGAAACTGAAACCTCAACTTACTTGCAAAGTCGAGTCGACTTGATCTCATCAGGGCTCATCTGCCCTATTCTTTTCCTTGGGAGGACGATCTCAAACGCATGTTTGAACGTGGTGGGTTGTTCGCAGGTTGTGCGAGTCGCAGCACACTGCGCTGGGCGAGTGGGATGCTGCACAGGCTCATTTGCTCCTTCATCTGTCCCGAGTCCATACCAGTCATACCAGGGGCGGCGCCGCCCATATTCTTCATCATGTTCTCCTTGGCTTGAGCTGCTCTACGCTTGGGCCAATGGGAATGACTTGCAGCACACCGAAAATGGATCCTCTTTGCTGTTAAGGGACCATGACAGAGGGGTCCATGTTTGCTGCCATCTGGGTCATTCTTTGCATGTCCTGGTCAAAACCCTTGTGAAGCACTCCAATCGATGGTTTTGTCTGTCCTCGGCTCTCACACTCTCCGGAGTGACCCGCTAGAAAGCTCGTGAAAATCCACGAAGTCTACGATGGTCTGTGGGACTGAGGAATCCGCATGAACCGTGTAGGGCCAGTGTAGGGAACTCTGCAAGGACTCGAGTTCTGCAAGTCCTAAACCCGGCTCCTCTGGCGACATGTTCGCCATCATGCCTTGCGCTGCCTTGAGCATGTCTGGGGAGAACATGGCTGCAGCGAGCTCCTGATAGGATCCCTAAGACCGCTGCTCGGGAGTCTCTCAAGTTGCCATTCTCACCCCGTCCTGTAAGCTTCACGGAGCCACAAGCGCAGGCCAAAGATCTCAAAACTGGCTCTACTCCGCTGAAGTAAAGTGCTTTTCGTCTTCTGCTTGCAGGTGAGGGTGCTCAAAAGTGCTCAAACGAGTCTGAGCGTGGGGCTTCGCTTCGTTTGCTATTCTTCTTCGGCTTCTGGTTCCTTCCGCTCCGTCTCATGATGATCGTCCATTGGCTTGAGCCGAAGTGATGTGATGACAACCATGTGCACCACCAGTGCACTGCCAGCTTGAGAACACTTGACGAGGCATGCTATGCATTATGCTGCTGCATGCTCAGTCTGAGCCATTCCGAGCAAAACAACAGCAACACAGGGTCCAGCAAGCTCCTCCAGCCTGGGGCATGGCACTGCTGAGTCCATTCTACGGGGGGAACTTCACACAAATGCACTCTCGAACGAAGCTTCAAAGCGGCAGTGGCGGTGGTACACAATGGTAGAATATGGTAGACACATAGCGGGTCACAGCGGCACAACGTGCCGTACGGGCACGCGAGTGCAGCCAAGACAGCTCACACGGCTGCGCAAGGACTAGCCAATTAGCCGACGCAAGGGATGACATGACAAGTGAAGAGCGTGCTGATTTCTGCTTGGTTTGATGTCGTAATCGGCTTTGCCGACGTCAGAGGATTCACCGAAACTTCGAAACCGTGCCTCATTGGGCTTTTTGATTGAGAGGCCGAGTCCAAGTCCACATCATTCCACAGCCTAGTCGCACCAGCATTCCGAGCGAGGCACGGACCGAACCACCTCGAGGTGGCCACCATCAGCCGCCACAAAGAGGGGAGTCCGGCCCTGTTCGTCAGCCTTCTGGGCATCGGCGTTGCGGTGCAAAAGCATGGAGACCACGGTGCGGTGCCCGAGCTCTGCGGCGTTGAACAACGGGGTCCGGCCCCGGAGATCCTCGCAGTCTGGCTCCGCCAGGGCCTCAAGCAGTGAGCAGACGACGGCCAGATGCCCCCTTTCTGAGGCGATCATCAAAGGGGTCCGTTGGCACTGGTCCTTTGGATCCACGAGAGCCTGTGCCGTGAGCAGGGAAGAGACGAAAGTCAGGCGACCTTGGTCTGCAGCCACGAAGAGGGGTGTGCGGCCCGCCACATCCGCCAAATTGGGATCCGCTTGTCTGTGGAGGAGAAACTGAAGGACCTCCAAATGCCCACGCCAGCTCGCAGCACACAGAGGACTGCAACCGTCATGCCTCGGTAAGTCCAGATCTGCCTCAGCCTCATGCATGATATGCACGACCTCCAAATGGCCCGCAGCACAGGCCTTCCAGAGCGCAGTTTCCCCATTGGAGTCGACTGAGTTTGGATCCTGGCATCGTCTCAGGAGCACCTTCACGTGCTGGCCGTTCCCTTGAAAGGCTGCCTCAAGAAGCTCGTTGCAGAAGTTGTCCACAAAGCTACGGAAAGCCACTTTCACAATGTTGGGTCTCCCCAACCCTTCCCATGAGAAGCTCTCGTCAATGACCCTGTCGTCAACGAGCAACAACTGCCGGAAGCACGACATCCCCGTCTTCGAGGAGATGCGCTCCTTTAACTCGTCCACAAAATCAGAAGCGAAAAGATCTCGATCTCCCATTTGTACTTCAAGGAGGCAAGACCCAGACACTGCTGAATGCACCTGGATCAAAGACATGCGGGTAAGTCCGAGCGGCTACCTGCTGTGCAGTTCCTGCTCGGGACACATTGCTTAAAAAAATCCTCGCACGATATCACGGAATCACACTACCACCAGGGCTTCAACTTCCCCGGCTCTCTAAGTCTCTAAGCCATAACCTGCAGCGCGCACAAGTGACAACGAAAACGTGTGATTCTAAGAGCCATGCACGGCACCTTCACATTACGCATCGCTTTTTGGAAGAGTTGCCATTGACGTATGGTTAGCTGTCTTATCTCTTTCCTGAGTCCCTGATGGAACTCCGATCCAGCGCACTATGAAAATCCAAGCAATCCCTGCGTGTGTGAAAACACGCCGCACATCCTGTCATCCTCTGGATCGGGCAACTCGCACAACTATTTCTCGCTTGACGAAGTGAGAGAAGTTAGGACTTTAGGCTCCGCATCTTTGTGGCGAAGAGCCGAACTAGCAGACAAACTACAAACGTGGAACGACTCGGAGGCTTCGAACCATGCGATGGCCTCCGAGGTGTAGCTCACTTAGCAGAGACGTCTCCAGCTGCGCAAGCTGTTGGACAGACATCTCCCTCCAATCCCCACTCGTCGCTAAGAGGGCCTCCAGGTGTACATCGGGACCAGAACGCCGACCGACCAACTGCTGCACTTCCACAGACAGTGGCACCTTTGCTACCTTTGCCAGGGCCTGGGTGAGTGCATCGTTCAAGTCTTGCAGATCTTGCTTGGGCAGTTGCATGTCGAGCAGCTCTGTGATTGACCTGCGCCCGATGCCCCACGCAATCCGGATGATGACAGCGGAGACCACGGCTCCTGCGATTGGGTCAAATGCGCTGTGCACGAACATCCTTCCCAAGACACCCAAGAGGACGAAAAAAGAGCTCAAGGCATCGCTGCGGTGGTGCCACGCATTGGCCAACAGTACGGAGGATCCCAATCGGTCAGCTGCGCGCCGTGTGATGTGGTACAAGCCCTCCTTACCTGCAATCATAAGAAAGCAAGTCCCCACTGCCACCTCGTTGACGTGGCCATCTTCAAGGATTGTGTGTGAATGTGCATGGCCATGGGAATGTCCATGTCCAGCAAGTCCAGTATGTCCATGTCCATGCTCACTTTCCTCGTGGCTAGCAGAGGCTACATCTTCCTTCGCACCAGCGTCGCCCATGGTGTCTTGGAGGCCCATCGCTTCCAGGCCCATCGCGTCGAGGAACAAGCTGCTGGAGAAGCGCATTGCCTGGAAGCCTGTGGCCATCATGATCCCGGAGACCCCAAAAGCTGCTAACGAGTCGAGCTTTCCCCGTCCAAAGGGGAAGTGGGTGGTTGCCGGGCCAATAGCCGTCTGGACCACGCACAATGTAATGATGTCGGATAGGGTGTCCTCCATCAACGTAAACAGATGCTACGGTGCGAGTGGAGCTGGAGTTCAATGCAGTTTCGTGTTTTTGCAGTGCTTGGAGATGTTAGGGCTGTTAGGGCTGTTAGGGCTGTTGGGGTCGTTAGGGCTGGCGGTTACGTGAGGGTTGTCACTGACCTACGGTACTACACAATGGACTCTGAAAAACAAAAAGCGTAAAATGAAGAGTCCGTCAGGGTGTGGATGGCATCACTCGTGAGGGCAGCCGACTTGCAGTAACTCCCAGCAAAATATTGGAGCCCTCCAAGCAGGCAGTTGAAACTAAACCCCAGCAAGGTCACCTTGATCGCTTCTCCTTTCAGCTCGGACATGTCTGCACTGTGGCTGTGGTCATGGCAGCCCAAGACATGCAGGTGCCCATGTGCACCACCGCCCTGTCCACTATGGCCATGTCGACCATGCTGGAGGTGGCCCTCGCCATGCTTGCGGCTGTGCCCTTGGTGCCCTTGGTGCCCATGGTGCCCATGCCCATGGTGCCCAGGGTGCCCAGGGTGCCCATGCTGGTGCCCATGCTGGTGCTCATGCTGGTGCCCATGGTGGTGCCCATGCCCGTGATCGTGATCGCCTTGCTCACCGTGGCCATGAGTACGCAAGCCACTGTGCGGGCGATTGCGGCAGCCGCTGGTTGCGTGCAGGCCATTTGTCCAGTTCAACCTGCCTGTGGCAACGACCGGCCGCACGAACCTTCTCATACGGCATGATGAAAGGAGCATCCATCAACGAATTTAGCGTTTTCAAGCTTGTGCTTTCTTGCGCAATTGTCCTGAGAATTTACAAAGCTTCGGGATGCAAACTAACTCATTTTCCAACTTCTTTAGGCCCTGCCAACTATGGCTATCCAGACAAAGAACGACGACAATGTTGCATTGCTCACCAACCTTTGATGACTCATGATGCACTTTGCACCCAAACTACCTTCAAGCCAAATGATCAATACAGCATGTATCACGGGCACATGGCACTGATGATTCCCAAATCTGCTTGGAGGCCTAACATGCGGCGTTCATGGAGACAACTGTGTAGGAGGCAGGTGCTCCCAAAAGCACCAATTAAGAATATGGGGGCACAGGGAAAACCGCGTTTGGGAGAAAACCCTGTGCTCCACACTGCAGAAGTGCCGTCGTGTAGCACCCGAAAGAAGGCCTAACCATTCTTTGTGATGACACCCGGCAAAACATGTTATTCTACATCAGCTTGCCTCTGAAGCGTAAGCAAAACACGGCACCCTTCATTACTGGATCAAACCACGTGTCGTTTTAATTCAACAGCGATCCATGAGCCAAAACAACAAGATAATGCAGATTCTAACGCATTCACCATCCCCGAAGTCATAACGCATCCACACCATCATGAAACGGTAGGAAAGCTCGGGTGCGAAGACCGTCACATCAACAGAAGTTTTCACCGCGAGTCACATGTTGCTAGCCTCATTGCTATGGCCAAGGCAACCATGGCTCCCAGGCTTTCAAACTGCCGTGCACTCGGACGGCCAGGCTGAGTAGCGTGCAAGGAAAGCCAGAGAGAAGATACTCCTCGATTGGATGCAGGAACACGACTTGGCCAAGGTGCGCGCATGAAGGGTACCGGATGCCGCCACGGACACGAGCGCAGCCGCCAAACATGATCAATGTAGAGTTGGTAGAGGCACTCTCCCCTGGAAGTGCGAGAAGTCTCAACCCTGGAGAGAGATGTGATTGCTCGGTACGGCGCTCGTATCTTGTCTTGGCCTCGAGACACGAAAGCCACAGGATTTTGTACATGACTTGTGGAGGCCTGCACAACAACGTATCTTCCCCGAAGAAATCTCCGCATTGGAGAGCAGGGCAAAGGCTTCGCGCTCAGATCCAGCCATCGGCGGTTGCAGCCAGAAACCAGCTTTTGAAGAGGGGGCCCACGTGTGAGCACTCTCAGAATACGGGCCCCCCTATATGGGCCGTGGTGCTCTCATGCTGTTCAGCAAAGACACACCACCCGAATGCACCACTCCAACTTCTCTCGTGAGCCGGGCCCAAAGAGCCACCTCCTCCCCGGAGCCATCCATGCAGAGAGCCTCTCGCTCGCACGCCCCAGCCCCAGAGTACGACAACCTTGGGTCCGCCAGTGGCGCGCCTTTTTTTTGCAGGAACTCTACCTACATTTTGGCTGTGCTCATGGCGCGGGCAGCTTTGGCCACGACAAGCTTTCGCACGCTCTGGTTCACCCATGCTTTTTGCCATGTACAAGAACGACGGGCCCTATCATGAGCCGACCATCGGCATCCACGCAAGCCATGCGGTCTCGGTCAGAGCAGCGATGGCCCGCATGCGCCTCCGTTTGGGAGTCCAAAGGTGCCCACAAAGTTTTCCCCACATTCCCTCGAGGCCAGTCGCCAGGCCCAGGAATAGCATAAGGGGGCCCACAACGGCGGGAGCTGCTGGACTACAATTGTGGCTGGAATCGCCTAGAAGAAAGCCGACTCACACAAACGGAGGTGGCCGGAGGGAGTCACTAGAGCAGCAGAGGTCATGGAGGATTTGCAACAGAGTGCCGCGTCACCACGTCCATTCGCCAACTCGCTCGCTTGGTCAGATCTCGAAAGCAGGCTGATGTCTGCTTCGGAGAAAGCCCGAAAGAAGAGTCGCGACACCACCCCCTAAGGAACCATCCCCAGCTGGAGGGCCTGCGAGCAGGCACCTTGAGATGTGCAAGTTGCTGGTTGCGTCCTGCTTGGGGTAAAATGCCCAAGGGCGTGGCGCGCATCAGCGAGTCCAGTGCTTATGAGGACAGGTTGAGGGCAACTAATTAACCGTTGGGGCAGTGTAATTAAGGATAGATTGAATGCCGAGAAGTCTGCCCAGTGGCTGTGAGCGGATTGCAATGTTGCGCCACGCAGTTCTTTGTCGCCGAGCCAAGGAAAGCCCCATGAATCATGCTGTCGACCTGAGTCCTGTAGATGATACCGCCCCAATGACAAATAAGGACCTGCTGCAACAGGCGCAGGTCAGGCCCTTATTGTACCTACATCGCCCGTGCAAGATCTTCAAAGTGACAAGCTTCCGAACCCCAAAATCAACCTGCCCAAGCCCCGCCCAAATGCCCCAAACCACGCTTGCACCTCCAGCAGGAAGCCCAACGCCGTACTATTCAGCACAATCTCCTGGTCATCGGGCTGGGTGTCTCGGGCTTAAGGCTTAAGGATTCAAGGTCTATTGGTTTCCGGTCAAGGTTCCAGGTAGCAGGAAACCTCGCAAAATGTAAAACAACCAGCCCAGAGGTAAGAGTGTTTTTTTTTGCTGTGCCGGCTTTTTTGCTCTGGGGGCCTTCTGCGTTTTTTTTTTGCTGTGGGGGCCTTCTGCGTTTATTTTTTTTGCTGTGGGGGCCTTCTGCGTTTTTGTTTTGCTGTGGAGGCCTTCTGCGTTTTTTTTTGCTGTGGAGGCCTTGCGCGGTTTTTTTTTCTGTGGAGGCCATGCGCGTTTTGTTTTTTGTGCTGTGGAGGCCTTGCGCTTTTCTTTTTTTTGCTGTGGAGGCCTTGTGCGTTTTTTTTTGCTGTGGAGGCCTGGCGCGTTTCTTTTTTTTTGCTGCGGAGGCCTTGCGCGTTTTTTTGGTTGTGGGCCTTGTCGTCTTTTTTGCTGTGGAGCCTGGTGCGTTTTTTTTTGCTGTGGAGGCCTTGTGCGTCTTTTTTTTGGCTGTGGAGGCCTTGCGCGTTTTTTTTTTTTGCTGTGGAGGCCTTCTGCGTTTTTTTTTTTGCTGTGGAGGCCTTGCGCGTTTTTTGCTGCGGAGGCCTTGCGCGGATTTTTTTCTGTGGAGGCCATGCTCGTTTTTTTTTTGTGCTGTGGAGGCCTTGCGCTTTTGTTTTTTTTGCTGTGGAGGCCTGGTGCGTTTTTTTTTTTGCTGTGGAGGCCTGGCGCGTTTCTTTTTTTCTGCGGAGGCCTTCTGCGTTTTTTTTGCTGTAGGGGCCTTGTGGTTTTTTTTGCTGTGGAGCCTGGTGCTTTTTTTTTTGCTGTGGAGGCCTTGTGCGTTTTTTTTGGCTGTGGAGGCCTTGCGCCTTTTTTTTGCTGTAGGGGCCTTGTGGGTTTTTTTTGCTGTGGGGGGCCTTGTGGTTTTTTGTTGCTGTGGAGCCTGGTGCGTTTTTGTTTTGCTGTGGAGGCCTTGCGCTTTTTTTTGCTGTGGAGGCCTTGCGCGGTTTTTTTTTCTGTGGAGGCCATGCGCGTTTTGTTTTTTGTGCTGTGGAGGCCTTGCGCTTTTCTTTTTTTTTTGCTGTGGAGGCCTTGTGCGTTTTTTTTTTTGCTGTGGAGGCCTGGCGCGTTTCTTTTTTTTGCTGCGGAGGCCTTGCGCGTTTTTTTGGCTGTAGGGGCTTTTTTTGCTGTGGAGCCTGGTGCGTTTTTTTTTTGCTGTGGAGGCCTTGTGCGTTTTTTTTTGCTGTGGAGGCCTTGCGCGTTTTTTTTGCTGCAGTAGGGGCCTTGTGCGTTTTTTTTTTGCTGTGGAGGCCTTGCGCGTTTTTTTTTTGTTTTGCTGTGGAGGCCTTATCGTAAAAATTGGCAAACTCTTCGAAACGTAGAAATGCAAGTATCATTCCCATGAGAATCCCGGTTCTACTTGCACAACAAGAAGCACATGCGAACTCCCATCTTTTTCCAATGAGGTGCAATCTCCCAGCATCTGGAAAACACAATCTCGCTTCGGTCCAACCGAAGTGAGAAGGTTAGGACGAGCACCAAGCTCCCGATCGCCCCAGGCGACTACAACCCCGGGTGGGCGGGCGGGTGAAAAATTTTCAAGCCCCAAGCTTGAGCGACAAACATGCCACACATGTTCACAACTCATGCAACAAGCACTGAGAAGCTGTTACGCATGTTGGCAAGAAAAGTACAAATCCAAAAGATGCAGGTACCAAACCTTGCTCTTACAGACATGTACGTGAACGTGAAAATATAAAGACAACGTTTCAAAGAGATTTCTTTTTCTACCCCAGGTAGAAAAACAATTTGCCAATCCTAAACGATAAAGCACTATCGCATTCGCGAAATGGCTCTTATCGTAAAAATTGGCAAACTCTTCGAAACGTAGAAATGCAAGTATCATTCCCATGAGAATCCCGGTTCTACTTGCACAACAAGAAGCACATGCGAACTCCCATCTTTTTCCAATGAGGTGCAATCTCCCAGCATCTGGAAAACACAATCTCGCTTCGGTCCAACCGAAGTGAGAAGGTTAGGACGAGCACCAAGCTCCCGATCGCCCCAGGCGACTACAACCCTTTCACATGCTGGGCGATCGCATCCCTTCCCTCCAAGAGGGATGCCAGAGGTTCACACGTCCAGTCCAAGTGTTCACGCCTGAATGAATCATCATACTGCTCGAAGGCCAACCTAGAGGCAGCGTCACTGATGTTTGCACACGACGGCACTCTTGAGTACCAGTTGTAAGCCTTGAGCTCTTGGTCCAGCACAAGGGAGTGGCTCACAATTTCAAAGGTATCATCCACCGCAGAAGAGCCACTAGCGAATGCAGCCTTGGCAGATTCATTATCCAAGAACCATAACACTTTCCGATGTACCAGCAGGAGGCGCCACAAAGTTTTTGCAGCCAGGACCGGCAGCGCTTCTGCTTGGCCTACCAACTGCGTCTTTCCCCCTTGCCTCCATCGATCTAGTAGCGGTTCAGGGACAGGTTCACCGAAAAACTTCTTGACTTGCTGCAGGGGATCAATGAGTACTGCACCATGCGTAGTCAA